CTCCCATGCGCCTACGACACCTGCGGTGGAGTCTACCAGGGTGCCGTCCATGTCGAATAGGCTGGGCCCGGGTGTCAGCGGACAGCGAAATATGGAGAGCATGCAGGACGTACACGGCTTCGACCACGAATTTCTGTACAGCCATGGGTGATATCTACAGTCGACTCTGTCTTAACCCATACCTGTCATAACCCATAACCTGTAATAACCCATAGGTTTTTGGCTTCCACCGACATGGTAGATAGTAAAAACCCATAAGTCTCCCGTATCCCATAACCCATAGCTTTTTGAAGGGTCATAACCCATAAAACAACCTATATTAGGAAGGTACAGGTCTCCTTCTCACGAGAATCTGGACCATCTGGACCCTTAATTTTTGGTTCTCGTGGTATTTCAGAAGATAACCCATACCAGACTCAAGATTCCGTATCTAAACGGTGTCATAAACGACGTCCGGCCTATACCGGATAGGCTGTCTGTCACGCGTACTAGGTAGTCACATAATGTCACACGTTCTGGTAACCCATAGTCTGCAGAAACCCATAACTTTTGGGTTCCACGACCCGTTATGGGTTAAGACAGAGTCGACTGTAGTGCGATAGGTTGCTAAAGCGAAGGAGTCATATACCTCTTATATCCGGATGAGCATCGGGGAAACTAGACCGACCGCGATCGGAAACATAAAGATTTTGTCAAGACTCATCTCGGACAAGTCGAACGTGCGTTCTCTGCTAGCCGGCGACATGTGCGGTGCAGCATGTTCGATAGCCGTGTCCAAGGGTAGCAGCGTTACAATGGTAAGGTGGAATTGCGTCGGGGGAAGGGCTTTCTCGGATCAGCCACTGTTGCTTGCATGAAGTCTCTTCACTGCGGAATACATCTTGCTCTGATACTTAGACTTACACTCCTGCCTGCATATACTCGGTATCGGTCTCTGCTTACGCTGTGCTCGCCGCATTCTTGATGGACTGGTTGCTCCGACATAGTCCATTCACAATCTGAAAGGCAGTTTGTAGGTGGAATCGCGTCAGTAGCCATGCCTCCGCGCCGAAGGCCGCAATTCACCCAGGAGAACATCGACCAGCAATTGCAGCAGATCCATCTGCTCGACCCGCAGTCATCTTCAGAGAACCTCGAACAGCTTGGCCCCATCATCAAGCAGATTCACCAGAACAAACAGCAGGAGGTGTATCTCCGTACCGTGCAAGGCCTGATCGAGTCCAAGGATGCTGAAATAGAACGCATCTGTGGTGAGAACTACCAGGATTTTATCTCCTCCGTGTCGACACTCTTTACCATCAAGTCGTACACGAAGAACCTGCGCGAGCGCATCACCACTTTGGATGGGAATGTCGCGCAGGTGGGACATGGCCTCGTAGAGAAGAAGAGGGCGCTCCTACAGTCCAAGAAGACAGCTGCGAACCTGGACGAAGCTATTGACAATCTGCAGGCATGTCTTCGCGTGCTCGATGTCGTAAACAGGGTCGGGGAGATGGTCCAGGAGGGGAAGTATTGGAGTGCTCTTAGGGTCGGTCATCTACGTTTCCTTGTATGTCCGTACATGCATCGTAATATAACTCCCATCGCCAGTCCTTGGAAGACATCCAAAGCATGCCTCCCACCTCGCTGTCGCAAACTCCATTCTTCCAGCACTTGCTGTCCTCGCTTCCCTCCCTTCGCGGTCAGATCAAGGACGCGGTGACCGCCTCGACTAAACAGTGGCTGCTAGACATACGAAACGTGAGTGGGCAAGTCGGCGAGCTCGCCCTTGAGGCTATGGAGCTCCGCGTCAAGCGGTGGAAGGCTCGACGCGACAGGGACCCCATGTTGCGCTCCGCACGGGTCGGGAGTGCTGTGGAATGGGTGACTTACGAGAAGACTGAGTGTCCGTCTTATTACCCTTGCCTCGCGAATGTGCTAAACGGAGCCAATAGTCGATGCGCTCAAGAACGAGCAAGTCACTGTGGACTTCAAGCCTTTATACCAATGTATCCACATATATACCGCCCTCGATTCGCTGGACGAGTTACGGAAATCCTACCAAGCGGACCGAAAGGTATGTCCTAGTACCAGTCTTTAAATGTGGCATATGGTCCCACCCAGGTATGCCCAGGCACAATCCGACCTTATTTTACCCTCTCCGTTATCCTTGTCGAACCTTGCATCTCTGCTCCAAGAGATTACAGGTTACTTCATCATCGAAACGCATGTTTTGAAGACAACTGGCACATTCCGCTCCGAGCGAGACGTCGAAGAGCTCTGGGACACGCTGATCAGCAGACTCAGCGGCGCAATTGACGATGCCCTCAAGACCCAGATGGATCCGGACACGTTCATGAAGGCCAAGGAGCTCCTCATAAGCTTCACCATGACAATGGAGGTGCGAACAGCCTTCTCGTGATCCGCAACATCGTCTGATGTCCGCCATAGTCTTATGAGTACTCTACGGGTAATATGTACTCCTTCATCCTCGTCATGTTCGAGCGGTACGCAAGTCTGTTGGAGAAGCAGTTCAAGAAACGGTTCGACGATGTGCGCCATTACCACCGAGCCGCTGCGAAGCGTGGCTAATGACCCTTGTGTAGATTCTAGTGCAAGATGATCATGTCTCGATGCAGGTAGACAATAGTCAGCAACGAGACGCAGTCTTTGAAGTCGTGTGGATAAGCAAGGCCGAGCGGGACGAACTGATGAAGTGAGTTACACTCTTTACTCCGGTGACTGTGGTTTTCAAGCTGTTTGCATTTGAAGGGCTTCTTTCCCTCTCCTGCTCCCGTGGTCCCAGAGCTTCTACCTATGCTGTCAATCTGTATGTCCCCAAATATTATTGATGGCGGTTAGGAGCCAATGGCGTTTACCACAGATCCGGACATTTGTTGAGAGATTCTACCACTTCGTTGACGGTGTCTCGCAACATCATCGGAACGTGGACGAGCTCATGAGCAAGGTCGGGCTACCCTGTTATTCCTGTGTCGCGTTCCCTCATACATATTGTACGCGAATGCAGGCTCTTGACAACCTACTCTCTGCGCACATTAGCGATAACATCGCACGACGTCTCGCTACGACGTCTACGCTGACGCAGATAGCGCAGATGGTGACCAACTTGGAACACTTCCAAGTAGCCTGCACCGAGATCGAAGCCACGATAACGAGCATGCGGTGAGTCTATTAATTTGTTCCCAATCCACACCTAACACAGTGGTCTGTTCACAGCACTTCACAGCGCGGCGGGTCCATCCGCCTCACAGCTTCCTCGTCGTTCGCATCGACGATCTCCCGCGCACTGACGAGGATTACTAGCCTGATCACGTCCAAGCTCGACGACTTCTTTGACCTGTCCGAATATGATTGGACGCCCTCAGCGCGGGAGAGTGCGCCCAGCGTATACCTTTACGAACTGTTCAACTGGCTCACGACAGTGCTCGATTCACTGGTCATCAAGGATGCATACAAGGACGAAGCGTACCGTGGCGCAGTTAACTACATCGCGAGTTGTCTCATGGTAAGATAAGCCTGCACCGGGCCTACGTAGCTATAGTATCTCATTGACCCCGTGAATGCAGGATTTCCTTACTGGTCGCAATGTGCCCATGATCAACGAGAACGCCATCTCAAATATCCTAGTGGATATTGATTTCCTGGAGGAAGAACTGAAAGGCATCGGGCGGGCACACCTTGCATCGGCCTTTGCTGAGTTGCGCTCCGTACGTATCCTACTGTCTACTCCTGGGCACGACAATGACGGATTCCAAAATTAGACAACGTCGATTATCTTGTCTGATACTGTGCAAGATTACTTGGTGCCTAGCATTCGCCAGACATCGTACAGCGCTGTCAAGCCCAAACGCCTTCAAGCCCTCCTGGAGAAGCTCGCCAAATACGGCGGCTCGTGCCGGGACAACGTGTCCAGGGAGAAGGGCGAGAAACGGAGGAGGGAGGCCGAGGCAGTGAGCAGGCTATTCCCAGGCGAAAGCCGATGAAACGCCAGTTCTCGGGATGGGTTGTATTGATAGCGGTACTTTTCATGACATCATGTCGCGTCTATGTGTAGCGCATATACGGGATCCCTGGTCTAGTAAGTGTCTGATAAAAGCTTCATAAACCCCATCCATCGCGGCAGATTTGTACATGAAGGAAACCGGGACTTCGTCGCTCAAGACGAGGCACTCCAATATGACATAAAAACAAGCGGAAGGTCAAGGACAACAACACCATATGTAAGCGACTGGGGGAGGCGGGCGTGGTTGTAATAGGCTTTCGATTATCATAAGGAATCGTGATAGGAGGAAAGCGATTTCGGAGGCATGGTCCAGAACCGGAGTTTACACCCGTCGCTTGATGTTGGCGCTCAGCCACTCAAGCCCCTCGTACAGACCGTCACCAGACGTGGCGCACGCCGCCTATGACAAGACATGTCAGCCGAGCCAGATGCACTGTAAGGACGACACTTGCCTGGATATACCACGTTCGCTGTCTTAGCCCGTGAAGGCCGAGCTTGTCGGTGATCTCAGCAGCGTTCATGGCGTTGGGCAGATCCTGCTTGTTTGCGAAGACAAGGAGGAGAGCATCCCGGAGCTCGTCCTCGTTGAGCATCCGCTGCAGCTCCTCGCGAGCCTCGGAGACACGTTCCCGATCGTTCGAGTCAACCACGAAGATGATACCCTGGGTGTTTTGGTAGTCTGCACAGAAGGGGTAAGAGAGAGAGAGGCACGCGTGGGTTGCATCATTACGTACAATGCCTCCACAACGGTCGAATCTTGTCCTGTCCTCCAACGTCCCAGACGGTGAAAGAGATGTTCTTGTACTCGACGGTCTCGACATTGAAACCTGGGACAAATTAGAGACCGAAAAACGAAGCCTGCACAGCATAGGAGGCGCACCGATTGTTGGGATGGTGGTGACGATTTCTCCAAGCTTCAACTTGTACAAGATCGTCGTCTTACCAGCGGCGTCAAGACCGACCTAGCAGCTGTCCATGAGTCGCATGCCCCTCTGGTGGTTACAGAGTATATACCATTAGAATACCTATCAAAGACGAAAAGCGCGCTCAATTAAGCAGAACGCGGTCATCGATGAAGTGTACCCACGCATTTCCTTCTTGCCGAAGAGACCGGAAAGCAGGCGAGAGACCGAGAGACCCATGGCTGCTGCGTATGAAAGGAACTAAAGGGAAAGATATACGGGATCGCGTCCGAGGACTGGAGGATGGTTGGAAGTCGTTTGAGTTGCGTGTGACGGGGAACCGCCTACCGTGGATATTTAAGCTCCGACCCAGCGCTAAAGTCCTTACGTGGTTGCATCCAGTGCCTTTGCTGTCCTACGCTATACATCTCTGACGCTATCACTGCTTTGGGGCCACGCATTGGATACGTTTATCACTGGAATATGTACGTGTTAACCTTGGGATGACTTAAGCGGTCCGTACGCTCTCAGGAAGAGAGTATTCATGGAATGCCGGCAATAACATGATTGTTCTATACCCGAAAGTCGATCGTAAAGTAAGTGCGAAGAGTCGTTCAGGAGACTTTTGGACTGTTTGGTATATGTGTCTCGCGTTCTTCTAGTCGGGCAGAGATGGTTGCGCTCCTGGCCCCCTTTGTCTCCTGAATCGCTGTCAGAGCCGTGACAGAGTTTGTCGATGAGCAGATTGAACTCGCCGAGTCTGGGTCATGACTGTGTTATTGAAAGGTCGTACAGCTTTAGCATCACCAAAGTGGAAGAGAACGAACCGGTCAGAGGTTGAGTTGCCCATGATTCTTCTTTCATGGTTGATAATGTTCAGCCACTGGCGGTAAATGGAAATTTGTGGATCTGCATCGCGCAGACGCAGACAACATTTTGTCCGGCAGGTGAGTAATGATTGAAAATAGTCTTAGATACCGCTTGTAGGCCGACAACTGGGGCGACCAAGTGGGTCCTAGCAAGTTGCCGGGGCTATTGTTCCAAAACCAAGCTTGCATCAGTTACAGCCCAAGTGGAACCTGAGGCCCAGTGGAAATCGACAATATTTTCGTATTTTTAGATACTTTAAATATATTTGCATATGTTTACCTGTATATTTTGGAGGCCACAGACTGCTGAATGACACTTGCATGACACTCCCTTGACCTACTCTACCTGCATCAGGTGCGTGTTGTATGGGGATGTGATGCTGTCGAGTGCGTCGCGTGAGCGCATGCCTCGCGTGTCGCCTGCATGAGCGCGTCGGCCACGTCGGATTGAATCGCGGACTCTACCGCGTTCAAGTTGTTATTTAGCTGCAGTGATCGCGGTATGACATCACTTGCCGCTCTCGCGCGATTCTTAAAGTTGTCGCGTTGCAGTAAACCGTTTGCATGCACTCTCCTCTTAACCACAAGGTATTGTCCCCTTTGCGCTCTGAATTATTTACCAATATGACTTGTCTGCCTAGACGGGATTCTCGAGGCGGGGGGCACGTTGCGGAATGCACAATAATGTAGAGATATAGTGAGTAATTGTTAGTTGCATCACAAAATTTCAATATTCTGACTTCAATTTCAATGCAGGAAGCGATCCTGAGGACAGGTTGAATAGGTATGTCCCCATTGCAAGCACAGCATATGGAACGGAAGACAGGTCGTGCAGACAAACCGGAATAAGTGCGCGGGGGGAGGGGGGCGTAGAGATGGTGGAAGCGGGCATCGGATACCAGAGGTGCGAAGCGGGGGGACGTGCCATTGCCGGGGGACCGGCAGAACAGATGGGCGAGGTGGGGGTCCGAACGACACAACGGAAAAGGTAGAAGATTATAGTAATATGTGTAAATACAGCGGGATGGGCATGCGAGGGGGCAATATATGAGAACATGGGTGAATATCTGTAAAAGTACAAGAATATCCTACCACTCATCCTGATACCGGGGAAGCCCATATACACGGCACACCACAACCATATATCCTCCTGATTTTGTAGCTATTTTCGATGTATTTAGATCTATTACCAACATATGCCACGCCCGCTGCGATAGCGGCACAATTCACTAGAATATAAATCCATGTATTTAAAGTGCCACTTACTACATTCCTCTGTATTTAGAGCTATTTTTCTACCTGTTATATAGAGGAACATATCTAAAAACACGAAAATATTGTCGATTTCCACTGGGCCTGAGGTGTGAGCTTGCAGTGACATACTAAGCTATTCACCCTCCCAGAGACTGCTGATGTGTTATTACTTCCTTGCGGAAGTCTTGAATACCTAGGTATGCGTCGAGTTTCTGAAGGGCGCAGCTGCAAAAGGATTGTTGGAAAAATCCAAAAACCCATATCAGGTCTGATGAAGTCTGATGGTCTTATAATGCCTGATAGCGTTTGGTTTCTATCCTGGTCAGGACTTATCAGGCCCGATAAGATGTGACAGTGTTTCCGGTCTTGTATACATGTTTTTAGTACCTTGCGCCTAAACTAAGTACTATGCAACTGTGAATTCAGTGCATTACCACGATGCCCTCGTACTGCGGGATTATAGTAATGAAGTGGTGTTGCATATGCCCCATACACACGGAAGGAACCAGATGACGGTATATAGCATGATTTGTTTCACATGTGGTATTGCACATTTAGTATAGTAGTTAACTCACGTGACCTAATTCTCTGTTGACTTGGCGGCCCTGTGTTCGAACCTGACTAGTGCACTCATGTTACCTAAGATGGCAATTGGACCATAAAATGCATGTAAGGAGAGAGACTACAAAATCAGCTGAGTTGAGGAACAATGAAGGTGGAAGTGAAGTGAGATTTTTATTATTATTCATGGGAAACCCTATAAGATCTCATAAGACCTGATCAGGTAGCATCAGGCTGATCAGGCTCTGTCAGGCTGGTAGCGCGTTATTCCATTTTTTCGAACCTAATATGGGTATTAACGACCTGATGGCCTTATTGGACCTGATAAGTTCTTACAACTTCTGATAAGGTTTTTTCAAAATTTCCTACACTGTCTACTTCAAGCCGGCAGAGATGGCCATAATTGTGAGACTATAGACTCTGAGAGATATAGTGAAATACCACTGCCAGTGTTTGTGCATGTCGACGAACACTTTCGATATACAGTCGAATCCCTCTTACCCATAGTGGTTGGTGGAAGCCGAAAGCTATGGGTTTTCAGGTATTACAGTAGAATATCTCCTAATGCATAACGTCGGGACCTGGTCCCGCTATGCGTTAGGAGGTCGTATGGCACTTGCATATTGTCACATTTTGTGACAGTGTGTGATGAACCTAGGGATGGTGTCACGCCAGCCATGCATAAGATGAGATCTAGAGACGGTGATTTCTTACTAACCCGAAAAAGGGTGACTGGCAGGTGAAATTCATGCACAAATTAGATGCTCTCCGGTGCCTATCAGGTGCCTTATGCATAATGAGGTGGCTATGTAGGCTTCGTATAGTGGTTGGTACCCTGAAATAGCTATGCATTATGCAGTACCACATTTTTTGCATAAGGTAATAGTAATGGCCATGGTTCCCACCTCGAGCTATGCATTATGAGGTATTATGCATTACTATGTCATGCATTATGAGATATTCTACTCTACTGGGAAGTGCCGACTTCACATCAGCATCTTTGCCCCTGCTCTGGCTGCCTGCAACCAAGTGTAGGACCATTGGGGTTGATGTTACTAAATGCTACTCTGCTGCCCTTGAGTACTTGTATACTTGTGTCAGGCCTGTTCGCTGACGCTCAGTGTCGCAGTGGTGTAGCTGGGCTTGGCCAATGCCAGTGATATGCACTGACACACAACAGACACCAAAGACCAAGGGGAAATAGCCTAACACACCCAGCGGTATGGGTGGAGGTGGTCTGAGATGACTGGAGGGTATAAAGTAGTTCGGGGGAAAGGAGGAGTAAGACAACGTAGGGTAGTCCATCGGAAGACCTGGAAAAAATAAAACAAAGCCTTGACACCTGAAACAAACACGAATCAAAGCTCCAGAGTATTTATCTCCGAAGAATCGAAAATAAACAAAGGTCACAAGCACCAACACCTATTGTAGGATCATGCTCGTGGGATAGAAATTGCTAGAGAGACTTGGTTAATTTTATTTTGCTATGTAATACTCACGGGAGCTAATATTTCGATGGCGGAGATAAATCAATCAATGAGTCAGGCCTATTGGCAAAGCTAGGATCAGTTGTAAATCGCTAAGTTTGACACTTTTGAACTTCGAGGGTCACTGAGATGGTAACTCTGATACGCTGAGACAGTGAAGATCAAACTTGTTTTGACTTTACTTTACATCATACATTTTATACTCCAGCAATGACCCTGCGACCGCCCGGAGATAAATAACAAATACTTGCCGCAACTCCCTTGACTGCTCAGCACCCGTCTGCCACTATACCATGCATCATACAACTCCCTCGTCTCTCCATATGCTCGTCCTAGCCCCTAGAGGTTGTCCTGACGCATTGGTACCTGTCCTGAGCCTTCCCATCACGCTGCGCGATGTTATGATTTTCCCATGCTTATCTCATTCCATTTCCATTCCAAGCATTGCTATTGGACAGTACCTTTCTCTGAGTAGAACTTCCCATGAACACTATCTTCTTCTCACATGTTATCTCCCTTGACTCACCTTCTACCAATGGGCGCCCTTGTATTTCTCATTTCTCTGAGTTACGTTCTCACAGGATAGCTTACGCGTCCTTTCTCATTGTTCTCTTCTTTGGGTATCAACCCCTATACCAGTTACTATATATACTGTAGGAAAACCCATGTATTCCTTAGTTCAACCTCCTGTTGAATACAGCGATTACCTGGACTCTTGACTTGACCGTTGGCATTGGCCCGGCCAGACCTACCTTTCAGTACGCTTACTGAGGTAGTGACGACATAACTGTTGGCATGTGGCCCAGTTATCTCAAGACGACTAGTTAGGACATCGCTTCCTAACACAGCCCCGTATAGGGCTAGAATGCATGAGGTTAAATCCACAACAGCTATGGTGTGACTTACCTGTGATTTGAAGCCCAGATCAGCTCATTTAGCCTGCGCCACAAAGCCCCGGGCCTGCAGGGCCTGGCTCGGGCTTCGGACAACCCAAGCCAGGCCCTGTCCTCAGGCTTGACATCAGGAAAACCCTCCCTGGCAAATTAGACATAATTTTGCATAATTGGCTCTAGGGCCATATAATGAAGATAATGGGCGGATAAGTTCTGGATAAGTTCATATAACCGACATAATCTCATACAAGAGAACACCAAAGTCATAAGTCAATGTTATTTGGTACATATATACAATCTGATCATGGACATTTGTAGTAGATACATTCTACATACATAACCTTTGCCACAAGTCCCGACAGAGTCCGGTCCTTGTGTCCTGCTATCCCTTCTACCAGTTGTCGCGATTACTTCTTGGGCATGACTGCAGGGCTTACCAGGTGTCAACAGTGGGGCAGTAGCTACGGCCGCACTCCCATGTTCTCGTGCATCCCGTTATACCGTTATACATTCATGGACCCGGATCGGCACTGTTTGTGACCATCAGTATAGCTCACGTACTAGAAGATGTCAGCTGTGGGGTGCTTGCAATGCCAGCCATGGTGGTCATACATCGCCTCCGCCAGCCAAGGCTGGAGTTTGCCTGCACCCCAACACTCGCTCGTAGCACGCAGAAAGCCTCGGTCAGTGGGATTGAGTGAGTGTGGAAAAGGTAAACGAGACTTACTCATATCAAACGTCTCGAACCAGATGCATATCCGTTCTCCGATGTATCTACATCCTGTCTGTCGTCAGACTGAGCTTTCGGTCAATACGGGCGAACAAGCGACGATGAAGTTGGCGTCGTTGCGCTCGAAGACAGGCTGCTCATGTGACCGGCCAACGCGACACGAGGATGTTGAAGAGTTGTACGACGAGCGTGCAGGTATATGGATATGGTGGGAGCCTGATGTGGGCGTTTGAAAGATGTCGTGCTCGTCGCCGTGGATGATAGAGCCGGAGACGTGGCTGCGCGTGTGTTCTCATCGTGGTGCCGTTACTTTGCACTGGAAGCCTGGCCTTGCACAGGAACACGACTATTTGATGTCAAAGCTATCCAGATATTGCCGATTGTCCTAGCGTAGCCAGGAAATGCACCATGCATAGGGGAGAGAGCACAGACAAGAGGGCGCCCAGCACACAATAGCCTGAGATCCAGCTTGCGGAGAGAGGCTTCGAACTTCTGTTACTTCGGGTTTGAATGCGCCGACGCGGTCACGTGAGTGTGTTGATACCATGTTTTCAAGCTCCGACCGAATCTACTTCAACAGTCCTCGCGAGTCGCGACTTCCCTCTTTTGTTCTTCCCTCTCTCTCACCGTCTGCATCCAGTTCTTCTTGTGTGCCCAAACAGCTGTGCTCTTCTCGGGGGTCTCGCCTTTCAGCGCCGCATGACTATGGCGCTGCCTTCGTAACCTGAGCCACGGTAAGTCACTTGCAACTGTTCGCTGGCGCTGGCTTTCGCCGACATTGATTTATATGGCACATTTTCAGTGTGCATATAATTGTCATTTCCTGTAGAATCCAAGACCGAGGCCCGCCGCCACCCATCTCATTGCCGCTTGTCGACTTCAAGTCGAATGCATCAGCGGTAAGTATTTGTAGATTTTGAGTACTAGGATATCTGCTGACTCATTTATATGACTAGGCTGAAGACCTCCGACCTACCGTGATTGCCGTAACAGATGAAGGTGGTCAGATGTGAGTTCGCCGATGTTGTCTCGGCAGTTGTCCTTACTGAGATACCATAGTAGCTTCTCTGCTGGTGGGTTAGTCGGTATCCTTGTCCGCTGGGCCTTGGCAGCTGGGTTGGGTGTGGGCTAGCCTTGGGAGGAAACTTGAAAGTTGTGGTCGAAGGTGTGTATCGTGTTGTTACCTTGTGTATATCCAGTACCCTAACCCTTGCTTTCCTGCTACAGACACTGGAGGTATTGTGATCCTTTCGCGTACATGCTGGGATTAGATTTTGGGTGTAGATAGATTATCACAGTTTCGGCTGCTCCATACAGACTGCAACTATGTATATACAATACCCTTGCTGCAATGATATGGATTTTGCTCCCATCTATGCTATACAGTGTCAATAAAAGGAGATAAAAATAAGAGAGTGCCTTGTCTAAGGCTATGTTATTAGATATAAATGTTGGATAACCACGCATAATTACAAAGGGGCTAGCGTTTTAGCGATAATCGGGTATAATGAGATAATCTGTATAATTTTTGACAATTATGCTCTTTTATATCTAATTAGCGGGAGAGGGTTTTCCTGATGGAGTTGGGCTTTGGCCTGGCTCGGGTCTGCTGAAATAGGGCCTGGCTCGGGCTTGAAGCCAGGCCGGGCACAACACTAATTCTAGGAAAGCGTTCTCCCATCAGGGAGATGCTCCTGGCATGCCCACCGGCGGGACATCTCTGCCCGCAGTGAGGGGCATGGGTTATGAGAGTGTGACATGTCAACCCCACTGGGGAGGTCACACCGCCGAGCGCGTTCGCGAACCGCGAACACAAACGTCGCAGGCACGTGCAAGCCACTACACGTGGCAGAGTTTTGTGGCTCTGGCCACACAGACGCGTCCTTATCAGGGCCCCCTGCTTATGATAGAATGCATTCAAAACTGTTACAGAGTTTTCGGAAAAGGTTGGCTGTCCCAGCATGTTCCGTGTCATCCATCTTGGCCATCTCGCTGCAAATGGGTACATATCGCCATATGCGCACCGTTTTCTGTTGGATTGAATGAGTTTCTCGAAAAAATCAATTCAAACATCATAAATGCGCTCTCATATGTGCCTAATTGGGCTAAAAATAGCTCAAATTATCGGTTATGGACCCTCCAGGAGGGTATGGGTTATGTTATCAGGGAGTTATGGGTTTTTGGTACCAATTTACTATCTACCAAGTCGGTGGATGCCAAAATGCTATGGGTTACGAGAATTATGGGTTAAGAGGGACTCGACTGTATCGCGAGACCGTTTTGTCCAGGACGCGAACACGCGACCTAATTAGCGGTCACGTGCTGACGCGTCCTATCGATCCTGACTCGGCTGTTTGCAGCACAAGTAACTCTCAGTTCCTGCTCTTTAGCTATAACGATCATCTACGATTTGCTGCCATGGGTCCCCCTAAACCTAAGGCTGCTTCTGCGGGGGGCGCTGATGTTGATGGCCTGGTGGAACTCTTCAAAACAATCGGGTTGGCTCAGTCAAAGGCGGCGGAGGCTGCAAAGAGTCCGAAGAGTGCAGCCGTCCTGAAGGAGCTTATCCAGAGACATGATCTTCCCGGAAAAAACTTGGATGAGAAGCAGGGAACGTTGATGGCTGCTCTCGCAACTCAAGGTGGTAGGCTTGGGGAGGGGGAGAGGAGCTATGTCCTGAACGCTATCTTGGATGGAAGGCTGAAAAGCACGGATCAGGTTAATGGTGGGCAAGGGAAGTTCTTCCTCCATGTGGATTCCATGTTGATATAGGATGTTTGTAGCTGCTGTTAAGCATCTTGATTCGCATCCGTTGCCCGTGGACCAGAAGGAATTCGACCGAGAGTGTGGTGTAGGTACGTTATCACGAAAAGCCAGCCGTCCTCATTGTACTGACGATCTCTTAGGGTACAGCATCACTCCTGAGGAACTGTATACCAAGGTGACTGAATACGTCTCCTCCGCTGCGGTTTCCGGTTGGAACAACCTCGGCGCCTCCATTGGCGCGCTGAAAGGGACACCTGAACTCCGCTGGGCAAATCCGCTAGAACTGAAGAGTTCCGTTGAGCGCGCATTCACGGAGAGGTTCGGCTCCCGAGAAGCGGCCAAGGCCAAAGGCAAAGTGTGTTCGCACTTACTGCCCTCTTTCTGGCATTGGCTCATGTGACAGCCCCGCTCGTTCCTCAGGAGGTTAAGAAGGAGGCACCGTCTAAACCTACCGCTGCATCTGCTGCTCCAGCGCCTGAAGCGTCGACATCCAGTGTTTTCGAGCAGGGCTTCCTAGGGTCCCTACATAAAGTAGGCGAGAATCCCCAGCTGCACGAACACCTCCGCCAGGCACACCTGGAGTTTACGAAAGGCAAGGTACACACGCGATTCCCACCCGAGCCTAACGGCTTCCTCCACATCGGCCATTCCAAAGCCATCTTCGTGAACTTCGGGTACGCGGCGCACCACGGCGGGCACTGTTACCTGCGGTACGACGATACCAATCCGGAGAAGGAAGAGGCTAGGTATTTTGAGAGCATCCTGGAGATGGTGCGATGGCTGGGATACGAGCCGTGGATGATCACGTACTCGAGTGATCATTTCCAGCGGTTGTATGATCTGGCGGTGGAGTTGATTAGGAGAGACAAGGGTTACGTATGCAACTGCACTCGTAGGTTTCCTTTGTTCTTCGTCTTCACCAATCCTACTCGCTCACTCTGCCATGTCCCAGCCGAGGAAATCAAAGCAAACCGGGGTGGTGAAATGCGGGGTCCCCGAATAGCCTGTGCTCACCGCACACGACCCATTTCCGAGTCTCTTGCTGAGTTCCAGAAGATGAAGGATGGGCATTACAAACCTGGCCAAGCGGTTCTGCGGATGAAGCAGGATTTAGAAGACGGGAATCCGCAGATGTGGGACTTGATTGCTTATCGAGTCCTGGAGACGCCGCATCATCGGACGGGAGACAAGTGGAAGATTTATCCGACATACGACTTCACGCACTGTCTGTGCGATAGTTTCGAAAACATCACGTGCGTCTTTCATGGCTAACGGAGACCTCCCTCCGCTCACTGGCCTTTCCATTTTACAGACATTCACTATGTACCACGGAGTTCATCGCATCGCGTCAGTCATATGAGTGGCTATGTGATGCTCTCGAGGTCTACAAGCCTCGTCAATCCGAGTATGGGAGGTTGAACATAGAGGGAACCCTCATGTCCAAGCGTAAAATCCTGGCGCTTGTGAATGAAGGATACGTGAACGGCTGGGACGATCCACGACTTTACACTCTGATTGCGCTTCGCCGGCGTGGAGTACCTCCCGGCGCCATTGTTTCCTTCGTGAGCGGGCTTGGTGTGTCGACAGCTGCGAGTAACATCCAGGTCGCTAGATTCGAGCAGAGCGTACGGAGTTACCTGGAGAATACTGCCCCTAGGCTACTCATGGTGCTCAACCCGCTAAGGGTAACTATCGAGAATATCCCAGATGGCGAAGTCGTCTGGGTGGAGAAACCATTGCATCCCAAGGTCCCGGAGCTCGGGATGTCAAGAATTCCATTCACGAAACATATCTTCATTGACAAGGACGACTTCAGGACCGTGGACAGCAAGGAGTACTTCCGCCTTGCACCTCACAAGACTGTGGGATTGTTTCAGGCTCCGCATCCCATTACCTGCACGTCATACAAGACAGACCCTGCCACTGGTGAAGTCACGGAACTCATTTGTCGCCTCGAGGACGGCAAGGACGGAAAGGCCCCTCAGAAACCGAAGGCTTTCATCCAGTGGGTGGCCGAGCTTCCGGAGGCCGGTAGCCCAGTGCGGGTGGACGAGACGAGGATATTCCACCGGTTGTTCAGGAGCGACAATCCCGCGGCAGTGGAACCGGACTTCAGAGTGGACATCAATCCCAATAGCTTGGAAGTGGTCAAGGGTGCCTTGGTTGAGGTAGGGTTCTGGGAGCTGGCTAAGAAAGCATATGAAGATGCAAAAAGGGAGGGGAAGGAGAGAACGGATGCTGCCCGTGCCAACCAGGCTACCAATGTCAATGCTCTGGCGTCGGACGATACGCCCGTTGCTACAAGCGAGCAGCTCGTGGGGAAGGAGTGTGTGCGATTCCAGGGATTGAGGGTTGCTTACTTCGCTTTGGACAAAGATTCCTGGGTGGCGTGCCTTGATGAGAAGGAAGGAGTGAAGCCAGGACGCAGGGAGGGGGACTATATCGTGCTAAATAGAATTGTGAGTCTAAAGGAGGATGCAGGAAAGTCTGCGTAAACTTGTAGTGTCGGCGACATGTACATGTTCAATCCTAGTCTATCCCTCGTGATGACTCAGGATGACGCGAAAAGCTCGGATGTTATCGGTAAGTTGCAACCTTGAACGTTAACCTTTGAACCTTTGAACCTTTGAACCTTTGAACCTTTGAACCTTTAACACTTCTGCATGTCACAAATCATGTCTATTATATTCCTGCAGGCCTGCTCAGGCTCGGTGTCGGCAGTAATGCCGAAGGAACCGCAAGCAATATATGTCCAGGAAATGTTGGGGACAGACCGTGTCTGCCTATCCACATCCTCTATCCTTTTCACAAATTCACGTCTACCGTGAAATGGTAGAACCACCACGCCGCGGGTACCAAGGTGTTCAACTTTCCGCCCAGAACGCAATACCAACCCAACCTGCATAGCCGGCTAAGCAGGGCTCGGACCACTGGCACATTCGCAGACACATCGCTACATCGTCACTCACCTTCCATTCGCTGTCTATTTACTACAGTTGACTGAGACGATGCCAGGTCCCCGTGATGACTCGAACCGCGCGGCAATCTTTTGGGATTATGGTAGGCCTTTGCCCCTCTTCAGTACGTGATCATGTTTTACTCTCGTATTTGGCAGAGAACTGTGCTCCTTCACCATGTGTGGATGCATGCGTCTTGACGGACAACATTCGTCGTGTTGCCATTGGGTATGGCAGCATCACGATGTTTAACGCCTACGCCGACGAGGTCTTTCTTTCGTCCAAAGCCAAGTCGAAGAGATTTCGTGCAACCCTGCAGAATTGCGGCGTCCAGTTCATCGATACTCCACATAAAGGCGAGAAGGATATTGCCGACAAAGTCATGATAAGTAGGTTCTCGCGGATGGTGATTAGATTAGTGCTGATTCATATTGTATGATGCTCAGCGGATATGCTTGCTTTTGCGGTAGAGAACCGGCCTCCAGCCACGGTGATACTCATCACTGGGGATTCCGACTTTGCCCGTGCCGCCTATATCCTACGGACCAAGTTGTATCGGGTGGTTCTCGTCACGCCCAGAAGACTGTCGGTCCCCATCAGGATTCAGGCCTCGGATGTTATCGACTGGGACTCCGTACTCTCTCCCTCGAAGCCGGTTATGCCCTCTCCTCTGAGAGCTTCGCGAGCATTCTCTCAGAACACCCTGGCAATATCAATAAGATCTCTTCCCCCGACATCTGGCGTGACAAATTCTCAAGAGCAAGACATGTGCAATGAGAATCCTCTAAAATGGCCCCTTGAGGATGGGCCTCCTGAGATGGACAGACAAGCGAAACAGCTTTGCAATGCACTCTCTCCTTCGGGGAGAACCATTGCCAGACCTCTTGGACTGGCTACTTCGACTCCTGTTTCTCACGGCAAGACTCCAACCTTGCTCAGCCCTCGACGTTCAGTTCAGTCAATTCGACCCCTTCTCGCCGCACGTGATCGGCCTGCGTTTCCCAGTGCGAACATTGGACTTTCCAAGCTACGTGCTTTCTCAGCTAGCGGAGACGGTGGATCCCAGACCAAACAGGGTAACCCTGCAGGAGCACATACAATCACCCCTTTGGCGCCTTCGTCTCCGGATTCGGGCCGTGCACCCCGCGGATCCAATGCCGTCGATGTGCGAGGGAGACTCAAGGCGCTGAGTGCCCGTCAGAGGATAGCGATGAACTTGAATACGGAGACAACTTCCCCGGAGAACATTTCACGCGGTCCCCCTTCCGCCAGTCTGCAACCCAACAAGGCGCAGAAAAAGGCGAAGAAGGGCACCGGTACCGATATTCCCTGTGAGCTGAAGTTGCCAGCACATCAGGCTATAGACGAGAAGAAGATACACAGCGTCCCGGAGCATTTCCTTCCACTGGCTTGGGCTCTTGAATGGCTTCGCTTGACAGGAAAAAGTTGCCCTCCAAAAAAGCAGATCCAAGAGGTCATGGAGACATTCACTGGGCGCGACATCGAGAAGGATCTCAAAGCCTCAGGGGTGCAGAACTTCAGACTGTACTTACTCGCAGCCGTGGGTGCAGGTGTTGCGATGAGAGGACGCCAGGCTGGGAAGTGCTGCAATTGCTTTTTGCTACACAACCAGTGGCACGGGAAAATACCTGGCGTTGACTATCTCTACAACCGATTCCGCACGGGCTTCACCACTCCTCCAGATGCGTAGGGCTGACCCATACCGCTCTTCCCCATAGTCTTGTCTTACGGTCTTCATTGGGATTTTTCGTTGTGTCACTCTCCTTATCACTTGTACATTCTACTACCACCACACCCAAGCGCCGCTTGGCCATTGGCTTGCTCTATTCCACTTATGTTCTTTTCTCTTGACATACCCAGGACATGAATGTATCTATACACAGGAACGACACTTCATAGGTTGACACCTTGAGCTTCGCATTATACACCTAGGAAAATAGATTGCTCCTACTCCAGTAGGCAAGCCAGTTTTTGACATCCGCAGGACCTATACTTTCTAAGTCGTCATCCGCGAGAGTAGCAGAGGCCGATACAGCATTTGTACTGGATAGATCAGGAAAGCCAAAAGCGTTCCCACCGGGAGCCTCACGCAAACTCTTGAAGAAAGGAAGTAGCCTGGTAGCTCGCAAACGCCGAACAATGTCATCCACTGTCTGCATTGTCCCAGAGGTCTTCGAGGATGATTCGGCTACTGCCTCGAGTCTTCCTAGCCAGTCCGCGTACGGTACAATCGGCACGTTGAGCTCTTTTGACAGGGTATCCATCAAGGATGACAAGGATACAGGGCGTGGATGAATTAGATGCACTATTCGTGGCACACTAGGTGCCTTGTGGAAGTCGATGATCGCTGCTGCCGTGAGTGGAGTCGGTATCCATGTCACAACCTTGAGAAAATCAGTACATTTCTGCTTGAACTTGAGAAGGTGCAGTGAAATAGACCGACTCTCTGATCTTCGGGAAGGCATTTTAGAATAGGACCGGACTGTACTATTGAAGGGAACCATTCCTGGACATTCCATGCACCATCAGAGCCTCCACATACTTGTCCCACTCGGACGATCATTGGGTCCAAGGCTGTGTGAGCGGCTGCCTTCAGGAGGATTTCCTCTGATACCCATTTAGATTCGGTATATCCGGTACCGACGGCTATCTCAGGCTTGACGGGTTCCTCCAATTGGGTGTTATTGCCATGGACGTCTGGGTGCAAGGACAAGCCAATATGCTTTCAGCGCACGGAAACGCAGCAAGGAACTAAACCTACTCTGGAACAAGCCGATTGAACTGGTGTAGATGAATCTGGGAGGTATGGGCAGAGGTGACTTAAGCGACAGGTCTATCAGATTCCGCAGTCCCCCAATATTGGGCTTGAATGAGTTCAAGGCGATGTTGAAGTCGACACGCCATGCTGAGAAGACACTAAAGTCAGGACCGAAGACAACGCTTGGCTTCAATGAGCTGACCATTGTGGATAACATGTGTGATGTTATCTTGGATCTGGAAAATAGTCTGTAAACACTCAACTCACGGTGTTCTTATGATGCGCACCTCTTGATAGAGTCGGGGCTCCAGACCGAGACCTTTTTCCGCATCCTTGCCTTCCACCAAAATGACCTTGGGAGAGTCCAAAATACTTGGATGGAAACCACGATCCAGGAGAGCTTGTTTCTGTCTAAGGACGAGTGCAGTACCGTCTCCAGCGGCTCGATTCAACGCATAAACCTGCTGGACATCAGGATCTAAAACCAGACTTGTCAAAATATGGCACCCCAGACTGCCGGTCGATCCAGTCAACAATACCACACTGGCCGGGGGAGCTACAGAGTTGCCATTAGCTGTGTGGACATGGAAGTCTGTGCTAAACTCTTCCGCCATTCTGCGCATGGTTTCGGCTTTGAAAGCCACAGACGCTCCATCCTGACTGTTGGTTCCGGCAGCAGTGTCCTTCAGAAACAGGGAGAGTTGATGTATAGATGGATGATCGTAGACAAAGTTGTGGCTGATGGACATGGTATTGATGTGGGCGGAGTCATGTAGCGCACGCAGCAGCGAGTTACGGATCCAAGTCGCTTGAAGGCTGTATTCGACATATCTTCAGTCAGCAGGTGGTACATACAGATAGCCAAGGAGGCGTGCATTACCTATCGCAACCATGGTGGAATATGTCGTCGCCATCCTCAACACCGTGAATTAAGACCTTATTCACCACTGCTCGTACGAACTCGGTCGCGCTCGCAAGATCCCAATCCGCCGGAGGTGGTATGCTCGACTGGGTACTTTCCTCGAGCTTGGCATACAAAGCATCGATTTCGTCTTGATACTCGTAAATTATAACTTGTCGTCGCAGGGTATTTTTTGCGGTGTATGTGAATGGTTTTGACGGCTTGCTCACGGTGATCATCTTTGGCGGCATCAGTGAGTCAGACCGATGTTGCACAGTATGGAGTCCCTCACCTCTTTGAACAACCGTGAATGTTGAGGTGCGTATGCATTCATCTTCTCGATCGTTGGCCTGGAGGCATAGCGCATGCTAGTAACATAGAGTGAAGTTTATGCAAGAAGTGAGCGGACCAGATCATATTTCTGTACTCCGCGAGCTTGGATTCGTCGGACGGCACGAATTTATACCGAGGCTTCGGGTCAATCAACACGCCCGCTTGAAACCGTCCTCGTCCGAACATGACTGAAGTAAGAACGTGAGGATCCTGGTTCAACATATTTTCTGCACGTTGCTTCAGCCTGAGAATCACCACCAGCTGTACGGCTTGATCACTAACCTAATGGGCTCGGGTTGGTCTCAAGCAGGACCCTATTCAGACTGAGTCTTGTACAGCTATAAAAGCCGCCTGCTCACCTTCTCGCCAGTGTTATGAATAATCTGGTCATCTGAGCGTCCAAATACTTTCCAATACTCGGGCATGGTCGGATGAGGTACGAATAGATCAGAAGTCGCGTATGCATCCACTCCGCCGACCTTAGTATTGATCACGCTCGGTGTGCAAACCGCGTTTTCCTAGACCACTAAGTAGCAACCTCGTTGGAATATTGTTACCGAAGCTACTTACGACCATCACAAATTCGAATTTCCCATCTCCCTGGGGTACCATGTGAGGAGTAACCAGGCCAGGAAATTTGAAGTATTCCCAGTCATATCCGACATCGCCTTTCAATGGCCCACCGGACAGCAACAATGAACGAAGAGTCGTGCACAATGCGATACGGATATTCAACTGTGACTTACCCGGGAGGACGGTGCTCATCATGCCGCCTTCGGTTCTGATCCATGCCTGGTTATGGGCCTCCCGCTTACCCAAGAGAAGAGAACCACTTACGCGCCATACAGTATGAAGATCGACACTCCTTGCGATGTCAAATAATCGCCGCATTCCTTATTCAGCGGCCCTCCGCCTGTCAACTTTACATGCGTGCCGATCAGTAATCGCGCATTATTGCAAGCAGCAATAAAATTTGCAAACCTACCACGCCAGTGCGCGTACTCAACCATTCCACGTAGTCGGGGTTCTTCGCCCATTCCTAATCAGGAATGAATCGCCGGACTCACAGAGATGATCACTGGGGAACACACTTCCACAAACGACGGTACGCAAAATATGACATCGCTATTCGTTTTCCTAGCCCCATCGAAGAGGGAATCTGGCGTAGGGGTTGGGGCTGGCGATTTGGGCTCAAAATAAGCTAGAACGTGGCCGGTGGTTGCCTATTTCCCAGCTGATCTATATTAGACGGGTGCATCTGAGGCAGTAGCTTACAGTCCAAAAAATCTGGCAGGCACCCATGCCATGATACATAGGCATTGCATGCAAAGACCACACCTGGTTTGTCAGATCCCGTTCGCCGAACCAGGGGATGAGGGACATCTGTAAGAGGCGGTGCTGGGTCCAATGGACAGGCTTAGGGAAAGCCGTGGATCCTACATTATAGCAGTCAATCGGATTGTGCTTGTAGCTTCCCCTGTCCCATGAGTGGCTTACCTGACGAGTGTAGGATCACAGCTATCTCGTCGGGATCCTTGTGGTCATACGGCACATCCTCTCGTTTCAAAGCCTTCGGTGAAGGTAGAAAGAGTTCCTCGAAGAGAAACATGAGCGAGGTCTCCGGAATGGCTACGCCGGAATAGTGGGCTTTCAGAACTCCCAAGGACTCCCTTGCGAGATCTTCCATGGCTTTCTCGCGGCCCACGAGAATGTGCTTTATGTCAGTTTTGCTGATCAGGTGCGCTATTGCCGCAGGGGAGTTACGAGGCGATACCGGGAAGGCGATGTATCCGGCATACATAATGGCCATCACGGTCATAAAATACGGAATTGAGTCTACTCAATGTTAGAGCCTGACTTCTAGGGCAGCGAAAAGAAGAAGCATTCATAACTGACCCGAAGGCGCAAGAATTGCAATCACTTGCGACGTATTCCTGCCTGATTGCCAGTCCATCCGATCTCTCACCAGTTTGGCGCATACATAGAGTGCTTGCACGGCTTCAAACCAGTATATGGTCTGTATCGTCCCGTCTTCCCGTGCAAAGATGAATAACCGATGGTTAGGACTATTCTCGTAGTGCCAGTCATACATCGCGGCCATCGAGAGGGAGCCATCCATAGGCGGGGGATGAAAGGTCGTGCAATTTCGTGCTTGTGTCTGGGGAGGAGCAGGAAGGATACGATGGGTCGGCATAGTTCAAGATACAATCGTTGGATCCGAGATACTAAGAACAGTGGGCATGGTAGATGCGCTCTGTGGGAAGGTATATATGCATGGTGTAGGCGAGAACGCGCGCACCTGGTTATCTGTTCCTATTCTGAACAAGGCATTCGAACATATGTTCCGGATCATCAGCATTGACTCCCCACGGAGTTTCGAGAAGTCCGGCGCATTGCGGCATCGTGTTCAAAGTATCCGTCAGACTGGCTATTTCCAATCGAAGGGCGTGTACGAGGTATCTTATCTGACTACATAGCAGAATTGCGAGTCATTCAAAATCAACCGTCTGTACCAGAAGTGTCGTGGTCTGCTGAATGAATCTTTCCTTTGCCTTTAGTGGATCCGAAAGAGGACACACAGTAAGCCGTTGAAGGTCCTTTCAAATAGACAGTTCTACTGACCTTGCAAAGTGATACGTAGATCTCAGGACCAACCTGTACGGACACACGTATTCGGTGCGGCAGTTTATAGTGCGCGGTCATTCCTGGTCAGACGAGATTGCCACTGCAAGCCAAGGCACGATTTTAGTCTCCCGTTGGCTCTCGTCTCCATAGCGAGGTGACTTTCTACAAGCTCCGCCTCCAGCGGAAAGATGAGTAATGGCCTAATCGTAGACTGCGATAACTTCCCATTAATATTAGCGACGCATGCCATCGTGATTACCTTCCTTTATGCGGCCAGACAAAGTAGGAATAGCCTTTCCTTTCATACAGCGATACCCAGGGGGCGGCGCTGAACTTGGAATTAATCTTCATGAGATCATAGGGAAGGGGACAACGGCTTCGACTTACATCTTCTTGTCCCCGCTCGCTCTTTCCTTTTGACGTGACTGCTCGACGAATTGAAGTGCTTGGCCGAGGGTACTCCTTTAGCACTGGTGAGGCTTCGAGGCCCGAACGAGCACCGGGAACCCTCATGCGTTGATGTGTCCTATTCCAGGGTTTGATTGAAAGTGCCTGTGCTTGGTGAGAGAAAATTGCGATTGCGATAGGACAACTCCGAAAAAAAAAAGGGGGGGGATCGTGCCGGCATCCTGACCTTCATATTTAGCTGCAAAGAAATACCTGCCTGACCGGCATACGGAAGACGTTTCCGTCGCAGGCTAGAATAGAGCAGTGGGAAACAAATGAGATTGCACATTGAGCATGGTGCGGCGGTAAAACTGCAAGTGTATTATGCGAGAGATAGTTTACTGCAATTGTTCACTCGAAGGCAAGTAACACCTCACGAGCCTTCGAGGCGCTGGACAACCGCCTCGACCTTCGATTCGTCCTTTTGGTCGGGCACATCGCTGTCCCTCTCATTGGCTTCCATCGCGCCTTCAGACATGCATTTGGGGCACGTGCAAGCGAATCTCCAGCCTCGGGCGAGCTCAATGCGACGGCGTCTCCGGGCCTCGACGGGTGTCTCGCCGGGGTGCTGGGAGACGTCTACATAGGCGATTGTTATTTCTTCTCCCTCCTTGATATCGCGGTTCGCGATGAGGGTCAGTTCTGCAGTCCCACTGCCGAATGATGGACGCGCGTTCGGGTCGCAGGAGTGGTTAATCTAAACAAGTTTAGATGGGGCTGATCTCAGATTGTAACGGATACGTACATAGGATGATACCGCATATAAGCCACAGCCTATCTGCCTTGAGGTGCCGTATGGTGTCCTTGCTCTTTCTTGGTCCTCAGGGCGATCCGTTGGCGCGGGCTACCACATTCTTAGATCGAATTCTGCGGCTTGCCATGAAAAGACCTTACCTTATCATCTCTACCTCCACCTGGGCAAACACCGATAGCATTGTATGCCATCTTACCGGCGAGGATAGCTTGCCTTTCATCAGACGAAAAGGACTCAATGCCAGGCAGCGCGTTCTTCAGCACCTCCGAAACAAGTCCAACCTCTTCTTCAGGAATGGTAGTCTCTAGGTAGCGTAGTCTTTCGATATGGTCGTAAAGCGTGTAGTCTCCATCCGTTACAGGCTCGGCAGCAAGTGGAGAGGTCCCAGGAACCATCTTTGCCGTCTCATGCGCAATCTGACGTGCCAAGAATTTGGAAACAAGGAGTGGAACAGCCTTCCCTCTGTTTCTGAGGTACTCGACGAATGCTTCCTGCGCTTTCTTCCTCTCCTCGTGATTAGTCATGTCAGGCGCCAGTTCTGGTGGCAAGAGGGGTTCCGAGCCAAACAGGATGTTCTGATACTGGACTTTAGACTTCACTTGACAGTCCTTAGAACAGTACACAGCACCCAACCGGTCATCCTCGGCAGGTATGGCCATGCCCTTTTGGATCTGGCGCAGACAATGTGAACAATGTGTGCCCTTGCCTTCAAGATCCAGGTCAAGAGCAGCGACGACTGGTTGTTCCTGCATCCCATGTCTAAGCAACGTCGATGTATGAAGGAAGACACTACCTTGTATATAACATCACCAGCTTTGAAGTCTTTGGCTGCGGCAAGGATCTTTCTCTTGCCTTCACCGATATCCCGCTGAGTAACTTTCACGTTCATGTCCTTTGGAGGGAAAGTACTATAGTAACCTACGGAACAGCACGAGAGGTGCTCAGTCCAAGCTCGATGATGGTGTCAATCGAGCTCACCTTCGACACGTTCCTTGACCTGCACGCGGGAACAGGCGAAAACGATTGATATACATTGAAGAGTAAATCAGTACTGTAGATATGCAAGGTAGGAGTAGGGACACGAAGGTATGGGAGAGACTCGAACTATGAACGACGGTCCACTCCGAGGACTTCATGCTGCCGGCGTCTGACTCCCCGGGTCTGTCACTCTGTCCCACTCGTGCGAAGACGTCTCTGAAGGAGGGCCGCTCCTGACGGGGCTGGTCGTCTCCTCATCCTCAGAATTGCTCGCCTGCTGCGCCGAACCCCCCGATGACGAAGAAGGCTCACTTACGTCCATGTTCATCAAGTCCATGACAATCTAGAGAAGACGTGTGAGCGAAGAGACTGTAAAGAAGAGGTGAACCACATACCTTGAACACGGGCTCTGGCACGGTCTTCTGATAGATGACAATGAGCTCAACCGGGGATGGGTAAACCCGGAGTGCTCGGTAGAAACAGAGGGCGGCAGGAAGATGGAAGGCAGGACCTTACAAAAGACATGACATGACTGCACGCATACAACAAAAAATTCCCGACTCACCTTGAGTGCAGAGCTGCTCTCCCATACCCACTTGGGTCATAAAGAATTGCTCCCTCTGCTCAGACGAAACTGGCATGTCCTCACTCCGGACCTTTTCCAAGGCCTGACGAAGCTCCTGAGGGCTAAGGGAGGCAGAGGCATCTCCTTGAGACCGAGCTAAGTGCTTGTCGACCTTCTTCTTTTCCTTGCCTGAGCGCGCGACCGGTGTTTACAAGAGATGTGGCAATGAAACACGACCGACACTTACGCAGCTTCTTCCGGAAAGTCGCATCGTTCCTGCGCTTGTAGTCAAAGTAGACAGCATAGGCAAGTACCCCGCTGATGAGCGTGACACCGGCGACGGTGAGTACGGTCGATGTCCTCGTCATGGTCGACGTCGGAAAAGTTTGGGATGACGCGCCACCGGCGCGATGCCTTCCACGTCCCACGCATCCCGCACGTGTGGCGGGCGCCTGTTCACAGTCTTCTCAGTGCTTTCCCGGTCTTCGTTCAGCTGCCCGTAATGCGATCACCGATACCGTGGTTTCATGCTGCTTGCCGCAGCAGCACGTACTCGGCAGCTCAGGACAGCTGCGAGCTCACTACACCTCTCTCTAAAGCCGTAGTCGCAAGGGATTCAACAGCATAAGTGCAGCAATGCCCTCCAACGTAGAAGACGCATTCATCAAAGTATCCTTCAAAGAAGTATGCGACAACGACGCTGTAAGCAGCGCAGATCCATTGTACGACTATTGGATGGACCAAGGTATGTGCCTCTTGCTTTCCTGCGGTTGAGTATTGACATATTCTGGTTGTGATTTCGCAGCTTCCGGTAAACGGAGCGGGCCTGAATTATATGGGTAATTATATGCTTTCTACCGGATCCTTCTCGTCGCTCATTCCCTCTTCAGCACGAATGCGCTGCGAAAGCTGTACCCTGATCACTCGTTGGTTCTGACGCCCTCCGATGTCCTCCTTTACCCTGGTGCCCGTGCGGAACCTATCGCGCCGTCGGACGTGATAACTAATCTGTTATTCATACCTCTGGCACGTCGATCTGCTGCTGGGCCTGGCGTTCTCTTGGACGAGGTCTTCTTCGGTTCATTCAAGGTCTTCTGGAATGTAAGTGCAATTCTGCGCACACTTATGGTGTCATATTGAAGGTCCTTCAGAATAACGAGTTCATCTTGTACACCACTAAGGTCCGTTGATTCGCACCGTAGCCTCTTCTGGGTATCATCGTTCACCTTGGATCTCAGTGGTATGATTCGTACATCCTCAAGCAGCAGAACTATCTTTTGTACGACTGCTCTGAGGCTGCTATGCGAGAATTTCTTTTGGAAGCTGGCAAATGGAGCACGGAAGTTCACGAAGAAATCTGGGTCTTCAATCAAGGCTACTGGCGGAAAGATGGGGGTCTCTGGGCCGAAGTACAGAAGGCAGACTGGAAGGATGTCATACTAAAGGAAGAGTTCAAGACATCTCTTAAAAAAGACATCTTTGGCTTCTTCTCATCAGAAGATCTCTACAAGGAGCTTGCTATTCCATGGAAAGTCAGTGCTCCTACAACTCCTAGACTCCGCCTGGTTTGATGTTTCGCGCCCCAGCGAGGATTGATCATGTACGGTCCCCCAGGTATGTCCTCCGCGCAAGATCAATGTAGTAGAGGCGTTGTTTAAAGGGGTTGTCCTTACTTAGGGAACGGTAAGACAGTCAGTATCAAAGCCATCATGAAGGGTTGCGAAGAGAAGGGGTACCTCCCGCTCTACGTCAAGTCTTTCCAAAGTATATATCGAGTCAGCCTCCAACCGAGCAATGCTGACCACCATCTCTAGGTTATATGGGAGAAGAGGCCTCCATGGCGTTGGTATTCAACAAAGCGCGCCAATTAGCGCCTTGTGTCGTCATAATGGAAGATTTGGATAGCTTGATCAATGAGAGTAACAGGTCTTTCTTCCTCAACCAAATCGATGGCCTGGAGGGCAACGACGGTCTCCTGCTCATAGGCACAACAAACCATGTCGAGAGACTTGACCCCGCCTTAGCGAGCAGACCTAGCCGCTTTGACCGGAAATAGTAAGGACACTGCGTTCCAGTGGGAGACATGCTCAAATGACCTCTTGTCCATGCAGTCTGTTCGATGATCCGGATCTCGAAGAGCGGACCCTCTACTGCAAGTACTGGCAGAAGAAGCTTGAGAGGAACAAAGCTGTTGACTTCCCTGACGACTTGGTCTACGAAATCGCCAAATTGACGGACAAATTCAGCTTTGCCTACTTGAAAGAAGCATTGTCCGTCCATCTCCTCGTTTGATGCACGGACCTCTGCTAACTCCCGCATAGCGTGTCTACTCTGGTCTTACTCGTCGGCGACAGGGAGAAAGACAGCCAGCTCGATTTCGCTACTGTCATAAGGCAACAAATCGCGAAACTGCGCAAGGAGCTTGGCAAGCAGCCTAGCTACCGAAGCTATAGCCCCGTCACACGCGCCTCTCCTCCTACGCGAGCGCTTGATGCTGCGTCTCCCGAAATGCAGGTACAGATGCAGCAGCTTCGAGAAGGAAATCTTCGGTCGATGGCCTCAGCTGCAGCTAGCCTGGGCAGGTCCTTCATGTTCTAGAGAGCGGCCTAGTGGTATGAAGGTTGTATGTACGATGGTTGCGACCGTGTTCAGTGCGTAGGTCAATAAAACATCAGGGACTTCAGAAGCCAGTTCGTCGCACGGCTGCGTAGCATTCATGATTCATCTAGACCTTGGCTCCTCTGCCCAAGGCAAGGTTAGGGTTCACCTAAGAATTACCAAGACGCGACCTTCGCTACACCTTTGCCTACAGTATTACGTCGGAGCACAGTAAGTTACATAGAGGTACACACATTGACCGGCTCGCGCTCATTCGGCTAGACTGCGCCACATGCTTGCAGAGGGCACTTTACTTCGGGCTTCCAAGATCTTCAGCGCTCGCTGCCGACCCACGCTTCCCACTTGAGGGATATTGTCATTATCAGTGTCTTCATCCTCATCAACGTCCTCAGCGGCAAAGTCGAGGGCTCCTGGATCCATATTCCGCATCCGATCGCGCTCAGCGTACGAGGCCTTGCGCAATGTAGAGGAAGAGAACTCTCCACTGCTCCTTCTCCGCTGGTTGGGCGGGAGGGGAGGTACCAACACCCCTGGACGATCCGATAATGATGTCTTTGGTTGATACGACGGTATACCGAGTACCTTCTTGGATCTTGATAGTGGGCCGATAGCTATAGGCATAGATGAACCAAGACGAGGTGGCTTCGAATCCGCGAAAGACCCGTCTGAGGGGAAAGGGTTAATATAGGGCTCTTCGACTGATACGTTGGACCCACCATCCAAATCATCACTTTCCGATGGATCCTCGAAATCATCAAAAATCCCTGCGTCCGCTTCCTCCTCGTATTCATCTTCATCCTCGTTCTCCTCCGAGATAGCAGCCGCGCTGGATATCTTCGATCTTCGATCCTGCCTACGAACGAACGTCTGCCACGCTTTGCTATCCTTCTTCCATGCACCCCGATGACTCGGCGTGTCCGCGGCCACCAACTTCAATATCTCTGCTTCATGAGGGTCCAGCGGACTATCCCCCTCGCCCTCATCACTGGTTCGTCTTGACCGTGCCTTCCGCCCTTCCAAGACGGGTGCATCGTCCTTGAGGGACCGGGGGCTCGCCGTCCGTTCTTCGTCTGGGACAGGTCGAACATTGGAAGGAGCTGGTAAGGACGCAGGGCGCAAGACTGAGTAAGACTGAGGTAATCCCTCATCGCTTGATTTGCGTGGGCGGCCACGAGGACGGGCAGGTGCACGAACAGGTTCATTGAGAGGTAGACTGGCCGTGCCATCTGAGGTCTGTCCGTCCACGTCGTCATCAAGGTCGAATATCATGTCTACATCAAAGCGTATCACATTAATTAAATGCCCCCAGATCTCATTGCGACTTGATATACCTTCCGTCCGTTTCTGCGCCCGAGAGGCTTCTTGAGCTTCCTTCTCAGCAGTCACATTTCTCGTGATCGTTACGACAGCAGGCTCCACATTGAATGTCACTTTTCGTCTCGTCTTCAAGTCGTCCTCCTTAGAGGGACTACCATCTCGTGTCCTGCTCTTCGACCGAGACTTCCGAGCTTGAGGAAGCGCACTGGTCCCCTCCCCTTTGTCCACGTTATTTGCATCCGCTTTGGTTCCCTTGGGACTGCCGGGGGCCTTCGTCTGCTCAACCGCTCCACCTTCAGTCGGCTCGGAAGTTCCCATATGTTCGTCCAGGTTAGCGAAATACCGGAAGCTTGTGGCAACGTCCTTGGACGGATCCATATTTCTATGGAAAGGCGAGAGAATACTGTTGCTAGGATCGCCTTTGATGCGAGTAGGAACAGACTGCGACCTAGCCCGAGACGGTATTCCGCGTCCATTGGTTGCATTGTCGCCCAGCGAGTCCTCGGAAGACGTCTCATCAGCAACGGCCGACTGTAAGCCTTGACTGCGAGCTTCAGATGACCTGCAGTCTTCTTGCGCTCGCGGGTGCTGGAAAGAGGATGAAGCCAAGGACGTAGATAGAGCGGACGGTGCACGTGGACGAGGCGGACTTGACACTCTGCTGGTCGAGGACAAACTGTGAGCAGGAACGAATGACCGTATAGACACGGGCACTGTTCCATTGACTGCTCTAGGGCCAGAGGAACTAGACCTAGCGCGACTGCCGCTATTCCTTCTGCGGCCGAGAGGCTTATCTCTCACGCCGTCTACCTCGACCTCGATCTTCAGGATTTCTTTCCTAAATTTCCTCCATAATAGCTCGACTTGTCGCCGGAGATCCTCTTCGAGGCGGTTTATTTCGTCTACCTTGGCTTGCGTGACTGTGGCGAGATACTCCTCGGCCTGTGAGCGTATCCTGGTAGATTCTTCCCGGGCGAACGAGGCAAGATGGGAGAATGTAGGATGGGAAGGCGTGAAAGGCGCCGGGGGGAAGATGGGTGGCAGAGGGGGTAAGTAGGTTCGAGAGGCGGGCGACGGGGGTGGTGGCGGCGTAGAGGGTTTAAGTAGTGGATCAACGGGTGAAGAAGGTATTTCAGCAGGAAGAATGATTCGGAATAACGTCGAGTACGACGGGGACGCTTCAAGCTGACGTACAGCCTCTCCGGTCTAACAATAAAAGGTCAGTAAGTAAGTGACACTTAGGCAGTATGGTAGGATGCTCTAAATCAATGCCAATGAAGCAGACAAGCCATGGAAGCGCACGTTTGCTGCCCGGCTTTGCAAAGTAATCAATCAGGGCTTGACATACCAAGCATTGCTTATGAACCTCGACCCATCCGCTGGAACTCTTCAGCGGTTCTTCCTCTGCCCAGCCTTCGCTTGGTAGTACGGGACCTTCATTTCCTTCGGCCTCCGGTGGCACCACTTGCAGCACACGGTATACCAGAGCCTCGCATAGCAAGCAGGTCAAGGACATATACCGGATCCATCGGGATCTATCTTCGTCCTTGAACACCTTGGTCCGCTTCCTTAGTGTAACTTGATTATGAGCCTGCAAGACCGAGTGAACACCAGACAAACTCGCACAGCGCCTCTCTCTAACCCACAATCGTGATACCTTCGTCGCCGACATAGACCGGGAAAAAGTGCGAGTCTTGCACCTCCGGCGGCGACCCAGACGGAGGCTGCGGGCGGCAGCGTACGTTCAGGCACTTGCACGCATACATAGCAGCATCTTGCGAAGGCGCCATGAACGAGCGGATGGACGGTTACGCAAAGCAGACGCGGACTGCCAGGCCTGAAGAAGAGCGTGCACTGACTTCGGGTTTGCGCTGAGATCGGAGCAGAGTTGTCGCCTATGTAAAGATCCCGAGAGCCGAGTCACCCATAGAAGACGCTCATCCTTCGCATGACAAGGGCAGTGTATAACATGACTTGTTTCGGGCGTCGTTCTCAAGTGCCGTTCCGTGACAAATGCATCCAGTATATAAAGCTTGACGTTGTCGTAACGTACATCGGAAGGCTCTATCACTCATCCCAAATCAAAATACGGACCCACTCCTCCACCCCCCTACTTTGTCTTTTTCGTTTCGATCGCAAGCTGCTGCTCCTCGCCCGCATCCTCGCCCTCCATCACCTGCCCATATTCGTTGATTCTCTTCGGATCAATTCGGTATATCCACCGCTACGACAAACATCAGCTGCCCTTCTCGCTTGCGGAGTGAACTCAGTCTCACCTGATATAGGAAGACAAGGAAAACTAGGTCATCGCGGAAACAAGCCAATCTGTGCAAAAAAGGCATCTTGATGCAGAATCTGTATGGCAGCATCACGTTCAATGTTCGAACGTGAAGAGTGTTGCAGGAGGTCTTACGCGAATAAGTCATCGACAACCGTCGACAGGGTCTTGTAGATCATGGCCTTCATGGGCATATGGGCCACGCTCTGGCATGGCACCGTAAGCTCGGGACAGCAAGTCACTATAAGCGAGACCGGACGAACCTTCAGCTTGTAGTTAATGATTAATTGAGGAATAAGTTGCGCCTGCAGACGCCGCGTGAGCTGAAATCCGGAGGACAACTAACGAGGAGACTAACGAAGCCAAACATATACACGAATGACGTGAGGGTGGATATGACGAAGCTGTACCATCCTCTGTGGGACTCGTAGAGTAGGGAGTAGACCGTGTAGGCAGCGAGAAGGGGAATAGCTGCGTATGACACGTAACGGTAAGCTAGTTTGTCGTATCTGGAGGAGCTCGTCAGGTCATATACAACCAGATAGTATGAGATGCTTTACTCTTGCGTCCTCTTCTCATCCTCGCTCAATACATGTTTATCTGATATCAAGACATGAATGCCATGTTGCAAATACACATGAGGTGTCTACATACCGTGAACCTCGATCTTGTAGGGGAACAGTGACCCTGCCGGCGCAGCGACCAGCTTGATATCCACCGCCTTGGTTATCTGTATACGAGACAATAAATATACATGCTGTAACAGAATGACCGATACCAGGATTCGCACCTTCCATGCTTCGATTAGGAGGCCCATGCCCTGACCAAACAGGATCATCCAGCTAGTCTGCTCGTTGTTGTCGAGGAGATACAACAGGATAATAAGTTGGACCACAACGTTCGCAACGATCTGTCGGACGCGTTAAAACACAATTGTTCATGCAGCTAAGGTGACAACGACATACCGTCCTGTGAATTCACCCTATCAGTCGCGTCATCAAATTACCGACACGAGAGTAAATGGCATACCTGACCGATACCCCCACAAGCTCTTGCTTCTTCCGCCAATGCGAGACGTCGTTCTTGAACGCCAACATCTCGAAACTGCGCATGGATCAGCACCTTCAAGTCACTCAACGCAACCATACCACCACTCACACAGTATGCAACAAGCTGACTATACCCGTAAGCGCCAAGAAATATGGGTTCGTCTCAACAAGCATTCGCTTGACCTCGTCCAACTCCGCCCCAGCGCCTGCGCCCTGCTGTTTCGCAGCCTCGTTGAACCCATGGGTCATCGAGGCGAACAGCTGAAACTTGAAGTACGACATGGGTTGAAACACGACCTGCAGCGGGAGGGTCGGGGTCGTGCTGTTGATTTCAACGTACTGCGAGCGCAGATGCCAAAAGTCGTTCGCGAAGACGATGGGCTTGTAGAATCCTTTCGTGCCGGTGTCGTCACGCAAGCCCGGGACGAGGTGGACGTCTGTACGGCAGGATGAGTCTACGGGAAGGGTAGGAGATTCTTTGTAGTACGTACGCTCAGACAGAACAGGAGGCAGTTGGCCGTACGGCAGTGTGGGCGCATCGGATACAAGAGCCAAAGTCAAGTTCTGCACGGAATGGTAAATGGATATGCGGGACACGAGTATATCCAGGAGGACACACCGGATGCCAGTGTGATACAATGATGTCCGCTTGCGGCTGGAGACAATCAGAGAGTGCTGACCACCCATGTTAAGATACTCACTTCCTCCTCTTCTTTCTCAGGCCCTCCATCCTTGTCGGCAAGTAGGTTCCTTTGCTTTCTAACCTTAAGTTTTGGCATGTACCGCGTAAGCACTAAAGTCAGGTAAGAGTCCATGCATGACAGTCTGCAGTTCAGAAGGGTATACGCACGCTTCCTGACATGATGAACGGATGCTGGGTCGAACGCCGAGTCTGAGGGATCAGGACTCCTGCCCCCCTTCACCAAGAAGATGTCGGCCCACATGGATCCATTGTTTTGGACAGCCTGACATTCCCTCGTAAGAATCTGCAGCGCGTAAACACAGACTAAGACTCACCTTTGGCAAGTTGACTTCAAATTCAACCTTTCTTTCCTCCTTCCAATCGCCGAACGTGATATTCTCCCAGACAAAATTCGGTAGACCCTCGTCTCGGTCCGCCCTATAGCCAGATGTCCACTTGCTGGAGAACACGTCGCCTGTGGGAGATGTGGAGAGGTATACATGCATGGAGATGGGAGTCCCAAGAGGCCATGATGGGTCTAGGTATGCCTGAACAGGTGGCAGGTGGAAGGGGGAGACTTGTCGAGCGGGGGTGTCTGTATTGCTATCGGGAACAACGCTGGAGGGCGTCGGCGGACTTGCAGAGGGTGTCAGGCGGGACGAAATAAACTTTGTTGCTGCACACCATGTGCTCGTTAGACACATATTATCAACGCAGTACAGGAAGACGCACCCAGCTGGGATAGAGCCCATACCACGAAGAGTTGCTATTCCAGGGATTTAATGTGAAGTTTCTTGTCGATTTGACCCAAACTTACCTGCGCTATCCCAAGATACCTGCGGAATGGTGATTCTTCCTCTCTCCTAGGAGCTGGGGCCGCCGCTGCCGCTGTAGGTGGCCTTGCCTGAGTCGAGGACGGCATCAGGGGAAGAAGAGACGCGTTCACGCACGTGGCAGGTGGCGATCCTTTGGTCTGCCTTCCAAGTTGTCTTCTTTGCCTGGTGGGACGAAATTATGCTTCTCTCAGTTTCCTTTGCGTTCTGGCGACGATGTATATAAGCTTCGAGCTGTATGGTCACCAACGACTGACATCGAGGTCGACTTGTACCGGCCGACCAAGCGGACAAGCCAGCGAGTCGTCATCTCTCTGGTAATGCTCATTGCTCATCCATGTTGTCTGCTTATGTTTCGCAACCCCAACTTCCTGTCTCAAAGATATTTCTCAGTCTATGATCTTCCCATACACAATCCCGTAACCTGCATGGCTTGCATGGCTTTCCGCTCGAGCTTGTATCTCCCGGCCCATCCCATACCATGAGCCAAAGATGAGTACGTCACCTGTTTCTAGATCTGATGGTCCCTAGGAGTCTCAAGGGGCAACCTGTCGTGTACCTGTCCCGACTGCTCTGCCTATCTGCTCCTCGTCTTCGCAGACTTAGCGATCGGGACCAACCTACCACCATATCCTGATCCTCGCAAGCTAGACATGCAAGGCTATCATTGACAGATATGTGCCCTTTTGCGTCCTATATACTGACGGTGAGGGGTCTGACGGAGGCGGAAGCAAATCAAGCGGAGTTTAGCACAGGAACCTCCTTCTCCTTGAATTCCGGTGTGGCGGGAGGGATTAGCGGATTGATCAGGTCAGTCTGGATCGTGTACTTGGGAATTCAAGCGTATCGCAAAGCAGAAGTGCGCGATATTCGAAGATTTATCTGCCCATATATGGAAGTGTGGCTCGTGAACCATCCATCAGTTTCTGATAAGCGTCCGTCTTTGGGCTGATGGTGTGTCCTAGTGCCGACCGTCCAATGAGCGACGAGGAAAGCTTAGCAAGATGCAAGGATATCTAGATATCAACCCCCGGGTACGTCTAGGTACGTGTTGAGTTGCTTCACTGTTGCTAACCGTCTCGATGGTGGTTGATGTTAAGGGCCGTTTAGGCACGTCTGTCCGGCACACATGGGTCGCATTCCCTGCCTGTCTCTGTTTCGGAGGCCGGCAGCCATTGCGGACCAAGTGTAGCCGGTTCCCGCCTTTCCTTCCTTCCTTTAAGACGAGCGTATCGGTACCGAAGCAGCTCCTGCCTGGAGCCTCCGCTGCTCTCTCCCTCGTCTCCGTTCGCTCCAAACATGCATTCGTTACTTTCATCGTCGCTCTTTGTCTCCCTGTTTTTGATCCATTTCACTTTCGCTACAACTTACACCGACCCCAGCAAACTACCGAACACTCAGTACGACTACATCGTCGTCGGAGGTGAGCTGGGAGCGGAGTTTGCTTGCGGGGCAGGACTCATCTTTCGTAGCTGGTACTGCTGGAAATGTCATTGCAAACCGTCTTACGGAATCCTCGAAGATAAAGGTGCTAGTCATTGAGGCTGGTGCGGCGTGAGTAGACTTACGCCCGGGTCTGAAACGTCCATCGCTTACGTGTCGACGACCAGGCGGGATGGTAACCCTCAATTGGATATACCCTTGTTAGCTCCACAGCTCAGTCCGGACACGGCGTATACATGGAACTATACGACGACGCCTCAACCAGGTCTCAACAATCGGGTAATACAGTATCCTCGTGGCAAGATAGTAGGAGGAACCAGCTCCATAAGTACGTCCGTCGTCCGGGATACTCCGTGCAATGCTTGTCGTACATTACTCAACTGCATCTAGACTGGCTCTTTTGGACTCGCGGTGCCGCGGATGACTACAACCGGATTGCACAAGTTACAGGTGATCCAGGCTGGTCATGGCTGGGACTTATGCCTTACATGTATAAGGTATATACGATACTCCTCTAGCGTTCCTATCTTCCCTTGCTAACCTGCTCTGATCTCAGAACGAGAAGCTCACACCGCCAGCCGACGGACATAACACGTCGGGCCAGATCACTCCCTCTCTGCACGGGAAAAACGGTCCTTTGGAGATCAGCGTATACGGCTACGCAAATGAGCTTGATGACAAAGTCGTGCAGACGACCAAAGAGCTGTCTTCTGACTTCCCGTACAACCAGGATCAGAACTCTGGCAATCCCCTCGGTATTGGTACGGCTCTTCCTTAGGTATGATTTCTTATGGCTAACACACAAACTATGAAGGCTTCCTGCAAGCATCTATTGGAGGGGGTAAACGGAGCAGCTCGGCCTCAGCTTATCTGGAGCCAGTTCTAAACCGCTCCAATCTGGATGTGCTCTTGCAGACGACGGTGACTAAAGTTATTCAAACCGGGAAGACCGGTGACATCCCCATCTTCCGTGGCGTACAGTTCGCCCAGTCATCTTCAGGTTAGTCCACTTTACCCGTCGGCAACAAAAACTACGATCTCACTGTAGCACCCTTCAAATACAGGACCACTCTATGCCCTTAACGCCACTAAAGAAGTTATTCTCTCCGCTGGGTCTATCAACACGCCCCAAATTCTTATGCTCTCCGGGATCGGTGATGCGAAAGCATTGCAGTCATTGGGCATCAACCCCGTTCTTGACCTCCCCGACGTCGGCAAGAACCTGCAGGACCACAGTCTCTTGTCCAACCTGTTCGAAGTCAACTCGAATAACACGTTTGACAACATCTTCGAGGACGCTGCTGTCGCGGGAGCCGACCTTAACCAGTGGGAGACGAACAAGACGGGTCTCTTTGTGGACACGTTGGGGAACAACGTTGGTTGGCTGAGACTTCCTCAGAATGACACGATCTTCCAGAAAGTTTCTGATCCCACCGCTGGCTCGAAATCCCCTCACTACGAGCTGATCATGTGTGTGCGTACATTCGCTGAAATCACCTTCTCACTGTTTTCTCAAATTTTTACGCCGCGTCAGGATGGCTGGGCTTCGATCGCCGACCCTCATCCTGGTACTGGTCATTGGATGACGCTGGTCACGAACCTTATTTCACCTACGTCTCGTGAGCAATCGATTCTTGTACGTACCGGTACAACTTCTAATACGATCAATATGAGCAGGTGGATCCGTTACCCTGGCTTCCATAGATCCATTCGCAGCCCCTATTATCGATGCTGGGCTGCTTAACTCCGACTTCGACATTTATACCATGAAGCAAGCAATCAAGTCAGCCCAGAAGTTTCTCACAGGCTCTGCATGGAAGGATTATATCGTCGCTCCATATGCCCCTCTGGGGAACGTGACTACCGATGCAGAGCTCGAACAGTATGCCAGGAATCATACTACGACCGTCTGGCATCCGGTCGGTACGGCTGCCATGTCGGCCTGCGATGCGGCCCATGGTGTCGTCGACCCTGACCTCAATGTTAAGGGCACTATCGGACTAAGAGTCGTGGATGCAAGCATATTCGTGAGTGTTTTCTGATCTCAGCGTAGCGGTGGTCTTGACAGGTGTCCCTTCGTAGCCCTACATACCCGGAGCGCATCCCCAGGCTCCCCTCTACATGATGGCTGAGAGGGCTGCAGACTTGATCAAAGCTGGCACTCAGCTCTGTTACTGGTATGATCGCCTGTTCTGGTGGCTCCACTGGTAATGACTTCTCCTGGAGATCTGATCATCCTCGTGCATCATGAGTGTACGTATCACCGGCCGAGCATTCATCGATCTCATTGTGCTTCATATATTTTCGTCGTGTGCAAACGGACGAGCATGGACATGTAAAGGGCTCCTTCAGTTTCATTCTTGTTGTTGTTTTCGGTCCCATTATCTAGGTACTTAGGCACTTGTAATTGTTATCACACGAAGTATTGTTACCACTTTCCCTCCAATGACTCATTTGCGCTAGAAAGTTGAATGTCACGGGCGTTGACTGGGGCTCCATTCCGGATTGCGCGTTGTCCAGCAAAGAGCAAATTGACGCCGACAATAATGCTGGCATTGCTGTGCGGTGTCTGAGGCCCGGATAACCAGGATGCCCGGCGCCTCCGAGGGTGCGTGATGCGCCGGTTTTGTCGGCCAGTCAATCGCCGAACAAACTAGCTAAGGTTAGGGTTATAAGTATGCCCGTTAACCCCAACAACGGTCCACCTTAATATCAGTGTACAATAGCTGGACTCGAGTGCAGAACCGAAACTAAACATGCGCATGTATCCGAACTGCGAGACACTAAAGAGATGCAGAGCATCATACATACATCAGTTACAAGTGAACGACTCACTTGTCCAGGCGTGTCAATGATGGGCTTGATACTGCGCCTCGAGCTCCTAAATAAGACTTGGTAGACGAGGTCAATGTATATTTTGGGCACTGTGGTTCATGCATGCAGCATATGTAGAGAAGTGACCCCGGGGAGGCACTTAATAACTGGGCACCCGATGGACCATAGTTTTGGTCAGGCAGGCCTTGAACAAACCTCTGACTCGTTTTCGAATGCTTCCACGCACGCCTGTCTCGTGCAACCCTATGAAGGTGGGCAATGGGAGAGCACTACGTATCCGGATCCATTGTGGCTGATGCTGCGAAGGTTGTCGGACAAAATCCCTGGACACCGGACGCCGACCTCACCACGGTTCTGCAATGTCTAGAAGGTGGTAATTGATCAATTCCGGTCTTCGTATCCCTTTGCGATATTGTCCCACCGGTAGCCAGACGTTGAACGCTACTGTAACTGTATTTCACTGCCGGATACAGGATGAATGCTCAGAATATTTCAGCGCAACAAACATGCGGCGCGCAGTGTACATATAGCCAAAGCTGCTGCTGCCTGAGTCAGTCATAAGGAGCTAGCGAAAGCGATGCCCACACGGCCATCATGGCGGGTTTCGCTATAAGAAGGGGCGCTGCTAGAGACGAGGTGGCTGGGGGCGCTGTTGGGGAACAGCCCCGTTTCCAGCTGTCCTAAATACAGCTAGCAAGCGCGCCACCAGTCCGCAACCGCTCTTCTTGTACACCTTCGACGGCCAGGCGACGCCCTCAGACCATCTTTCACGACATCAACTAGGACTATAGCCCATTCAAACAACATGGCTGAGGATCGTCCGCCGTTGCGGCCCATGGCGTCCCAGAGCACTCTGGGGGGCGATTCACACTACGGCGACCCTTTCGCTGACCGTCCACGTCACATTCAGCTGCAGGATCCGGGACCACGTCCTTTTGAGAGTACTACGTCTCTTCCACACGAGTTCGGCGGTCGTGGTGCAGATGACTACGACGACGAAGAAGAAGAAAAGCAGCCGCTGACCGGCGCCCAGTTTGCTGGGGGTTTCTACCCGTAAGTTGCTCATCAACAGTAGATGCCCGCGACGCGACAAGCCAAAAATCATGCTTGTTCCTCCTGCTCTGGCTTTTGCTGATGTGAATACGTCGGGACTAACATACCGGTTCTTGCAGACCGGCAGACCCGAATAGTTTCGGTGACCCGTATGCTCGGCCCGTATCAACAGTCTCAAGTATGACGAACGGCGTCGAGTCCAGCTGGAGGCGTCGCCAAACCATCAAGCGTGGCGTGACGCGTAAAGTGAAGCTCACCAACGGCAACTTCGTTGCGGAATATCCGGTACCTACGCCTGTGTTCAGCGCTGTTGAGGCGAAATGGTCGCAGACCAAGACCACTGAGTTCACGTGAGTTGCATTGACCCAGAAAAAGCATGTACTTCTGGTCACTAATTGTTCATTCAGGCACATGCGATACACGGCTGCGACTTGCGACCCGGATGATTTCGTCGAAGCGAATGGTTGGTCCCTCCGCACGAAAAACTACAATCGCCAGACCGAGCTTTTGATCGCGGTCACGTCCTACAACGAGGACAAGCAGCTGTATGCCCGTACACTTCACGGTGTTATGCTGAACATCCGTGATATCTGCAAGACCAAGCAGTCAAAGTACTGGCGTCGCAGCGCAGAAGAGGGTGTGCCTGGCTGGCAAAAGATCACGGTGGCCTTGATTGTGGATGGTTTAGAAGCCATGGACAAGAGCGTGCTGGATATCTTGGCCACTGTCGGTGTCTATCAGGACGGTGTGATGAAGAAGCAGGTTGATGGCAAAGATACCGTTGCCCACATTTTCGAGGTTGGTCGTTGCTTGTAAGCTCGAATTAGCTGGTTCTCTGACACTCGAAGTCTACAGTATACTACGCAACTCTCAGTCGATCCTTCTCCACAACTTGTCCTTCCTCACGGAGATGACCCCAACAATCTGGTGCCTGTCCAGATCATCTTCGTCTTGAAAGCCAAGAATCAGAAGAAGATCAATTCTCACCGGTGGCTCTTCAACGCCATTGGTAGAATGCTGGAGGTTCGCTCCTCTTTCTTGTTATGCATGCAACTATCTCTGACGTTACGTGCTCAGCCCGAGATTTGTGTTCTAATCGATGCCGGTACAAAGCCCGGGCATAAGTCCATCTATTACCTTTGGGAGGCTTTCTACAACGACAAGAATCTGGGAGGTTGTTGCGGTGAAATCCACGCTATGATCAAGGGTGGTAAGAAGCTCCTGAACCCCCTCGTTGCCGCTCAGAATTTTGAATATAAAATGTCAAATATCCTGGGTAAGCTCCAGTGAGCCTTATAATGCGGAGAGGCATTCATTTACCGTTCATCGCAGACAAACCTCTGGAGAGTAGTTTCGGTTACGTGTCTGTGTTGCCTGGTGCCTTCTCTGCGTATCGCTTCCGTGCAATCCTCGGCAGGCCTCTGGAGCAATATTTCCACGGTGACCACTCGCTCGCTGACCGACTGGGCTCTAAGGGTATCTATGGAATGGATATCTTCACAAAGAACATGTTCTTGGCTGAGGATCGTATTCTATGTTTCGAGCTTGTTGCCAAGCAGGGTGACAGGTGGACTCTGACGTATGTCAAGCCTAGTAAGGCTGAAACGGATGTGCCGGAGAGCGCAGTGGAGTTGATTGGGCAACGGCGTCGTTGGCTGAATGGTTCCTTCGCTGCCTCGGTCGTAAGTACCTTTTGACTGGCACTGCATGGTGAAGTGCTGAGTGCTCGTGGATTATAGTACGCTGTCATCCACTTCTTCAAGCTGTACAGATCTGGCCACGGTATCATCCGGATGTTCTTCCTGCACGTCCAGGCTCTCGTACGTGTTTGTTGTCTTTGCCTGCGAACTATCTGGGCTAAACTTGAGTCTCTTCGTAGTACAACATGTTCACTTTGGTCTTCAGTTGGTTTGCTTTGGCCAACCTTTGGCTCACGTTCAGTATCATTATCGAGCTGCTGCCCAATCAGCAGGCACCGGCCAAGCCCATCATCATCTTCGGCACGGTGGAAATCGTGAGTACCGTTGTTCCTCATGTACCTCCCACTCCGTTACTAACAAGTGTACACCAGACACATTGGGTGAATCAGGTGGCAAAATGGCTCTACCTTTCGTTCTTGGCATTGCAGGTTAGTAGTGTGAGATCTACGTCGCGTCCTGCGTCTTACTATGCCACACAGTTCGTCCTGGCTCTCGGCAATCGTCCAAAGGGGGAGAGGATGGCGTATACAGTGACGCTATGGTGGGTGGTCTGACTCCCCATATCCGGCGTGCCATTGATGGGGTCTGCAGGGTATATGCCATACTATCGCTGTACTTGATTGTCTGCTCTTTCTGGTTGACAGGCGTGGCATTGGCGGTGCGTGTTTCGTGTCATTCAGAGTTGCCGGAGCTGATGCCCTCTTAGGAAATACCCAAGCAATTCAGCGGAATCCCAGTGTCGCAGTGGTTCTCCACGTTTATCAATGGGACTACTGGTGTGCTAGTCGCAGCATTATTCTCTACATTCGGTGAGTAAACGAAATGTGCGATATGGACGAGTATCCTAACGTGCATTGTAGGCATCTACTTCATTGCTTCGTTCCTTTACGTGAGTCGCCAACGGTGTTAAAGATAAACATGCAGCTGACCGTTGCCCAGCGGGATCCTTGGCACATGTTCTCGAGTTTACTTCAATACCTGTTATTGGCTCCTAGCTTTACGAACGTCCTCAACGTGTATGCTTTCTGCAATCTGCATGATGTGGGTAACTGGGTAATTGAATTGTTTTGGTCGAATTTGATCATTTTGTTAGGTCTCGTGGGGTACCAAAGGTAGTGACAAGGCAGACGTGCTCCCGGCTGTGAAGTCTTCGAAAACCAAGGATGCCGATGCACCTGTGGTAGAGGACACCACTCGGGTGCAAGAAGATGTCGACGCCGTGTTCAAGGAGACCGTGACGCGCGCTGTGACGAAGATTGAGGTCAAGGAAGTTCCGGAAAAGCCCACTATGGACGACCAGAACAAGACCTTCCGTACCCGTCTTGTGGCAGCGTGGATGTTATCTAATGCTGCGCTAGCAGTTGCCATTGAGAACCTGAATGGTTTGTCGAATGGAAGCTTGAGCGCCGATAACCAAGAACTGGCGAACAAGCAGCACATCTACTTCGCCATTCTGCTTTGGTCGACGTTCGGCCTGGCTCTTGTGCGCTTCATTGGGGTGCGTATACTGACCTTTCCTTGGTACATGTGACTAATGGAGTCATTGCAGTGCCTGTTCTACTTCTTCCGCCGCAACCTGTTCCGGTTCTGCCGTAGGAATTAAGGGTTGTCGCATGCTGTGTCGGGACCGCGTATTACATTCGGTTCCACGATCCTTTCACTTGTCAACATGCTTTAGCTACGGCTTCTTCATATGTGCAATATCACCACGGACTTGACTGGGTACGATACTGAATGCGGATCGGGATCTTTACTCTTGGATAATCTTTATATATCATACATAAAGGACTGGCTCGTCGTAGCCATGATCATGAATACATTCCAGAGTACTCGTTGGAGTCCTCATGGAAACTCCTGCCAGATGGATTTGGGACGAACATATTTGCCTGTCTGAAGAGGCGTTCCAGGAGTTCTGGCGTGCTTTCTCTCTGAAAAGGAGTAGATCGGTCGGGACTGGCTGGCGCAGAAAAGTATACAACCCTTACTTGGGCTCTTGGGTCCGCGCCTGGAACATTGTCACTACCGTTTGGCGTCTCAGAAGCAGTTGAGCCCTCTGTGCGGGGAAGCAGTGCCTGGCGGCAGAGTGGGCATGAGTCGTTCTAAGCAAACAGAGACACGTAAGCGATGAGGGTGGGGAGCAAGACCGACGCTAAGGGCTAAACTTACTGCTGCTAGGATCCACTTCGATATGCTGACACAGGACCCACTTAGTATGATTCAGCATGGCGCAGAGAGGAGGAAGGTTTACTCTTTGCGGCAGAAAATGTGACGACACGTCCGGGCTAGCTTTACAACGCCTAGCTCCCTCGATGAATAGGCGGGGGAGTCCATGGCGAGAGCCATTTCCTCCTCCGCGAGGAGAGCTAGGAAAGGTGTCATGCATATAGGGCAAGCGGCATCTGCAAGTCACTTAAGGGTTCCTACATAGAACAGCTGGAATGGTACAGAGCACGGACCTTGTTTACCGAGAGCAACTAGGTCCTCCTCTTTCACAATTGTAAGGCTGTCGATGACATCCTGTATCTGACTGCAGACAAGCAAGAGGTTCGATTCCTCAGCCACAGGGCCGTATCATTGTAACAGGACTCTAACTTGCTCATGGTGTAGCCTACCAGCCTCGGAGGCGGGAAATCCCATCTGCCTCAATATCTGCAGGACGTCGCCTTCGGCGACGCCATACGCAGCTGGGAAAGCTTCATCCATGTCTGTGGTAAGGGGCAAAGAGGACAACAAGGGTTAACATTGACAACATTCCGACAACAAAGCTAATAGCAAGCATGCGAATCAATAGCCATATATAGACGAGCCATAGTATACAACCAAACAAGTGGTATACAACGTTACCAGACGCGTGCCGTGGGGACAGGGACAACGAAGGCGAAGATCGACATCAATATCATATCATGATCCTCGGGGACCAAGGAAGTAGTGAAGCGATCCTATGTACACTCGACGAGTGGAACGGATTGGCAGTCTAAAATGGGTTCTCGTCGTCGTCCATCTTGCTGTCGGCTTGCTGCGCAGGTTTTCTAGGAGTCTGCAAGTCCTCATCCTCGTCCTCGTCTTCTTCTGAAGATAGTTCCTTCTGGCCGAAGAGGGGTTGCATTGGCTTTGCGCCCCTGGATCACTTTCAGCATGAGGGTAGTCCCCGGAGGACGGCAGAGCTCACTTTGTGAAATGCTTCTTCTTCGCAGCAGTAATCTTCTGTGTGCATGGTGTCATGAGGTTGTCTGTGGGCGAGACGTAGGTGGGATTGCTGAAAAGAAAAATCCTCAGGATATGTGTGGCATTGCAACGAGCTGCTGGGACATACTTGGTCTTTGCAAAACGCTTCGCGAGGAGTGCTTTCGTCCCCAGACCCGGTGCTGTCGCCGTAGTCGCCCCATTCGTGGCGTTCCCTAGAGGCGCCTGCGGCACTGAGACATGTGCTGCCTGAGAGGGGTTGTGCAGAGGGTGGACGTGAACAGGAGAGTCGTTGGGAGTCGACGTCGTGGACATGGTTGGCAGACTCAGGCAAGAAAAAACAGTATTTAAGACGAAAAGCCTAGCGACGCGAGAGTTGCTACGGAGAAAGGACGATGGTGCGAAACTCTGGTTTCAGGCGGCGCACTCATTTATACGCGTCGAACTGAACCGCACGTCACGTGATCGTGGACCTACCGCCATAAATATTGGCTAAAAATAGCGGCATCCCTGTGGCACGCGTCATACACATGTACCAGCTCTTCGAAGTTCTCCCATTCACGCTCATCGTTCAACCATGATCAGCCTCAGGTCAGGGGAAGAGCTGCCTCCAGAGTTGATGATACGCGTTCTGTCTGAACTTGACCTGAAGAGTCTGATTGCGTGCAAGCGAGTAATTAGGGACCGCGTTCAGCCTCTTTGGTCGCCTATGCTTACTCTGTGAACCCAGGTGTGCAGATCTATTCATGACTTGATTGCCGGAACCGCAGAGCTGCAGTATAAGAAAGAGCTCATTGTTGCGGGGATGGACGATGGCCCCACCAAGACCCTCAGCATCGCCAGTCGACTGGAGAAGCTACGCGCGCACCAGAAAGCATGGAGTGAACTAAAGTGGACAGAGGAAACTTGGGTGTCCGTGGTACTGTCAAGGCACTGGGAGCTGTACGCTGGAGTCTGGTCAGCGGGAAGAGCGAACCATCGGGGAATGGGTTTCATGCAGCTGCCCTCGCGTCTCCGCGACATCCCCATGAGACAGTGGGACATAACAGACATAGGCTTCCTGATCCGTGACTTCACCCTGGACCCGTCGCAGAACCTACTCGTCCTGATTGAGATGCCTACGCCGTAAGTCCCTCAGCGATAGTACCGTCCTTCGCTCAGACCAGCACCAGTGATCCGCATGGCGACTTCCCGCCTTGCCGCATACACCTGCGCACAATGGATACCGGCCTACCTCATCCTTTGGCGCATTCTCCCCTCCTGCTGCATAAACCGTATCTTTTCGATTCTGCATGGCGGTACATCATTCAGGTGACGGACGTGCACCTCGGCGTCATGTTCAGGTGCCCAGAAGGGGAAGAAGGGACTGAACACGAACTTGTCGTCTGGAACTGGCGAAGCGGTGAAATTAAGATGGTGAGCCATTTACCGTCTCTGATACCTGATTACAGACTGGACGCATCTCTAATAGACACGACCCGGAATCGAGATGGAATCGTTCGCGTTCCTCACAGACAAACTGATAATGATTAGCATGCTTACGTTCCGTCAAGACCTGCCGACCATCGTCTGCCTGAAGCCAGTCCTCTGCATCACTGACTTCACCCGATACAGCTCGAGCTACCGCGGCGACGCGGGGCGTCATTCCTGCGAGCTCGGACTACCCGAGCTAATCCCGGGCGTATTTCCGAGCAACATGCTCATTCGAGCCGACCCAGGACCGTCATACAGCCCTGATGAGGCCTGCGAAGTGCCCTTCCACGTCGGCAGCCAGAACAGAATCTTTGTCGTGACTTTTACCGCTTCCAGCCGGCGCGTGCACGCGCCTGTGACGCTCTTCATCCCCCTCCAGACGCTCCTCGACAAGTACGAGGCCGGCGGCACCGAGATCGAGTGGGAGCAGTGGGGGCCGGCAGGCACGCGCATCCTCGGCTCACTGCGGACGTCGCCAAACTGGGTGTGCTACGTCTATGGCTCGAAGTTCGTGCACCGCTCCGTCCCCGAGGAGGTCGAGGTCTATGACTTCAACCCGTGGTTGCCGCGGCTTCTCCAGGTGGGGGCGAGCGAGAACGTGAAGGTCATGACTGAGCCTTCGACGTTTGAGCATTCGGCGGTGTTCAAAACGCCTATCACGACTGCTGCGCCGTATATTGTGACTACTGTTCGGTTGCCGGATAGATTGGCTGAAGACCCGTTTGCTTATGCTATGCTGAGTGAAGATAATCTGTTCTTTATTTCGGTACGTTGAGTCATTCACTATATGGTTTGACACATACGCTTAAAGACCTTGTTAGCAGAGGGTAAACAATACTCGGGTCTGTTGTTTACTGACGTTCTGATCTTCACGCTTGTCTTACTCTTGGTGCGGATATTAATCAACATTCATGTTTTGTTTCATGAATGTATCGCTAGTCCTGGCGAAAGCCTCGCTTACCGTAGACCAATGCCTTCTTCCTTCCAAGCCACTCGTGATTAAGCTACATGCGGTAGAACGCGCGAGAATATGCCAAATGGCTTCTGGCATTGTCATGCTCCGCTTCACCGACACCCATCGTCGTTCATCTCTGTATTTTTGGGAAGCTCGAGACAGGATATACTCAGCTTACTCCGCATCTTACGTCTGCTGAAGTAAATGAGCCTCGAGGTATGTGAGGCAGCCTGCCGTGATGAGTATACTCTTACTTATACTGGCGTTCGTTTACTAACTGTTACATAGTTAGTGCGAGCCTGCACTCTTCTGACCCAGGCTCGGGTAACGAAACCAGGAACTTCTCATGGCTTGTTCACCGGATCTCCTCGACCTATGCATGTAGTCACGAACGAGCTTCAATAGCCGAGGATCAAGGAGGCATCGACGCGTTTCCGTGCTGTCATGAAAGAAACTATTCCTTGGGAAAGGACGAGTGGCAATACTGAGATGCTCTTCATTCAAGTCCGCCGGCGCGCGTCCCGGTACAATCTCTCTTGGCTGACGATGTCTTACAGACAGGCTTGGGAATGTAAGACACCGACATCTGCATTTCAGGAGGTGCCTCGCAGGCCACAAGCCCCTCCGACTTCGGTCCGAGCACTTCCTGCGACTTTACCGCGGTCCGCGAACGTACGTGGACAATGAAAATCGGAGAGCAATCAGTCTCCCTCTCCCATTTCATTTTCGATCATCTCGCACGGTTTGTCATCTTTCCGCGCCACGAGACTGCGTCTACCATGACAAGTCCTGCTGCGTCACCACTTCATTTCGCCACGGCCCGTGAAATGCTGAACTTGTGTATGACATGTCTTTGCCATATCACAGACCTCGCCTAGTTCCATCCCTTCATTTCACAGTAAATGGAGTGAATCCGAGGATGCTGCGATGGACTTTTATGTCCGATATGACGTACCAGCGTCTTGCAGTCTCTGGAAACTCGAATTTCGACTGCAAGCGCTATTCCAGCGTCTCTTGAGAGCTCGCTCTTTCGGGCAAGTGCTGTGGGAGGTGCCTGTGCTCGTGCGCCTATTCTTTCTGGCTCTTTCACTGCTCTCTGCGACCACTCACGCTGTCTCACTGGTCTCTGTACACGGTTTCATCTAACACAGCCAACAGATGGACGCTGGAGCTGAACATTGCTATTCTTGCTTTGCACGGACAAGATGTGGCAGCCCTTTCGACGCGGACCCTCTATTGGACGCCTAATTATCGTGATCAACGGTTGGATCACACGAGGAGAAATGGTTACGGCAATGCTATCTTAGCCTGCATCACCATCGTATTCTTGGACGCGATTCACTCAGTCTCGGTGTAAAGGTGGTTGGTGTTGCCTGAGCACGCGCGCCCGGCCCTTGATTATCGTCACCATCACAGGTCCCTTCGAGCATGGGGTAATCAGGGAGAAAGCGTCCGAGAGCAGCCCTATTGCGAAGGACAAGGTGCGGGCGGAACGCCAGTCATTTGACAGCTACGAGCGGTCTCCGTCCCGCGTAAGTAGGTAATTCCACCTGCAATACCGTGCAAAGATATGCAGAGGGCCCGGTGGCTGCATGCTTCATCCTGAACGCGGTACACGTACAAGCGGACCATGCCCACGGGATCCGGTGAGACGCACGGAGACTGAGAGTGAGGCGGATGGTCCGGGAGACAGGCCGGATGAGGCGAGCGCAGAGCGAAGTGTGGCCGGCAGCGTGCGCGAAGGTTCCAGACAGCAGGTAAAGCAGTGCCACTTCCGGAATGTGTGGCGATGTTCTCCCCGACCCCGTGCGACTCCTCCGGGACCCCAGACCGTCGCTCTGTCAACGGCTCGACCGCAACGCTCGCTGCCATGGGCAACGTCGACGACACCAGAGCTGGCCTTTGACGGTGTACAAGTATCGTGCTTTCCACTGCTGGGCTGCAAGAAACGAGTTTTGTACGAGCACAGGAAATAGCTCGGAAGGCGGAGAAACGCCAGCACGGGAGGGGCGTTTTAGCATATTGGGGTCCTTCCTCTCCCGCCACAAGCAGTTCCTTTAATAATTGGCGGCCAGTTTCATCCACTTATAGAGCCGCTTTTCCGATCTCTCATCCTCTGCTTTCCATTATCCCCTTAATACTTTATTTCCCCTCTTTTCTTCGTTATGCCTGGCGACCTGCTCAAGAGGCGCAAAATCGCCGTGCTTGGTGCTCGGTCCGTCGGTGAGTACCAACGAGTTGCTTGCCTTCTACGTCATAGCCCGAGCTTATGCCTACTATCCAGGAAAATCCTCTCTCGTCGTCCAGTTCATTGAGAACCATTTCGTGGAGGGATACTATCCGACGATCGAGAACACGTTCAGCAAGAGTATCAAGTACAAGGGTGTCGAGTACGACTGCGACATCATCGACACCGCCGGTCAGGTGAGTGGTAGCAGCCACTGTGTGGCGAACGTGGCTGACGGTCCTCTCAGGATGAGTACTCGATACTCAACGCCAAGCACGCGATTGGCATACACGGATTCGTCTTGGTGTATTCAGTTACATCGAGAAACTCCTTCAACATGATCCAGACGGTGTACGACAAGATCGTCAACTTCTGTGGATTACCGTCAATACCCTGTGTCATCGTCGGCGCAAAGACGGACCTGCAAAATAGGTATGTCTCTCTCGTGTTTCCGGGGCAGTCCGGGGCAGCTCCGCGCGCGAGTCCTTGTGCATCCCACCAACACGTCTCTTACTGCAGGAACAGACAGGTCCAGCCTGACGAAGGGGAGAATTTGGCCAAGGAGAACCACGCTGCATGGGTCGAAACAAGTGCGAAGAATAACGTTAACGTCGGTACGTAGCACCTGCATTACACGTGGTGACATTGGTATCTAACCGGATACGCAGGCAAGGTTTTCGAACTGTGTCTCGCAGAGATCGAGAAACGAACGCCCGCAAACCAGACTGAACCTCCAACAAGCCGTTGCATCATTATGTGACAGCAGTCCATTCCATGCACCTCCATCTCTGCATCCCCCCGTATCGAACATCCTTATAATTTCCGCATCCCCCACCACCATCTCCCACAACGCCGGTTCGGTTCCAATTTCTCGGTCTCATTGCTCTTGTATGACCTATGCCGTTCTTCGCATCGCATTGAGGACATGCTCGGCCCTCTCTTACAGTGTCCTTGTTCATCTTCTTCCTTGGGTTATTATGTTTTCTCCCGGGGTTGATGTCGATAGTCCAGCGGACAGGACTACCTACTACACCTCACGCGCCGGTATTGCTCTCGTGTTCCTATTCATATGTACATCTGTAACATCCATCCATCCGCATTACCGCATTACTTGTTGTTGTGCACCCCGGCGCCTCTTCTATACTGTATGTTCTCCCCGGTGGCTCGTAATTCTAGAAGCTTATTTAACGCGCACTTCATTGTGTCATGGTGACGTCTACAGTGAGCCGTCGATGGTTATATCGTACATGGTGTGTGCCCGTTTTCTTGGCAATCATAAGCACTGAGGCCTGAGGTTTTCCACATTTCACGCGACCACATCTCATTCGGGGTGCTGATCCCGACTGGACCTAATCCATCAGTACACTACAGGCACATATAATACAAGAGTAGATCATCCACAGCTAATTGGCAGATATCGACATAGATGCCAGCGTAGGGTCACATGAACACCGTCAGGCGGTACCGTCCCCTAGGAATCTCGCCTTGATCGGACGCCCGTTCAGGCCCTTTGCCTGTACGACTTGCGGGTCGCCCGGGACGAGGTCAATAGCCTGATCACTCCAGGCAACGTCGTCCCCATCGACGTCCAGTACGATGCCCTTGATGGGTTTCTCGGTAGACAACTCCACGGACTCGCCGTTCGCACCTGTTGTGATTTTCAGCCCGAGATCTTTGACTTCCGGAAAGTGGATGTATTTGAAGGGCTCCGGCCTTTCAGGAGTCAGCATTAATATCAGGCAGACAGTCGCAGAACATACCAGTTTGAATAGCGGCTTATGACGGTGCCACTATCAAGTAACCTGGCGGAAACAACTATAGTTTTGGGGACCTCGCTCTCTTTGGTGCGTTTTGGCTGGCCAGGGAGATCGCCCTTGAATAGCTCAGTACTCGAATTAGCTGCGAGCACAACGTCCTTGCTCCATGTCTCCCTCCAATCCGAATGCAGATCGAATGCCGTAACCTCGAGCATAGCCTTCTTGTCACTCAACGTGCTGTTGGTACCCCATACCTCGAGGACGGTCTCGATCGTGAAGAAGGCCGCAGAGCGTTCATTTGCGAAGATCTTCTTCTCCTTCCGAGTCATGCCGACCGTGAAGGGACGGAGTTCCCTGGCGATCGTAAAGTAGGCCGGCTTCGGACGCAGGAAGTAGTCCACAATTGCCCACGATGTCACTGGCCAGCAGTCGTTGATCTATATCGGTCAGCGATCATACACCACCTCGAGAAGCGTGAAGCATTCACCTGCCACACAAGAGCACCGGCCGTGTATTCCCTCCCTTTGCCGCGCCAGTTACGCCGCCACAGCCGGTAGGCCGAGGCCAGCGTCTCTGCCTGCATCACCTGGGTATAGTATACATAGCTGGCATAGTAATCAACACCCAGCACTTAGGCATCCAACTTGAATGATCCCGCGTACCTATCCATTTCGAAAGAATGCTTGAAGTTCTCCACTAGGTAGAGCTGCCGTAAACACAATTGATTATACAGGTCAGCTGAACATCACGATAACAGCACACCTCGAGCCGGCGTTCAAACCCATCCGCTTTGTTATGATTATTCATAGTCCTGTTGCAGTGATTATGTCAAGCCACCCCTTCACCCACTTGTTCGTACCGCACCTAGACTGAGGGTAGCGTTCCGCCTTATCGCCACCGAGCCAATAATCGACGGTACGAATGTTCGGGTAAGCCTCCCTGTATGGAGTAGGCGTCAGTACTCTTCACCAGAGCGCCGCCGAGCAGTAGAAAGGCGCATACATGCCGAACTCGGAGACGAAGCGCCCTGCCAGGATGTCCCAGTTGTGCCATGGTTCCTGCGACCCGTGCCAAACGTTCCCTGTATAATAGCATCCGCCAAGTCAGTCATCCCCTGTATAGTTCGAACGTTCAACGCACACTGATGAAGGTCGCCGTATTGCTGGTTCCTAGTATCCTTCCCGAAGCCGCTATACGGCGAGCTGCGGTGATAGTGGATGGTTGAGAACTTCTCGACCACCGAAGGCAAGACACGCTCGTAAATATAGCGTGCCGGGAAGTTGGTCTTGCGGAAGTCGGAGGTTTCGTCGTTATAGTCTAGGTCGAGTTTGTTTGATTCCGCAAGTTGGTAGTCTGCGAACGTCAAGGTTTGTGGGACTCCAAGAGGAACTATAGAAAGGATGAGTACCTTCGTTGTTGCCAGCTGCATGCGCTACATTAGTCACTGTCTTAAACTTTCGACGCGCATATACTGACCGAAGATCACAAGCGAGGGATGATGTCTCAGCCTCTTCACCTGCTGTTCCGCCTCCTCACGCACGGATTCCACGAAAGAGTCGTATGCGGGGTACTGCATGATTGCATGATCATGAGCACGTATTCAAATGCACAATGAACAACACCCACTTGACCACAGCCGAACATAAAGTCCTGCCAGACCATAATCCCAAGCTCTGTGAATAGTTGAATGGGTAGTTCAACCAAAGAAAGAACTGATTACGCATACCGTCGCAAATGTCGTAAAACACGTCGGGCTCGTATATGCCCCCACCCCAGACGCGGATCATATTCTGGTTCCCATCGACCAGTAGTTGGAGCCAAGCCCTGTATCGTTCCGCAGTCATCCTGGCCCAAGAATACAATCATCAATATGTCATCCGCACATCGGTAAAAGACGCATACACTCACGTCGTCAAGAAAGAATCTGCTGGGATCCAGTTGGAGCCTGGATGAATGTTTGGTGGATCAGCTAGGCAGTAGCAAGTCTCGTATACAAGTAGGACGCATACCTCCGCAGAAGATGCGGACATTATTGATCTCGAAGAGGAACGTGCGGCCTTCCTGGTCGATAAGCTTGTCCTGAACGACCTGGGCACGACGGAAGGCTATCTTCCGTGTCTCCGTACACAGCACGTTGCCATTCTAGTGGAACGTTGTTCACTGTGGCCCAGAACATGAACAAGAAGATGGTTACCTGATCCTTTACGGCAACTTCGACCGTATAAATGGGCTGCGCCCCGTACCCGACGGGATACCACAACTCGACCTGGTCGTTGCTAGGCTTAAATATCAACTCGCCTTCACCATCATTGACCGCCGCCTTCTCGTTTACGAGAATGACCTTCCCTTTAAGGTCTCTGAGGGTGACAGAAGCGGTGCTAGCAACCTTGTGGGAGAGGGAGAACCGCACGTCAAGGGTAGGCTCGAGGCTGGACGAGACGATGGCGTTTGCAAAGAGCGAGGAAATGCGTGTTGTGTATGAGTGGAGGTGAATGGGACGCCAGGGTCCGACGGTCATCAGGACTGGGCCTGGAGGGGCCAATTATGGTCAGAATAATTCATGGAGAGTGCTTAGAGGAACGACGATCGACTTACCCCAGTCCCATCCGTAGCTACGAAGAGAGCCAGTATTAGCATGAAGACCAAAGTGGATGTATGCCATTTGCATACTTGTACTGTGCCTTACGAACATGGAGGCGACTAGAGTCTCCATTCCAGAGCGCCAACTTGCCATGCTTTTTCTGAAGGTCTCTGCCCTAAGAGGCCCGTCAGTCGCATCACCGACTGAGTCGGCGGGACCCTACCCTGTAGAAGGCGCTCTCAAAAGTGAGCGTGAGCTCGTTGGATCCCACTTTCAGCAGCCTCTTGACCGGCACGCGGTAGCTGAGGAATTGGTTGTGCGTCCTGAGCACGCGTTAGGTTGCAGCAGTTATCAGGATCAAACAACGCACTTAAGGATCTCATCACCATTCTGTTCGCATCATAGGGTCAGGTAATTTCCGAGGCAGTTTTATTAATTAAGAGCCACCACTACTCACAAGCTTCACTGACGCGAACGTGTCGACGCCGTCGAATACAAGATCCACGTTCGAGGCAGCAACATCAGATTCCTTGACCATGAACGACTTTTTGAACGCCCAATCCGTTTCGCCGATCCCTGTGCATGGCTCTCAGGTCTACTTCACCAGGCACATACTTTCGCACCCACATTGCACGTCCCATTCATGAAGCCCGATGAACTGCGTGGCCACCTGTCAGATCATATTCGCCTTGACCAAAGGGAAACGACATGCAGGATCCGGAATCCTCTTCAACTTAAGCAGCTCGACGTGTACCGTGGTCGGGAACTCCGAGCACGCAAGCCACTCGCCGTCCTTCGTGCCCTGCCCTCCGCCCACCTGGGTGAATGACCAGCCGTCAGTCAGTGAAGTTAGAGAGCTGGAAATCATGCTAAAGACAACACGAACGGTGGAAGGCTTGCGGTCTTGAGTACATCAGTTTATATGCACAGATTGTATGGATCCTGACCTGACGGGTGCACGATCACCTGCACCGAGGTTTCCCCGAGCATTATCAGCGCGGTAACCGGGCCGTAATTCCGCTCTCGTAGAGTCATCAAAATCCATTTATTTTCCATTACAATCATAAAATCACAACATGTAGCGGTACCCTTTCTCTCTCCCCTCCGCCGCCTCGCGCTCCTCAGCCTTTTTATTCAGCCGCGCAAGGTGCCACCGGAAAATCAAGCACATGATGATTGTGAGACCATTGCAGGATATGCAGATGGCATAGGAGTAGCGGTAGGTGGGCCCCCACCCCTTCGGCCAGACATAGCTAGTTTCCAAGTTAGATTGTTCTCGCTGATCTGGAGACTGGAACAATGATACTCACGATCCAGCGATGTTACCCAGCTGCGAGAACGCGTTCACCCACGCGAGAGCAACCGCTCGCTTCGATGGTGGCCGAGCGAAGGTGTTGCTGACCCACGTTAAGAAAGTAATGAAGCCTGCGTAGGACTGGGCCATCAAGAAGCTACGCGATATCCAGTGAGTCCAGAGGGCAGGGATGTCAGCAAGGGGGTCTGCTTACAGAGAGATGTATCGAGCGGCGGTGTTCATTGTCGACACCGCGATGATAAATCCAACGATCCCAAATGCCAGCGGGACGGCAACATGGTAGAACCGCTCTCCTGACTTGTCCGAATGCCTGGCATCAAGAGATTAATCCACGACCACCACGACACCGTGAGGCACCAGATACTGACCTCGTATCCAAGAAAGCGATAGCGGTGGCAAAAACCCAGGGTGGGGCACACAGGAGCAGCGTGACCGTGGTGTTGAACCCCATCGTCGCGCTCAACGTCGGGAAGAACGCGTTGAAGCTCAGGCTTACGACCATGCTCGTCAGCGCGAGCGCCAGCCACCACACCTTCCAGTCCGTCAGCGCCATTACCAGGCCCGCCATATGGCCAGCGGGCTCCGTCTGGTCCTCGTCGCCGACGCCGACGTCCTCCTCCATGCGCTTCTCCGCGAGGCGCACCTCGAGCGGGGACAGCCAGCCGTGCGTCGTCGCGGGGAAGTCGGGGAGGATGAAGATCGCGAGGATGGCGAAGAAGACAGTGAGCGCGCCCTCGATGTAGAAGAGCCAGCGCCACGCGGCGCGGCCCATCTTGCCCTCCATGCCGTCGAGGATGCCCGACGCGAGGAGCGTGCCAAAGGCGTTGGAGATGAGCGAGCCGCACGAGAGGAGCGCGGTGCGCACGCCGAGCTCGGAGCGTTTGTACCACTTTGAGAGCAGGAAGAGCGCGCCAGGGAAGAAGGCGGCCTCGACGAAGCCGAGGAAGAAGCGCGTGAGGAGAGCGCCGGTAAAGCTGGGGCAAGGTCAGAGGGGGAATATGGGAAGAAAGGGAGGTAAGCTTACTTGTTAGTTATCCCGGTGAGGATGGATAGTGTACCCCAGATGATCATACAGCTAGGCAGGTATAATGACGGCCGCCCAATATAGTTGAGGAACATGTTCCTGAACATAGACGTGAGATGCCACGATAGACGAAACCGTCTCATGTAACACTTACGAAGGTATCTGCATGATAATGTAGCCCACATAAAGGATACTGAGTATAGTATTAAATTCCTGTCCCTTGAGATGCAAATCCGCTTCGAAGCCTCGAAGTCTAGCGGCTCTGTTGCTATGCATTAGTACGCCTCTTCCCATTTCGCGCACAATCAAGGACACCCACGAAGCATTATTCCTATCAATCTGTCCGCGCAGAAACAAATGATCAGCCCCCTCCTCGGTCGAACCTCGACTCGAAAGGCACTCACATAGTTCAAGATATAAATCACGATCAAAATCGACATCCTGAGGTCCAACTTCCTCAACAGCTTCTTTTCCATCGCCTTCCTTGCCTCCGTCCCCCCAAACTCCTGGTCGCCATCCACACGGGCCTTCGGCACCTGGCTGACCTCTGTCTCCTCTATATCGCGCTCAGACTTCAACGACGACGGCATCGCGGGGGACAAGTACCGTGGGGGACAGGCAGATACCCTGATCCGGGTTCAGGGCGCAGGGGGTTATAAATCCTGGCGCGGAGCCATCCATATCGACGCGCGTGCATAGATATTCCGTGCCCCCGGCCTGCTCTGCAGGTTTATGCGGGGTTGATGCGGGGCTCCGGCGACAGGTACGGTAGAAAAATGCAATTGCCGAGAGCGTCGATCACGTCGAGGAGGACGCTGCTGGCGGATCACGGCCCGCGGCTCCGGAGGTGCACTTCATACAGGGGCACAACGTGCGGCATAGGACTGCTATAAGCTTGGTTCTAGCCGAATTCAGTCTGGATTGTAGTGGGGCATTACTTTCTTCAAAATAATCAGCAAGAGCAGCACCAATGACCGGAACAATGAAAACAGTTTTGCTTGCTATGTCGTTCGTCGTGGTTCCGGTGGATGATTGGCACAGAGAAGGCTAGCGCCCTCCTTCACCACATGGACCTGAAACGCCGGGATAGTACAGGGGATTAGAATAGGATGAATAGGAGATGGCCTAAATTTGCAATGTTCAAGCAATGCATAGCACCTGTATCACATCGGTTCCACCGAGGAATGGCAGTGAAGTCACCCATTGACCAGAGAAAATAGACAGAATCAATAAAAATAGGGTGTGCTTGTGAGGTCTACAAATGTTGTGCCGTTTAGATGTGGTGGAAGATAAATGTATCGTACATGCTCGCGAATGCAGTAATATTACTTCGCTCCTCCCTGGACAGAGGAGTCAGACGTCTCCGCATCGGTACCGTCGTGTATACCCGGAGCTAAAGTAGTTCGTCAGGTGAAAGGCCATACAAGACGAGGAAAAGCGCGTACTGTCTTCTGCCGTGCTCTCTTCGGCACTCGCAAACCCGCTCTCGGACGACATGCTCGAATCCCAGTCCGTCAGTCCCCAATCCTCGTCAGTCCCCAGCCCGCCATCCTCATCCCAATCCGTGCCATCCGTTTGCCAATCCATGTCCCCTATACCTGTCCCATCGCGCAAGTCCACGTCTGGCTCGACGTCTCCGAACTCGTCCGTCTCATCCATGAATACATCCTCCTCGTCCTCAAAATCTGGGTCGTCCGAGTTTGAGTTGGGCAGCCATTCGCCGCCGTCGGAGGACTCGTCGTCGGACTCCGAAGGGGGCTTGATGTCGAGGAAGCGGTGCCGGCAGATCGGGCAGGTTCCGTGCTGGTCGAGGGCATGGGTCGTCTCCCGAGAGTGATAGCAAGGCAAACAAGACTCACAAGGCCAAGTATCCACTCGTTTAAGCTGAGAAGGGATGCGAGGTAAACGGCAGCCGGCACGGGAAAAGAGGTTTAGCACTTACTCCTTCCTACAGAAAACATGACCGCATCCGACAAGCTTGGTAACCCCTCTCTCATTATCGCTCTGTTCGTAACCCCCCTCTTTATTCTCATTCCCCGAGCCGGATCCCTCCTCGAAAAAAGTCCGGAAAGTCAAGAGGCAAATCGGGCAGCACTCGTCCAGGTCGACCGCTTCTGGTTTCAGCTCTGGTAGTCTGCTGACCAGCAGTCTTGCACGGTCGTAAGGGCTCAGGCAAATCTCGGAGAGTGGACGAAATTCAGCCATAGCAGTCGCAAGAGGCAGAGCAAGAGACTCGACGCCGTTGAACCCGGTGCCAAACAACACGACCCGACGCGCGCGGAAACAACGCGTACCGCACGTGACTTGCACCGCACAGGTCCCCCGCCGATCACAGCGAGAAGCAGGTCCGCCGAGTCCCGCGCTGGACTTTACGGTAGAGCTTGGCGTCGAGCCCCGCGCTGAGCAGCCACTGCTACTCGATTCCCTGGATAACCCTGCCCCGCATGACGCCGATGACGACAGGCGCGTCACCCCCCGCCCGCCTACAAATACGGCGCATACACCCTCCTCTGCAATAATATTCGAATTTCACTCACATTATGTCCCGCAAGCTCTGCATCACCGCCGCCGACGGCCAGACGGGCCACCTCATCGCCGAGCTCATCCTCACCGACGAGGCGTTCTCCGGTAAGATCAAGGAGCTCACCTGCCTCGCGCTGCATCCCGACAAATGCGAGGACCTCGCCGAGCTCGGCGCGAAGGTCGTCCCGCACAAGCCCGGCGACGTCAAGGGCCTCACGAAGAGCCTCAAGGACTCGGGCGCGGACACGATTCTCTTGATCCCGCCCGCGCACAAGAATAAACTCAAGCTCGCGCAGGAGATGATAACCGCGACGCGCGAGGCGGGCGTGAAGAATACCGTCCTGCTAAGCTCCGCTGCCGCGGATTTGGCGGACGAGGATAAACATCCGCGGTTGAGAGAGTTCATTAAGATCGAAGCCTTGTTTATGGAGGCCAAGGGTCTGACTACGACAGAGGCAGGCCATTCGCCGGTCATCATCCGGTAAGTCAATCTCACCGTATTCTCCTCAGTATATGCGTCTTACCCACCCGTCACAGTGCGGGGTTCTACGCCGAGAACCTCCTTCTTTACAACAAGGATGCGCAAAAGAACGGAAAGCTCCGTCTACCAATCGGCCCAACGCATAAGTTTGCTCCGGTTGCACTAGGTGACATTGCTCAGGTCGCTGCTCACGTCCTAACGGGCGAAGGCCCGCAGGGTCTTAACGACAAGCATCGCGGTCAGCTAATCATTTTGACTGGGCCTATGTGAGTTTCAGCTGGAGCTTTAGTACTTGACAACCGAGTTAACACGCCGTTGCCTTGCTAGGATGACCAGCGGGACGGAGTTGGCCGAGGCGGCAAAGCAGGCTGGTCTGAATCTCGAATTTGAAGATATCTCTCCGTAAGCACTTACTTCACTTACTTCTTGCCCACCCTTGCCTTCCTTTGCTCACTACTCGCGTCTCCATTCAGAGAGGAAGCAAAGGAAATCCTAGATGCTGACACCGACGTCGACGAATCTGAGAAGGAGTATCTGCTAGAGTACTACTCCCTGGTTCGGGAAGGCAAAACCAACTACGTGTCGACTCTGGCCTACTACGCCATTACGGGCGAGCAACCGACGGAGCCTCCAGATTTCTGGAAGATCTATGATGCTGAGTTCAAGCCCAAGAGGTGAGCAGTTCTTGTGGAGGCCCACTATAAACTTAGGCTGATCATCAATAACTCAGGCGCCGCCTGAGGAAGTAGATAAGAATACGACGGACTCACGCGTGTGGACGTTTACGCTCTCCGTAAAAAGATTATGTATTTTTAATGTATACCGTTGAGTGTACTCTAGTTGTCAATCGGTTGTCCTGCCGCAATGAAAATTTTATGTGCTCTGCCAGAAACCTTATGACATGTTCCCCGAGACCAATGTCAGACACCATCAGTCCGTCCCTCCATGCCAAGTCGCGTCTGTGCATGGGTCATCACATGACGAGGGATTCCCCGAGCTTTCTGCTTATAAGCGTCTGGTATGAACTTCTTGTCTTCTTCAGAGAGCCGGGATCTTGTGACCAGTGCATATCCACTACGGCTGCCTTCTTCGTACCGTCGAAGAAGGGGTGCAGGAGCCGTCGTTCCGAACGGCGCGGGCGTCCCTTGGAGGGTGTTATATTAGATCGGGAGTAGCGCGATGTGGTGAGGCTCCTCAGGCTCTCGGTGCCTAACCTAGTTGCTTTCCCGACATCACGACTTGTAACGACCATGTCCGCGTCGCCCTCCCTCGAGAAGGCGGTGCCCGAATCCCCCTTTGCGGGCCCGGAGAAGGACAGGGAGAACGGTGTGAGTGCAATCGAGGTGGAGGAGGACCCGGACGCGGAGTTTGGGGGGCGCGAGGCGCGCAGGCGGATGGAGAAGAGGCTGTTGCGGAAATTGGACATGCGGATGTCGATTTTGATCGTGATTTATATTTTGAATTATGTGCGTGGTTTCCGGGTTCTGTAGTTGAGTGGACTCGATAACGCGTTGTGGCAAGTAGATTGATCGGAATAATGCATCGTACGTGCCAGTCTGGAATGGTGTATGGCTTCAGATGCTGATTTTGATGCAGGGCAGCGCGGCTTAGAGGTCTTGAAGCCGATTTGCACCTTACGGGCCAACAGTTCCCGACGCTGTTGTCGATTCTCTATGTCGGATACATATTGATGCAGATACCTTCGTAAGTCCGTCTAGCTGACTGCTCGTTCCCTCGGTCGACCGATGATGTCTGAATAGGAATTTGCTGTTGAATTGGGTGGGGAAGCCGTCCTTGCACCTGCCGATCTGTATGATCATCTGGGGAATTATATCCTGCCTGACGGGGGTTACGCATAAGTGAGTATGCATACCCTGCCCGAGTGCCTTGACAAGAGCTCACTGTCAGTCCCTAAATGCACAGCTTCATTGGCGCCCTTCTGACGCGGTTCTTCCTGGGCTTCGTCGAGGCCGCCTTCTTCCCCGGGGCGCTGTTCCTGATCTCGAAGTGGTACAAACGAAGCGAGGTCGGGTTCCGGACGGCGATCTTGTACTGCGGGAATATCATCAGTAATGCCTTCGGATCATTGATTGCCTCGGGTATCTTGGATGGCATGGAAGGCGTGCTGGGACACCAAGCATGGAGGTGCGTCCTGCCGCTGCGCAAGACTTCAAATGCTCACTAGTGCGCAATAGGTGGCTCTTCTACATCGAAGGCTCGCTCACCGTCTTCGTTGCCATCTGCGCGATCTTCATCCTGCCCGACTTCCCGATGACGACCAGGTGGCTCTCCGAGCCCGAGCGGAGGCTCGCCATGCAGCGGCTCGAGGAGGATGTCGGCGTAGGCGACCAGGCGGAGACGGAGGTCGGGCAGATGCGCGGGCTCGCGATGGCGCTCACGGACTGGAAGGTGTGGTGGCTGGCGCTCGCGATGACTGCGCAGGTCCTGGCGCTCTCGTTCAACGCGTACTTCCCCACCCTCACGGCGACGCTGGGGTTTAATACGACGGTGACGCTGCTGTTGTGCGCGCCGCCGTTCGTGTTTGCTGCTGCGGAGACGTTCGCGGTGTGTTAGTGAGTGGAAGACTGGTCAGAGTATAGAGGGTACTAACGCAGTTGCGCAGTCACTCGGACATGCGTCGAGAACGGTTCTGGCATATTTCGATATCTCTAGGAGTCGGGATTGTGGGGTACATCATCGCCATATGCACGATGAACCTCGCGGCTAGATATGTTTCGCTGTAGGTTCCCTATTGCCTGTTTCCTATACCGCGTTAGTAACGCGCTCCAGATTTTTGATGGCACAGGGATATGCGGGGTTCACGGTGCTCTATACGTGGATGAGCAATTCGTTCCCGAGACCACCGTCGAAACGGGCCGTAGCACTGGCTCTGATGAATGCCTTCTCACAGCTAGGAAACATTGCTGGATCGTGAGTCCTCTCCCGTCCATTACCTCCCTCATCGTGCGAGGCTGAGGACGTACATAGGTATATCTGGCCGACAGCTTGGGGTCCGACATATGAATACTCCTACGCGATATGCATATCCTGCGCGGGCTTGTGTATATTGATGTGTTATATCTTCAAGCTGCACCTAGCACATCTGAATAGGAAGTTCGCTCAGCAAGAAGAGGAACAGGGGATCAAAACGCCTGGGTTCCGATATATTTTGTAATAGTAGATGGAACGTGCCAGTGATCCGGACAGTGTAACCCTAACCATAACATGGTCGGTTCGTTAACATCGCGGCTGACCATTAAGTTCGCCAGCCAGTCTCGTTCACAACCTGCAGGATTATGGCCATGATCGAACACTTTCGGTCACCATCCGCGTAGTCCAATATAGAGCGTGCTGGTGAACCGCGGGTACTTCCGCGTCCCTGATGACAATGCAGGAGCTAGGAACGAACTCAAGTAGAAAACGGTTCAACTTGCAGGTATGGAGTAAAAACTTCCCTGGATATACAGGTATCTTAGTGTAGTCAGCGCACATATTGCCCTTGGTAATCTACTGAGCCCGGAAGAAGTGGCGCTCAAGAAGCCAACTTTCTCTATGCCTGATAACATGAGATGTCACTGCGGGGTATGCGATGATACCAATTCAGCACTCACGGTTACTCGACGGACAAAAGATACTGTCGCTTCGCGAGTCCCTTCGTATGCGTCGTAGAAGACAGCATGACCTGCACCCTCGAAGAACTTCGCATCAAAGTCCTTGAAATGCGGCTTCATCTCCCTAACAAGCACTTCCCCATCAACTTGCCTATCCGCCGTGCCGCTAAGGACAAGTAGGGGTAGACCCTCTGAACCAGCCTTGAATAAGCCTGCGGGGTCCTGAGGTCGGGTGAGGACGAAATTGGCGTCTTTCGGGGATTGGAAGATTGAGGAGCCGACCCACTCGCATCGGGTCTTGAAGGGGACTTTTTCTGGTTCCGCCCAGACAGAGTCACCGAACTCGATGGCGGTGCGGCGGTTCAACACAACGTCGTCGGTCGTCAATAGGCCAGGAAGGAAACCCAGGATAGCAGGCAGACCGACGACGTTCATGATTGGACCGACATATGGGAGTGAGCAAGCATATATGACACCGGATACGGGTAGGGGTTGCACGTATTGGGCATAATCGGCCGCAACAGTCCCTTAGAAGAGGTCACGTTTACCTCGGTAGATCTGAACTTCGATGGTGGACGTTACCCACCTCCATAACTCCTACGGTATAAGGTCAGTGAGCTGTACGACGTAGGGGTACGAGTGTACTGACCAGCCAAAGTGAACGGGCTTCTTCAGACCGAATGCATTGGCAACAGCGACAAAATCGTCAGCGTACAATGACGATGCATGGCCTTCGATAGTATCTGGCTTTGCACTGCGGCCGTGACCTCGTAAATCATAACGCACCTCGTGAGTATGTTAGTACGCCAGGTACTACATCAACAACGATTAACTCACCAGATGGAATTCTTTCAGCAGTTCATGGTCCTCGAAGAAACGATCGAAAACCGCTGCTGTCAAGGACAACCCGTGCACGAATACGATGCCCGGACCGTTGGGATTACCAGCACCCTCTGCGTATATCTTCGCCCCGTCCGAGGATGTGACAATTTTTGTGGTGAGGTTGTGTGCCATTTTGTGGGTAGTGTGTTTTCTAGAGCTCCCGATGCAAGTGGAGGTATACTGTCCCATCGCGCTGTTTTATCGCGACCGCGGAGCACGGTATATCATACATCTTGGGCATCATCTTCTCCCCCTCACAGCGGGTTGATGAAGAAGTGCTGTCATCAAGACTTGGCCGGGATCACCTCGTCGGGCTTCGCTAGGAAGCGGAAGTTGATGAGTCCTGAGGATCATTGATGTGGCGGAAGCTGAAGCAAGAGGTTATCGTGATCATGACACCAATCGTTTCTCGTGTACCTATCAATGTCACATGGGGCGCGGTAACCGAACCCTAGTTTAGGGCGTTCAAACTTGAAGCTCCGAGTACTATGATTGGCTACTCATTTGAGTCGGGGATAACAATGCTCCTTGGGCTTAGACTTGCTCGCATGTCTGATCAATAGTCCCTAGTGCCTCCGTCGTGATGTTTCCCAGAGTCTGTCATATGGTGCCGTAACTTCTACATTGTTCCACAAAAATTACAACATTAACGCCAGCACCACGCCAGCACTGAGAAAGGGTTTCTAATACAAGCTGCTCATAGCAATCCGTGAAAGCAGGGTATACAGTACAAACGAATGTCACTTAGACTTCATCGAAGTCGTGGGGTCCACCACGTCCCGTTTTACCATCCAGAAAGGGCGGCTTCGAGTCCGTGCTCGCGATATCAGGGCTCGGTATTTTGACCATGTCTTGGGTGAGTCGGTAATCGGTGAAAACTGTGGTGCTGGTGTCCACATTGACCGTGACGGGGTTTAGCGTTCTTTGGGTTGCCCTGAAGTGCGACAGTTCGACAGCGCGGGAATGGTTAGAGTCGTCAACAGAGCTTATGCGCATGAAGAACGCGACGACAACGCCAAGGTCAGCCACGATCAAACTCACGCCGTCCTACGGCATTTCTATCAGAGTCTGACCATGGGTATTTCTAAAAAAAACTTACTTGGATGACAGCGGCCCTCGCCTCTTGGAACCCTCCGAACCGGAGGATAGCATAGGAGTGATACAAGCTCACAGCCGTCGCAATTGATGTTGAGGAAAATATGGCAATAATCCGGATCTTCTGCGGTCTTGTTAACTTCACCCTCCAGACCAGTTTGAGGGGCACGGCCACCAAGATCGCGTCGGTGACAACGTCCGCTAGAATGAGGGGTCAGCGACAAATCGAAGTCGTGGTGCGGTACGGAGATTCGTACTTATGACCTGAGCTATCGCGACATTTCTTCCAAGGTTGCACTGCGGTGCGGGAGTGTCCTTCCACCCAGGTTGCCTTTCGCACACCCAGAAAACTTGGGCAAAGAGGATTAACCACGCGACGGCGAAACTCAAAGCCGCTCTAAAGAGCCAACGCCTGAATGGACCGGGCGCACACAGCCGCATGGTGGTGAGTAATATCGATAGCTTCGAGCACCTAAGTTATAGCAAACGTCAGCAGCTAGAGGCGCTAAGACAAGGATTGGCACTGACCAGTTGACTGCATAGAAGAACTGATCAAGCCTGCGCATCGGGCGTCACGAACGGCGAGGACTCCAGAAGACGGCATGACCTACATATAATATATCGCAATTCTGGTCGTGTATGAATAGGAACCTTGACGAAATTCAGTGGTACGTATTTTACTTCGGAAGGAGACTCACCTTCGTCCGTGAAGTGTAGTTCCATAGCGGCGACGAAGATCGTGAGGCATATCGCTGCCATGAGCGCCCAGAAGTCATCCCACCAGAGCTGCCGCTTGCGGACTCGAATGCCGAGCCGGAAGATCGTGATTGCAATGGCAAATATAGGGAGAGTCCATGCCAGCACTGTAGGTATCTCTCGTCAGTTTGTCGCAGAAGATAAGAGGGAAGGGAGTCATACGTCGCAGCTCCCTAAATTCAGCCTGCACGTCTTCCATGGCGGTAGTCTGCAAAGGAGCGTCCGTGGAAGGTATAGCCAGGCACTTCATATACGCCCGAGCTGAGAATCATACTCTGCGACATTGATAGAATCACAGCCCCACCCGAGGACTTAGCACCAGTACTATGATGGTGAAGTATAATCGGAAACCGAAATCTGATTTCGTAGCAGAGAGATCATAAGCATTCGAAGGACGGGATCGCAGATAACGCACTTCTCGGATGAAGTTGCGCGGTCGGATCCCGAGATCTACTACGCCATCAACTGCCATCAGCATAGCTCCATTAACTATCAACTACGAACCGGAGAAGGGAGGAACCATCATAGCGATAGACGTTTGCTTCTCATCATGAAACCTCATGCATGGCCCATCGCAGCTGATTCACCCGTGAGAAATACACTGATGCCAGGCAGCGACATAACAATCAAACAGCTTAGAAGCATACGGCCGGAGAAGCAGTAATTAAACCGCTTTAAACCGTGATGGTACTCCACAAACGCTAGAATATTATCCGGCCTCGAAGCACCCTCAACTCATCTGCAACTTTGCCTTCGGTCGTGCTAGTAGTCGGAGAATTTTTGTTGCGACGTGACCTTCGTGCAGATCCCCTCGGTCAGGATGCCCCAGACCTAGGACAGCATCGTGAATCATGATGCTCTGGGAGTTATCACGACCAGCCAACAGACATGAACCAGACAGTTCGTACTTACACGGACTCAAGGGGACCCATAAGCTGAATGGAAATGGGTCCGCCTCAGCATAGCCTTCGGCGGGAGTAGTAAGCAACTTGAATATACGTATGTGAAGCTATGCCGTATTCCCGGAAACAAATCTGATCCCTGTGTGAAATACCAGGACGAGATCTATGTGTTTCGGTCATAGGACTCCCATAATATGATCGAATTGCGGAAGTTGTGCGATCCCTTGTGGAGTCCAAGGAGGGGCCAGAGATTTGAAGACATACATCTTCCCATGTCATTAGTCGCCATGGTCAAGCCAGGAGAAATTGAGAGTTATTCACCCACGAAAGAGCAGGGGCACCTGGGGTGCCGGCCTGCCTGCCCAATCGTGTGAAGGCATGACTGCTGCTGCTCTAAAGCACCGACGTCCAAGTTAGATGGCCGCAGATAAAGTGGGAGCAAGCAGAGCAAAAGAGGCGTCGGTATAGAGTAACACCGTCGGCCATTTTATGGTTTCGCCCGCTTCATCAGGGCCTACTGTACCAAGACTAGATAGAGTTTCGCAGCATGTTCTGGACTTTGAATGGGCAAACAATGAATAAGATCCAGCGCGACAGTTCGCAGATGGGCGTTGGGACTACGCATTTCTCGGAGCGGAGGAATAGAGCCTGGACCTTAAGCAACCTTAAGGCTCGCCATCTTGGTCGCGAAAGTGGACTTCCTGGGTCTTGTATTCTTCGTGATCCCCGACATCCATCATAGGGCGTGCTGGCAGTAAGTAGTGCATTCGCTTCTGGCTCACTCATGTTCGCGCAAGCCAGCGAGTTCGCGATGTCAAAAAGCCACAGAAGTCGTGAAAGTCTCAAGTATCTGCCAATAAACCTCGCGGCACACGAGTAGCCGACAAGCCATCGCCACAGACAGCAGGATCAGGCCTGAACATCACGAGTCCGAGGAGAACCTTGAGCTTGAAGCTTCGTGGCCTGCAACGTCTGTGAGCGAGCTTATGCATGACAGCCGCTTTGCGCTTTTGTTTGGGACGCGGTCTAAGCGAGAACTTTATGTGACCGGCGGGTAGACTTCTAAGAGCGGAGGACCCACAAACACCTTCTGTGGAAACAGCTGTATACCTCCTGTCTTCATCTCTTCAGCATCGGACTTAGAGAGATAGCATGTGCCGCCTCTCCAAAAGCTTGCCGTTCTGCTTTGCACCGTCCCCGGATCCAACATCTTCTGATTGGCAAGCCACTAGGACGTGTTGCAGTCTACGAAATTAATATGCAGGCCGTTCGAGTCAATCTGAGACAAGATCGATGACCTTACAGGGAGTGAAGTTCAAACCAGACGAAACGCTCTGACTTTCAGTATTCCCGTCTCGGCGGTTCTTACTACATGCTTGGACTTCTCTGCCTCCGTTTGGAGTTCGTCGACTTCTCTTGGGATGTCACGGCCTGTGTCAATTATACCCAAACGCTCGGAATAGCACGCTGGCATCAATCATTCACATGTGAGCCAGCGCGGATGGACCTACTGACTTAGCGCTCTGCTTAGTCCAAGTATGTCTGCTCTCCTGAGGCCGAGCAATCAAGGAGCGAGTAGGCTGGTTCGTGGAGCAAGTCTTCATCGGATTGGTTGGAATCTGAGGTCTCTGCCAACCGAGACGGCTACGGGGAATGGTGCAGGCAGGGGGACGTTTTCACGTAGTCTGCGTGGTATCGCCGTCGGTGGTGCTGTTCTGGGCATAATGGTGCGCACATACTATACCTGCTCGTGTTTCTACCATGCTGAAGTGTGCCAGATTGGGGAAGGAATGTTGCGCCCTATGTATCTTGATTCAGACAGAGACATGAAAAGCGGAGAGGCGAGCACATCTGCGCCAAAATACGTGTCCTACCAGGATGTCCAGAAGCATAAGTCCAAGGACAGCTGCTGGGTCATCATAGAGGGCCAAGTCTACGATACTACGCCCATTTTGGATACACATCCTGGCGGGAGCCGTGCAATCTTGAAGTATGCCGGAGAAGACGCCACGTACGTAGCCGACGCCGAGTTGTAGCCTATGCATACTTCACACTATGTCTTATTGATGAATAACAGAAAGGCGTTTAAACCGGTACATCCGCCCGGTACGCTCTCGCAGCTTCCGTCAGAGGCACACCTTGGCCCGGTTGATCCGGCTACGTTCCCAAAAGAAAGTAAAGAGCTTAGCCAGGAGGAGAGGAGAGTAATGGAAGCGCGAGCCTCTCTGCCTCCTCCGTCCGCTGCGCTCAACCTTCATGACGTAGAGGTATGTCTTGAATGCAGCGGACTGACGTTTGGGTTAATATATGTTAATGTAGGAGCTCGCTGAGAAGGCTCTCACTACGACTGCCTGGGCATATTACCGATCAGCAGGAGATGACGAAAATTGTATGTCCACTCCAGCACTTACTGGTGTCCTCGATACTTAGAACGTGATGGCCTTACAGCTTACCACGAAAATGTAGCCGCTTTCAAACGATTCTGGTTCAGACCTCGAGTGTAGGTTTCTCCCCGGCGTAGCAAATGTATTGACTGAAGATCCATATGCAGGCTGCGCAAGGTCTCCGTGGTGTCGACCAACACTACTATGCTGTCATTCCCCTCTTCCCTACCTATATACATTACCCCCACGGCTCTCGCTCGACTCGGACATCAGGACGGCGAGATGAATTTTACGCGTGCAGCAGCGAAGGAAGGCCTCATCCAAGGAGTACGTGCTTACTCTTGAGACGTTTGCCAGCCGTATTGAGCGGTTCAAATCCTTCCCAGTTATCACAATATGCCAGCTGCTCCGTCGAAGAGGTGATGTCCGTGAGGCATCCGGATCAGACTTTGATTTTCCAGGTGTGCATAGGCTAAATGCAATCAACATCATCATTGGTCTAATGTACCATTACTAGATGTATATGTCACCAGACAGGGTCGCCGCCGGGTCCCTGCTCCGTCGATTGGAGGGCCTGGGTTTCAAAGCCCTCATGTTGACCGTCGACGCTATCGTGGCCGGGAACCGGGAACTTGATCAGAGAGCCAAGGCTGATAATACCTCTGCAGTACGGCACCGCCTGAACGTTGCGTTAGACGTGAAAGCTGATTGATAGCTGTAGGGCCCTACGCAAGTGCAAGATGCACCGGGCTCAGCATCAGGACGTGGTGTTGCAAGCGTAGGTACTCGTTAAATGAGACGGGGAGCTCACATGGGCTCATTATCGAGTAGAGGTTTGCAAATAGGCTAGATGCGGATGTCTGCTGTAGGCCTCGGTCTCATATGGAAGGTTTATTGCCTCTAACTAGGTAGCAGGGGAAGATGTTGCGTGGATCAAATCCCTTACAAAACTTCCCGTCGTCATCAAAGGCATCCAAAGCGTCGAGGTAAGCGCAATCAGTCTACACCCACCCTCAGGCTCACATTATCTGCAGGATGCCATCATAGCTTATGAACACGGCGTTCAGGGCATTGTTCTGTCCAATCACGGTGGTCGGCAACTTGACTTGTGCGTCGTCCGATCTACCTGTGGGTCTATTCGAACTTACCGCAGATACAAGCTCTCCATCCCCTATGACCCTTTTATATGAGCTTAGCCAGGCGAGGTCCGATCTTCTGTGGAGACGGGACTTCGAGGTGTTCGTGGATGGAGGGGTCACACGCGGGACTGACGTTCTAAAAGCTCTTTGTCTCGGTGCACGAGCTGTGGGCATGGGTAGGCCATTCCTGTACGCTAATGGGGTCTGGGGTGAAGAGGGCTGCCGAAGAGTGGTACAAAGTGCGTCAGCGTTTCACTCCTTTACTGCTCGTCGAACTTATCAGGAACTAGTCATGCGAGAAGAGATCGAGAGGGCAATGCGGCTGTTGGGCGTCAGTAACCTGAACCAGCTATCACCGAGCATGGTGCGATACATTGATCGGGAACCCATGGCCTCGCGTCTATAAGGGATAGGTGACTGCGGTATATACATGGGCGTCGTTGCTAGGAGTGGATCTGCAAGTACTGTACTTAGGGAGAAGGTGATACAGATGCAGACCGTATTTGATCACAATGATGTCCTATATTCGCTTATAAGCGACTTGGCAGCTATCACAAACCTCCCCCCAGCTTGGATGTACCCCAGTCTTCGGTCCTCGATGGGGAGGCAACCTGCCTGGAAAGGGCTGCGGCCCAAGACGGTGTCGTGCCACAAATTTCCGTAAATGGAATTGCGGGCATGAAGGTGGCGTGCGGCACGACTGGAATGCCCCAGCGTATTCTGACTTCACTTCATCTACATCTCACATTATACCCGATTCCTCCGGCTGCTGGCCCAGACAGTGCACTGAGGAGACAGATCCTCAGCTGCTGCTAAGCTGGATTTCACCGTTTGCTGACGACGCAGACCCAGGACGATACGAGGATGAACTCTTTGACTTACCTGTCGCGTCAGTTCGATGTACTGGCGTCACAGAGAGCGCCATCGTCAGACACGTATCTAGGGGATCGAACTGCAAGAGAGGGTCGCAGAGGCTCTGATGGTGGTCTCAAACGTGTCCAAACCAGTCTTTCCCTTAGCGACTACACACGTACTGCTTCACCGCTGAGGCGTTCCGCATCCTCACCCTCCGGTTTCCTGCGGGTCCTGCCTATCAAGAAACCCATAAGCGAACCCGTTTCAATTTCTGTTGCAAACTCAGAGCCACGGCCGGAGCAGTTCCTCTTCATCCGCATTCTCTGGATCTTCTGGGATGCCGTCTGTGCCGCCTGTGCAGCCGTATTGGTCCGGGGACGAGTGGAAGAAGCTGCTCAAGTACCGGTGGAACAGCAGTCTGTCGCGGAAGGACAGGAAAGCGAAGGGGAAAGTAGGGACGAGAAATATGTATTATCACAGCAGGCTTCTTCCCCAGCCGCCCCGCAATCCCCAGATCCAATATTACCTCCTCGGTCCGGAAGCAAGTCCACGCTACTTCCAGTCGACCGTACTGCCCCAGAAAGCTTGACTCCTCCTCCTGATCTTGTCCTAGATGCCTCCCAGCCGACGTCTCCGCCGAGGACGCCTACACCCACGATATCTTCGACGTCCTCCGATGCCTCTCAACAGTCCTCGATGCGTCAATTGGCAGTTGCTCGGAAGACGCCTCTCCATCTTCCCAAGACCCTTGTCCTTGACTTAGACGAAACGCTTATCCACTCAACGTCAAGACCTATGTATGGCACAGGTAACGGGCGGGGTTGGTTTGGACTGAGCGGTCTTTTTGGGCGGAAGAACAAGGGTGCTGGGAAGATCGTAGAGGTGGTCTTGGGCGGTCGGAGCACGCTGTATCATGTCTACAAGCGACCGTTTGCGGACTATTTCCTTCGCAAGGTACGTTGACGTTCCCCCAAGTTCTCATGATCCTCTTGCTTATTTGCTGGGCAGGTCTCGACATGGTATACGCTCGTGATATTTACTGCATCGATGCAGGAGTATGCCGATCCAGTCATTGATTGGCTTGACGCCGGTCGGGGAATACTGGCTCGGCGGCTATTCCGAGAGGTATGCCCCTTGCCAATTGTTTGCTCAGGCCATGGTTGACACTACCCCGCCTAGTCATGTACCTTGTTACCCAACGGTTCGTATTCCAAAGACTTGTCGAAAGTGGAACAGGACTTAGCACGGGTGTTCCTGGTGGATAACTCACCGATAAGTTACAGTATCAACGAGGGTTAGCTCTTCTGCATTCTTCATGTATTCTTCGAATCCTGACAGATATCTGGTTAGCGAATGGAGTTCCCATAGAGGGTTGGACAGATGATCCTCACGACGAGGCACTACTAGATCTCTTACCCATGCTGGATTCTCTGCGGTTCACCAGCGACGTTCGACGAGTCCTCGGTATTCGAGGCTTCTCATGACAATGCCGGGGACGTATACCTAATTGTAATATTTCTGATCGTGCCCTACGAGATGGACTACTTATCAATTAATTTGTTTGTAAGCATACACATCAATCACCGGTTAGTTAGAAACAATGTCGGACGTTCAGCTCATTTCTTGTTTAGTACTTCCCCAGCTCACTGGCCTCGTTAGCATTCAGCTCTCATCGCATGTTAGTGGCATTCCACCTTAGATACAAGTACGTCTAATGCATCGCAAGCACTGCATACTGTACCGCGACTGCTGTCGCTTGTCTGGGAAGATGACAGAAAACATGGTACATTGCATAGCGGGACACGACGGTATATTAACACAAATAATACTGACACACACGCAATGGCGGGAATAGTGTAACGTAGGTGGGATGACAGAGGGATAGATCATATACAATGGAAACAGAAGTGCAGTCCTATACCTGAAACCCCGACAAACTACATAGCCAAAGAGGCTTGTAATTCCCTGAGTTGTGCATCTTCGTCGTCTTCCACTGCTGTCCGATGCGCTGAAAGGGAAGAAACGTGTTCAGCTGAGGAGGGGAAAGACCAGTACTAGTACTCACCCTCTTCGACGCGAGTTGCCCCAGATGGAGCATGCACTGGTACATGATCGGCCTCCATCAGCCGCTCGTTCAACTGATCTTGCTCCAACTCTGCCAATTCCTGTTTCAGCTCCTCCTAAAAGGGTTGTCAGTTATGATACATCCCAATGGCGGCAGAAAGCGTACTTCGTCGTAGTCTAATCCAGCGTTCATGGGATTCGATATTGCTTCGGAAATCTCGTTCGCGATAGCTCTCTGCTCCTCGATAGCAGCCATCGTTGCATCAACCTTATCCATCGTCCTAGACCGGGCTCTGGTGAGCCAGGTGTCATGAGCGGATGGTACAGACGATGACGTACATGTTGCCGTGGATCGTCTTCAGTACATCCGCACCCTTCTTCATAGCAGTCATTGTCTCCGCGTTCAAGTTGGCGGACTCGAGTGTGTTGACCTGCGACTCCAACTGTAGTCGCGAGCCGGCCAGTTTATCCAATTCCTGCTCGTGTGCCCGTTTCCGTATCAGTGCTTGCTTTGCGACTGGTATGTTTCACGGGCATAGTAGACTCAGTTGGTGAGGGGGCAAGGAGCAGTGCAACAACATGACTGACGATTCTTATTTGTCACCGCATTAGCCTTGGCCTTCCTCGTCTCCTCCTCAATCTTCTTCTGCAGATATTCCTCCTTCTTCTCTATCAGCTGCAACTGCTGTCGTAGCCCGACAATGGCTTCCCTCGCTGCCTGCTTCGTGTCCTTCCGCCCACCAAAGTAGCTCATAAGGCTGGCCATCATTCTGGTTAGGCGTCACCAAGTATTAAATCGAATTCTAGCGCAGCACACAAGAGTAAAGGTAGCAAGGAGCAGATCTACCAGTACGCAAGAGTCAATTGACGGGTCGAATGTGGCTGGTGGTTGTGCACTGACGCCGCAGGCAAGGCGTCACGGTTATGATCGACCGATAAGGAAATCACCGGCAACGCAGCACACCGCGAAGCGAGGACTGCAACCTCGAATCTTCCATTCATTACGCAGCATTATACCTCGTAAAATTGAGCAAATATACATGACGAGAGCAGCGCTGTGCCACTTGACACAGCGCACCTGGTATATAACAAAAGCAACCGATTGACCCAGGAGTCACCCGACCAACGCGTCCTTAGCGACGCTTTTTCCCGCCTGGCTCACTGTAGAGGATTAAGCTAACAAACACGCAAGAACCCGGTGATACTTACCCTTCATCATCGCTTCTTTCGTCCTCGGCACCCTTGCCAGTGACGACACGCCAGGCTACGCGGCAGATCATGAATGCCCACAGAATCTGAATGATCTGTAGGCAGAGTCAGGGCAACGAAATGTACGCCTGGGACCAGAGACCATACCTGGAGCGCGAACAGCAGCGAATTGAAGATCACATAAGTGCTGTAGACAAAGCGATACCCTTGCTCAGGCTTCCAGTCAAACGACACGACCCTCGGGAGATCATAGTACGTGGATTTGAGCACGTAAATGAATAGAACGTGTCTAGTCATAAACCATGAAAGCAGGAAGAATACGAAGGCAACGTCGCACGCGGTGGACATCTCTAGGTATCGGAACATTTTCGCCAGCTGCGAAGCATCTGAGTTCAATCAATTCCAGTCCAAGCAGGATCGCGTTTCACGCACCGTAAACACTATGTCGCACCAGTCCATAATGACCATTATCATGCAGCCGATGCGGTTGAAATTGTAGTAGTAACTGAGGAGGATCAAGCCAATTGTGATGACATGGTGGGTCATCATTTGCCAGTGGTCCTTTCTATGGGCCTCGGCATTGAGCACTAATACTTGATGGATATAAAATGCAGCTTGGATCAAATACAAGGCCTTAACTGGACCGGGCAGCGGGACATGAGGATAGTTTTCCCAGGCGGCCGTGGGGTTGAAAACCTCAGTGGGCAGGTTCATGTAGACGTACTGGGGTATGATCAAAGTCAACAACTAAGCTATGCACAGACCACTCACCATGCCGAGGCACCACGAGAAGGTCCAGTATACCCATGAATAGCCTTGCTCGGCAAAGCGGAGGACGCTCCGAGTAATCTTCTGTTCCTCTTTGCTCGTTAACGAATAGGATGCAAGATCTCCCACGTCGTGGCCGTTGGCCTCCTGGATCAGACTGGACCCGTTCTGGTGAGCACCGTTGCCGTTCAAACTTTGCTTTTCACTTTTCAAGGCATCCTTCTCCGGGATGGAGTGCCGCCTTCTACCCCTTGTCAGCTGCCACCTTGCAAAAGGCTCGAACACTCCCAGTCGCAGAGCGTCCCGGAATCCCGCCATGAAGATGATACAGGACACGATGAAGCAAGCATCTAGAGGACCCGTGGAATAATAGGAGGAATTGGGGAAGGAGTCCGGGTTTGCCGGTCTATCGACGGGATAGGACAGGGTAAGGAATGGAGCGACGAAAGACGGAAGCCACTGGGGCATTTGCTGGACGTTCATGTTGTTCTTCTTGTCACTGGGTCGTTGCAGTAATTATCATGGAAAGTGGACTGATTCTGCGCAGCCCCCGTCGCTCAGGAGATCGCGTTTTGTATTAATAGTGCACGTTATACTCACCTGTCCCGAGCGTTTTCTATTATCTAGAGCACACACCCAGTAGGGATATATCGAGCAGTCGAAGTCCTGAATACCTCGACGCGGGGGTATTGGTATTCGGTACCCGAAGTAAATTGCGCCAGCAAGGAGCGCAGCGAGCGTCGATAGAGAGGGCTCTCCTGAACGCGCCTGACGTTCCCGACAACGAGAGCTTGAGTTTGACGCGTCCGCAACGACCAAGCCAACTTCAAAGGGAGGAATTTTTGCGTGAGCTGTAACGCCACGAACGTGTCTTTCGACGCGAAGTCCCCATTTCTTGAAACACCAAACGACCGGAAACGGCCGGGCGAATCGGCGCTGCACCTCCGCTGCCCTCTGTACTAATTACGATGAGCTCCTCCGCCGGCGACCATGGCACGCAGCCCAACAACACGCTCTACATCAACAACCTCAATGACAAGGTGAACAAGGAGGAGCTGCGGCACCAGCTGTTCGCGCTGTTCACGACGTACGGCAAGGTCATCGACGTCGTCGCGCAGAAGGGCGCGAAAATGCGCGGGCAGGCGTTCCTGGTGTTCAGCGACCTCGCGGGCGCGACGGCGGCGATGCGCGCGTGCGAGGGGATGGTGTTCTATGACAAGCCGATGGTTCGTCGCTTTTGCACGCGGGTCATGCGGGGCTGAACGGTAGACGCGCTCTTCTTCCTCTTCCGCGTCGCAGCGTATCCATTATGCGAAGTCAAAGTCGTACGCCACTCTGCGGAGGGAGGATCCCAACTTCATCCCTCCAGTGGCCGCGGCAGTGCACAATGCGACACTTGCTTCGGACAAGCGGGCCCGGGAGGACGATATGAATGTCGACGAGAGGGCGTCAAAGAAGGAAAAAGCTGATGACGAAGATGGCGAAGAGATGGAGATCGAAGACGATGAAGAGGGGGGGAGCAAGCAAGGTGCGTGCCGTCCCTATCACCCTTCGCTTCAACCCTCTCAAATGTCCACAGCCGTCCCTCCAGCCGTCAGTCTGCCCTCCGCGCGCCTACTATGTACAAATCTCCCGCAAGAAGTCACAGACGACGTACTATCCGTCCTATTCCAGCAGTGCGTACTATCTCCTGCGTGCCTATCCTGATATGTCTCAATCGGCGTGTATATCAGGTATCAGGGCTTCCAGTCCACACACGTGGTGCCTGCGCCCCAGCCTAATGCGGCCGGGCAGAAGGTAAAGATGGCGCAGGTCCTGTTCGACTCGCCGGAACTCGCCACGGTGGCGAAAGAAGCCTTGGACGGCTTCACGCTTAAAAAGGGCTGGATCATGTCCGTTGCATATATCTGACGTGTTGTAAGTAATCGTCGATCCTCCCGTGTACAGTACTGCGCTCGCGGAATAGACTGCGGAACGCCCAGGTCTCGGTCTTTCTGCTAAGAACTTGTGATTTTATATTGCAAGTTACAGTTTCAAAGGTGATGTTACATTTGGTTCACTTCTTATCCAACTTTACCCTTTCAACCCCGCCAGGATGGCTTCTGCCAATGGTTTGGCAGATGCTGGGTTCTGACCAGTGTATAGGTGTCCAGAAATGACGAATTTGGGCTATGATAATCTGAGTAACCTCGGTGACTTGATATAAACAACCCAACTTACCTGCCATGGCTCGGCGCTTTCGTACTTTCCGCCCAGAGCTTTGATCTTATCCTCAAGGAGGAAGGGCACATCCTGGAGAGACATCAGGCTTCCGTCAAGAGGCTTCGTACTGATGCCACTAACCTTGACCTTCCCAGCTTGTTCTTCCTCCGCGTTAGAGAACCCTGTGGCGGCCTTGCCCTCGAAGATCGACTTGCCCTCAGAGTCCGTCGCGCCAACCAGGGCACTGTCTCTCAATGTCAGTTCACTGCTCTTTCATTCCACATACGTGCGGAAGACTCACGCTGGCCCGTGGCACACGGCGGCGGTAAGCTTGCCCTTGCGATAGAACTACATGGCGCATTTCCGTCAGTGAGTGAGATTACCGAGTACCAATGCACTCACCTCACTGGCGAGCTTGATGTTCACAGGGTCAGTGGCTAGGTCGATGACGGGCCCGTGTCCGCCAACGTAGAAGACGGCGTCGTAGTCGTCTACGTTGACCTCTGAGAGCTTCTTGGCGCCCTCGAGCTTCTTGCGCACGGTCGGGTCCGACAAGAACTTCTGGCTCTCGTCGTCCTTGAAGTTCTGGTTGGCCGAGGGATTAGCCGAGGTGATGTGACGTTTTCCTATGGATCCGGCGTACCTGGACGCTGCTCTCATCGACGGGCGGGTTGGGCCCCTGGGGAGCGGCAAAATCGATGGTGTAATGCGGGGCGAGAGTGTAGTAAGGGTGCGCGGCCTCGGGGAGGTACCAGCCCTGGACAAAGGAACGGCGGATAAGACAAAGAAGCGATTGTCAGCACTGCTCTCGACTTACGGTGTTTCCGCCGGTCAAGGTCTTGTTGCACGACGTGAATACGAAGAGGATACGTCCTGGCATTGCGGTAGAGTGCTAGCGTTGGCTTTGAGAGGGTAACTGCCCGGGTACCCAGAGCTTTCTGGCTTATATAACACAGTCTAAACTGGTTATGACGCAATAGTATGTGGATAGAGCCAGGGAGAACCGATGTGCCCTTGTCCGATCGCATGCCCGAGCCATAGCAAACCTCCGGGGACCATTGCTCCGCCTGCGCTCCCTTTCTTCCGGGATCTGGAAATCATGGGTCTTTTCCTACCGGACGTCGAGCTTACTCATCGACATCTCCCGGGAGATTTTTCGAGACACTCTGGCGGACAGTGGATGACTTCCCGTAACGCTAAATCCTTATTTTCCCTATTTCTAAGGCGTTGTCAGCGAAGTGGTCACACCGAGTGATCGATTTTGATGGGATAAATATGGGGAAATAGAGATGGTCTCTAAACCGTGGGGACACTTCGCTGCTGCGAGACGCAGGACGCTGCTGGAGCGAAGAAGCACGAGATTCATCCAAATATGGAGGCGCTCACGAGGCATCAATGCTAGCCGACGCTAAGTGAGTGTTAGCCGACTCTAAGCGAGGATTTAGAGACGTTCAGCATTTTACAGAGGGGTAGGGACCCCTCTGTAAAGTCCAGGATTTAGAGACGCCTTTGCTTGACGACCGCCATCAACAAAACGTTACCATGGAAAGCGTGACAATTCGGCATCCCGGCACGATCACATCGGGGCCAGATTTTAGGGATTTAGGGACGAAATTTTAGAAAAAATAGCGATTTAGCGTTACGGGAAGTCATCCAGTAGAGCCTCAATATCCCAAAAGTACTCTTAGCATAGCTCCCGAGTACGATTCTGCACAGAGCATTGGCTTTGCGAAGCATAGACTCTTGATCAAGACCATAAACGCCGGCATGCGAGAGCAGGCATCCAGCACAGATGATTCCATTATCTACTAACATAGCATAGCCACCCCCTGTATATGCGGGTATCACCGATTCGGACGCTTCAGCTTCAGCTCTCAGTTGCATACAGTTCACCTTGTACTGTGTACTGCAGCTTCAGACTTCAGTCTTCAACTTGATACCCCTCTCATCCTACATACCACCCCGAGCATGTCTTCATTCTTTGGCCTGTGAGCATTTCACTCGACCTCGGCCAGAGTGGCCCACCTGACTTGCGCGCTGGAAGCGGGAAGACGCGGACGTTCAAGCCCAGGAAGGACGTGCCCGAGGGCACCAAGCAGTACCAGCTGCGCAAGTATGCTGAGGCGACGCTGGTGAGTTCTCTTGCGATAAAATGAGAGAGGGAAGGAGGCTCAATGGGATAGGGATCGGGCAATCTGAGGCTGGCGGTGCAGCTGCCGGAGGGGGAGGACGAGAATGAGTGGTTAGCTGTCCACGGTACGCAGGCACTCAACACGGTATGTATATTATGGGTAATGGTAGCTGATATGGCCCAGCGGTGGACTTCTTCAACCACCTGAACATGCTCTACGGGACCGTCACCGAGTTCTGTACCCCTCAGGAGGTGCGTGTGTCCCGTGCGGCATCCAAGCGTGTTGACCCTTCACGATACATCTCGCCAGTGCCCGATCATGTCCGCCGGCCCACGGTCAGTCTCAGTCTCACCGCCCTTCCCGCTATACCTACTCACCCGCTTGGCAGCTACGAATACCTGTGGGAAGACGGCGTGAAGTACCGCCGGCCGACCAAGCTGCCCGCGCCCGAGTACGTCGACGCGCTCATGAACTGGGCGCAGGGCATCCTGGACGACGAGGCGATCTTCCCCAACAAGATCGGTGCGTGAGCCCCCCGCCCCTTCCCCCTCCTCGACCGCTCTCGTTTCCTTACTCTGAGTTTCGCGACGTGCAGGCGTGCCGTTCCCGCGGGGCTTCCGCGACACGGTGCGCACGATCATCCGGCGGCTGTTCCGCGTGTACGCGCACCTGTACAGCAACCACTTCGACCACATATGCGCGCTGGGCATCGAGGGTGCGTCCGTGTCGTCGTCCCTTCCTTCAAGGTGCAGTTCCTGACAGTCCACCCCGAAGCGCATCTGAACACCAGCTACCGGCATTTCTTCCTGTTCGTGCACGAGGCATGTTCGTTCGACTGGAATGTATGAGCTGTGCTATGATATTGACGCGATTTGCAGTTCGACCTGATCGACAAGAAAGAGCTCGCGCCCCTGGACGAGCTGAACGACGCCATCCTCGCCGAGGACAAGCGGTGACCTCCTCATCACCCCGTGTTATCACCATCATACACGTATTGTACATACCTACGCATGCATGCTTTCAATGTCCGTCGCTCCCAAGTTCGGGATGCATATGCAATCAATAACGAGTTCGAAATACTCTCAATCTGATTTGAAGTGACTCGCTAAAGCGGGAGGGAAAGAAGTACAAGATATACACGGATCTCAGTGGCGTTTATATAGAGATAATAAGTTAGCGCTACATTGGACTTAAGTTGAACTTGGGGGGGTAAAGCTTATATGACTGCGAAGCGCGGAAACAGCGAGCAGAAGCAGGGATTGCAAAATAAGAGGAAGGGAAGGGGACGGGGATAAGTATTATACAGAAGAAATTCGTGGATGGTTGCTTGCTTGATGATAATGTACACTGACTGCTGCGGGGGATGGGAACTTGCGTTGCGGGGCTTTTGGAGAGAGATTGTGGCGGGGGCCAGCGGTAATGCTGACCGGTCTATCGGAGTGAGCTGGGTGGGGCGGTGACGTGTGGCTTGCTGTGGATGGAGCGTCTTGCTTTACGGGGAGATCGAGGATACCACCGGCATTCAAATGGTCCTCTAGAGACCGACTTTAGCACCTCTCTCACCCGCGAGACGAGGAACGGAAGTAGCTGACCTTGACTACCGACCACTGGATGGTCAGGCTTTTTATCCTCTCCTTCAGCGCCAGGCGGCAGAGATCGCACGTGAGCTGCTCCCCGAGCGGATTCAGCGCCGACTCGATCGTCGCGGTCGACACATCTGCAGGACAGTCCGTCAGCTGCACGCGCATACAGTGCGACGAGGGCACGAATCGTATACCTGGTCTCGCGTCCCACGCGAGGTACGCCGCCGCGAGCGCCCACGCGCGCGTCAGCTTCTTCTGCTCGACGGCGTCGCACCACGCGGTCGGGCCGTGCGGCTGGGGCGGGGGGAGCAGGAGGCGCTTGAGCGCGTCGACGCGGCCGAGGTGGAGGAAGAAGAGGCGCTTGAGGTACACGGGCCCGATGCGGCGCGCGAGGTCGTCGGTGAGCGAGGGCAGCGCGAAGGAGAGCAGGTGCGCGGACGTCGCGACGGCGAGCTCGTACAGGTCGTGCTGGGCGGCGAGCGCGTAGAGCGCGATCGGGAGGAGGGGCGCGTGCAGGAGGAGGTGCTGGTAGAGCGGGAGCGTCGGCGCGATGTGCGCGCGCAGCGGGACGCCGTACGTCTGCATGGCGGCTACGGCGGCCTCGAGGACGGAGAAGGGCGGCGCGTAGTGGGCGCAGGACATGTGGTAGATGGTGTGCAGGAGGACGTTGAGCACGGCGGAGGGCTCGGGCACGGTGAGGACGGGGCCGACGTCGTTGCTGGGCTGCTGCGGCGTGACGGGGAGGAGCGAGTGGAAGCCGTTCTCCGAGGCGGTGAGGAGGCGGTGGGTGTGGACGTAGAAGAAGACGGTGTCGGAGGAGAGCAGGACGAGGTCGGGGGGCAAAGGGTCGACGCTGGCTCCGGGGAAGAAGGTCGTTGAGACGGAGACGATCGTGCTCTCCGCGGGGTCTTCGCTGCTCGGCGTGGCCGTCTGCGAGTCCTGTGGCAGAGGAAAGTGTGGCAAGCTCAGTGTGGCAAGCCTGGCCGTGACGAAAGGGCGACGCACCGGCGGCGTAGGCACCTGCGCGGACAACGGCGCGACCAGCTCGGAGACAGGCTTCGGCTCACCGTGCGGCAGGATGTCTGTCTCCAGCGGCTCTGAAACGTATTGCATGACATTCTCCCAGTCACCGGACTCCATCGCGCGAAGGAATGAATCGTCTAGTTCACGTTACTTGGATTATTTAGTCGCGACCGAAACACACGCAGCCGGGGGACGCACCGTCGATGTTTTGGTCTGGTCTGAGCCTCTTCCCTTGCAATGTGCCGCCGGTTGCGAGAGCGCAATCTTGATTTCAAACGTGTGAAAACGTTCGTCACTTTCCAGCTGCCGCCGGGCCACAGCCGCCGGCAATGTTATTATAGTGGCGGTCATGTCTTTATCAAAACACCACAACGCTTGCCTCTTGTGCGCTCTAGTTGTAAGCAGATAGAAAACACGAGAAATCAAATGTTCCAACCCGCTCAATGTGTATATGATTTCTCGTGGGTTGGGGGGATACTTCGGTTCTGCCCGAGTCCCGCTGGGTCACGTGACTACTTGAGGGCAGGCCTCGACGCGCGCAACGAACTGACCGAATTTGCGGAGATGAGACGCGTCGAGGAGGACAGAACCGAAGTCCGAGCGCTGGAACAGTTCCCGTCAGACACTGCAGTCTCGAAAACTGACCCTCCAGCGCTGCCGCAAACAAAAAGGGATGTGGTGGGTGGGTGAGAAAAATTCGCCTAGAGGGGAATGCAAAGGGACGACGATGCGTACGCGTCGTCCAATGCACGGTGGGCGTCTAGACGCCCACGTGTCTGCTTACTCAGCTTTCTCGTGGCAAGCACTCCCACGCAGCATCCGCTCGCAAGCTCGCTCATGCTGCGTGTACTAGCTTGCCTCTTGTGCGCTCTAGTTGTAAGCAGATAGAAAACACGAGAAATCAAATGTTCCAACCCGCTCAATGTGTATATGATTTCTCGTGGGTTGGGGGGATACTTCGGTTCTGCCCGAGTCCCGCTGGGTCACGTGACTACTTGAGGGCAGGCCTCGACGCGCGCAACGAACTGACCGAATTTGCGGAGATGAGACGCGTCGAGGAGGACAGAACCGAAGTCCGAGCGCTGGAACAGTTCCCGTCAGACACTGCAGTCTCGAAAACTGACCCTCCAACCCAGAGCGAAGCTCTAACGCAAGGTTTTCGAGACCTTTTGCGAAAACTACCCCACCCAGAGCTTCGCGATGGACACTCGACCTACATGGCAATATCAAATGCATTGTACAATATGTTAAGCTATACATTAGTGACCGGTAGTCCATTGCGTACCCGGAAGTGCTCTAGTCCATCGTTGGCAGCTTGAATACGAGAATGGGTGTAAGAACGTGATACGAAAAGCGGGAGAATTGATTCTATCTTGCGCCAATATAACATGAAAGCCATCGACTTCCACCGGCCCTGCGCAGCCACCACTTCCGGTGATATGCCCTCTAGCAGCATCTCCGTCGTCCCACCGATCCGGAAGCTGTGCCCGAAGACGTCCTGTAATCCGGCTGTCGTCCAAATAGAGCGGCAGCGAATAAGGAACCAATCCTTGACCATGGGCGCCCACGAGCCAGCGGACGTTTCGAATGCAAATAAGGGGGCTGTCGTGGGAACGTTATGGTTGGCATGAAGATGTTGGCGCATGGCAAACCATGGATCGATGTCCCCCCGGGCAGTGAGTGATATGTCCGCACCCTCGTGCTGTGTGGTCTTGGTCCATGGTATGTGAAAATGAACGGACCGTACATTCCCTGGTAACGTTTGCCAACGAATGGAGGTACCGCGCGCTACGTGCTTGGTAGCGTCGAAGCTGTTTCTACTGGGAACTGTTAACTCCCCCAGCCGACAGCAACCACGAAAGGCCGTACAGGCGCACGCCCACACGGCGGCATCGAACGAGTTCGTTAAGTCAAGTCCCCGCCAGAGTGCCCACATATGCTCCACCGTCACCGGCGGTCTCTTGACCCGCTTCGCAGAATCTGGAACCATCTTGCGCACCCCTTTGAGAGTTTGTTTGAGTAGTTCATTACCATACCATGGTGCGCCATTTATCTTGTGCCAATAGTGTATGCCTTGGAGCCAATTTTGAGCCGCTGAGTCACTGCGAAGGCCCGCTGCACGTTCGGCAATAAATATTGATAATAATTCTTCTGAAGCCGGCATGCGTGAATTTTCATCTATGTTGTGATCATCGCAAAACTGAGCAAAGCGAAGCAGGCCAGAGCCGTACTCTTGTCTGGTGGAGATGTCGAGAGATGCTAAGAGAGTGTTGAAGAGCTTATTAACTGAAGAGGAGTCTACTGAATTGCATAGTCGCTGATCTCGGGCCTCCGTGAAGGGCGTGTACCAGCAACGAAGTCTATCGGAAGCCGCGACGAGAGGACGATACGGAGATGGATTGATGTGACAGTCAGGACGGGGTTTTTTGGGCTGTTTTTTCTTTTGACCTGCAAATCCGCGCGACGGGTCCCGAAACGAAAGCCCCCCCGTCGAGGGATGTTCGGGATCCGGATTCGAGGTCGCAGCGGCACGAGCCACCGCCAGTTGAAAGATGGCACTATTCATAATGAAACAAATACGGACTAAGTTCGCCAGGTATAGCGAACGATGAGCAAATACGAAGCGAATCGGGCCCCAACTCGCCGCGAGAGATGGGATCTGCCAGATTGTCCTCGGACTTCACGTACTCGAACGTGAGGGAGATATTACGGGCCGTCATGATCATGACGGTCCGCTGAATTGATACGTTTACTGCGACATTGCGGCTACGACCCTTGTCGAACGCGCCTATGATCCCTTGATTGTCAGAGCGCACCAGCACGTTGACGTCTTCGTAGCCTTTAAGTTCCAGAAGTCGGACTAGGAACTCAACTGCGAGACCTTCGAGCCAGCCAATATCGCGACCGCTTCCCCGCGGCACATTCCAGTTTTGCTTCAAGCACCAGGCGTCCCAGTGTCGCGTACCCCATATTACTCCAATGCCCCAATCCGTCGAGGCATCCACCCATATGCCTAAGTCAGTCACCGGCCCCCGGGGCTTCAAGGATCGGACCGCTTCGTCCTGTACTAGACGCTGCTGCCACCACGTTAGGTCCGTCAACACGCGATGAGATGGGCGTCGAGGAGCATAAGGGTTATCTGTGAACTCGGAGGCGAAGGCATTCAATGACGGCAGGTGAGCACGTCCGTCGCGATATATGAATGTTACGTGTGATAGTGTCCCGATCATCTTCTGCACTTCTCGTAAGTGGACACGGCCTTGACTCCAAGTGATCCTAGCCGTCTTGACCTGTCCTCGTACTTTGTCGAGTTTTGCGGGTATCATGCGAGCCGTCTTTGCCTGTAGCTCCCAGCTGAATCCAACATAATCAAATGTCGGTGCGAAATCCTGCCCCTTCTCTTCGTGCCAAGGAATCTGAAGAGGAGCCGTAACGTCGAATATTGTCTGCCTATTGTATGTGAAGCTGTAGGGTAGCATTCTTCCATCTGGTTGCTGACCACCGGCAATGGGAAAACGAAATATCGTAATATCATCGACCCACTTCAATGTAGGCCCAATCCTCTTAACTTCAAGGATATCCATTGTCGCATCCACGGTCTCTCCTAATAGACCGTGTGCTGACGAGAGACCAAAAGGAACACAGTGGTCTATATGGTGGTTGTCTCCGAATCGAACAATAATGAATAACTTGTGTGATGGCTTGACTGGTATGGTGCGGTACGCGCTAGCGATATCGAACGTTGCTGCCTCTGCTCCCGGCGGGGCGTTGGCACACTGTATCCACCCGGTTAGGGTATGTCCATATCTGTCTTATGCAGAACAACAGAGGGCACTCTGCCCCGTCCCCGAGCTGGACAACACGGAGGGTCTCAGACCCCGCCTCTGACTGAGGCCGTACACAGAGGGTTTGCCACCCCGTCCCCTCCAGGGACAACGACCGTACGCGTCGTCATGACAGAGCTCGTCAAACCCGAAAGAGTGACAGCCGCGACCCGTTGTTATTTGACATCTCAGTCCAAACACGGCGTCGCCCTCTGATCCGAAGATCACAGACCCGATAGGTCTAAGTCATGGTGCACGGTTGTGAAATTGAAGGTGGATAAAAAAGCACGAAAGTGCGTTCGAAGATGGCGAGATATTGTAATAGGTAAATCGAAAAGATAGACTCACCACTTCAGCGCAATCTGCTGCTGTAGAGAAGCGCGTGATGAAGTCCTTCGGGTCGATGTAACTGTTGACCGAGGGATGTTGTACTGTTGCTGCTGAAAGATTCCTACACACTCGGACCTTATCCTCTTCACCGTCGGCACCCGGACGCACTGCGCAAACCAGCGGCGACACCACAAAGGGACCTCCACACATCCGTTCGCATTCCTCTCTCGTCATCGCCTGCGACATCCGCCCTGCTTGTACTTCCTTGTCAATGTAGTTCCTGACGTGTTGAGCATACTGAGTGCAGTTTTTTGAATTTTCATGAATAATTGTCTCTCGCGGTGGAGAGAAGTCACCAAGAGGAAAGCCATCGACTAGTTTCGTGACAAGATCTGGGTATCGTTCAAGTAAGCCGCACTCTGTCAAAAGCCGGTGAAAAGCGGCCGCGTCATAAGGCGTCTGGCGGTGGTAAAGCGAGTTCTGATCAGAGGCGGACGGATGCGGCGCAGTCTCGACTGAGGGCGATATGGTTTGGGGAGCCGCAGAAGGCACAGATATGGCGGATGTCCGATCCGTGGTTGGTGCAAGTAGTGAACCCCGCTCTCGCTCCGGAAGTGTTCCATGCGGTACAGACGCTGTCACCGGATTTGATTGAGACCAGCCGCCTCGAGTTCGTGTTCCAGCGACAATATACTGGTCCACCTCCGGGGTAATATCCGTTCGTGCAGTCACTGGCTCTATGGCCAGATCGCGAGCAGGCCAGACAGACGAAAGCCTTTTTGGGTCTCTCGTCACGAAATGAACGATAGCCGGGACGAGTCCCGGCGGTTTTTGAAGATGAAGTGTCCGGTGCTGAAGTGACCTGGCTGGGTGGCTGCCGACGAGATGGTTCGTACCGGTGGAGTCGGTCCCGTTCCTCCTGCATCCCCTTCAAAGCATCCTTTACTTGCTGGTTGGAGTCATCTAGCTTCATCCGGTCATATTTTGTCCGGTAGCGCTCAGCGTTGAAAACGAAGGGTTGCCACACATAGAGTTGACGCAAGTCGATGTCCATCTTCAATAGAATTCTGAAATCGGCGACGAATGTGGGTTGACCAGTGAACCAAGTCCGATGCTTGTCCCAGCGCTCTGCTTGTTCCACCTGGCCCGCATCGAGATAGAACGCGACTTGATTTTCCATCGCCTCCCGCCATTCTTCGGATGTGAGCGCACCTTCGTCCCGGTACTTGGCTACATCGAGAAGCTGTTTCTTCCGAGATTTCTCCCCGACGCCCGTTCTCAGTGGTACATTATTGTTCTGACGTAGCATTTCCCGACGAGTCGTGTTAAGATACATTGAAAGGGGAATATATTCACCAAGATTTGCTAGTTCCTTCAGACGCGGGTGCCAGCCAGTGATGTCATTCATTTCAATGTCGATGTCCTCTTCTACAATCGGCTTTCTCCTCTTATTCATCGGCACATCGCTTTCCGAGCCGCTGGAACTGGAGGACGATAATGACCGTGAGCGCCGTTTCTTCCCGAAGATCTTCTTCATTATCTTGCTCTCGGCTTTCTTCCGACTCCTTGGAGAGAGGGCCTTTAGCATTCTCGACAGTAGAGATTCAGACTGATTATCAGGGGTGGAAGAATGACTTGATTCGGATTCAGAGAGCTGGATAAGATCAGCTTCGTCCTCGGATACTTCTGGTTCGCCCAGACCGCGCCGGAGCTCTCTGAGTCTATTTTTCTCCGCAGTCGTAGCCTTCATTGTCTTCCTCATACTACGGGGGTATTTCGATCCATCTGGCTTAAGGCCCTTTCTGAGATTTTCTGCCATTTGGGCAGGAGATATGACGGGCGGATTATTGTTGACAATATTATGCCCGTTGGTGCCAGCAGGGATTCCAGAAGACATATTGATACTACGCAATCCCGATTGCCGCGACAGCCTACTGAGAAAAATTCGCCTAGAGGGGAATGCAAAGGGACGACGATGCGTACGCGTCGTCCAATGCACGGTGGGCGTCTAGACGCCCACGTGTCTGCTTACTCAGCTTTCTCGTGGCAAGCACTCCCACGCAGCATCCGCTCGCAAGCTCGCTCATGCTGCGTGTACTAATCCGTCTGGTATTCTATTGACCTTTCGTATCCGTCCATGCGATGCTCTACGTACACAGCCTAGTTGGTTCGCTTCATCTTGTGTATTTGCTCCCTCCGGCCAAAATTCGTGTCGTGCAGTTCCTGGTGGGACGGGGATGAACATTATACAACCACGGAAAGTCAAGCGGACAGCGCACCATATTCGCCATCCGCTTCGCCGTAGAAACAGCGTTCAGCTTCTCCAACACCCGACTCTCCGGCAACACAATCTCCTCCAGCTTCGTCTCTGTCCAAAACCAACCAATCAGCACCGTCCATCCCCAAAACAAAACCCACACATACTAATCCGCTCCTCCACCTTCAACACCCGCTCCTCGTCCCGCTCCGTCACGAAACTCACCGCCAACCCCCCGCGGCCCGCACGCGCCGTCCGCCCCACGCGGTGCGTGTACTCCTCGCTCTCCACCGGCATATCCCAGTTCACCACCATCGCCACGTCCGCAATATCGAGCCCGCGCGCGCCCACGTCCGTGCTCACCAGCACCGGCACGACGTACGCGCGGAACAAGCCCAGGGAGTTCAGCCGCTCGCGCTGCGTCAGCCGCGAGTGCAGCGCGGTCGCGCGCAGCCCGAGCGTGCGCAGCAGGGAGGTGAGGTACGCCGCGGTGCGCGGCTTGTTGCAGAAGATGATCGTCGGCGGGGGCTGTTGCGGCGTGTCGGGCTCGTCGTCTTTCGCGGCCTTTTTGCGTTTGCCCTTTTTTGCGGCGGGCGTGGGGTCCGGCGCGGCGCGGCGCATGTGCGCGATCGACTCTGGGGGATGGCAGAGGAGGTCGTAGAGGTAGGACTCGCGGACGTGCGAGGGGACGAGGATGTAGAACTGCTTTAATGTCTCCACAGTCTCGACCCTAAGCGCCGCTCGTCAGCGTTCGGTCAAAACCAAGAGGGACTCTAACACACGGCGCAGTAATGCGGTGGACAAACGGCTTGCGCTTGCCCGGCCTCGGGGGCGCTTCCGCGAGCTTCTCCACAGCAGCCGTCCACGTAGCGGTGAACAGACACGTCTGCCGTTCCGACGGGAGGACTTTGAACAGGTACGACAGCTCCGGCGCGAACGTGGGCGTTAGGAGGCGATCCGCTTCGTCGAGAACCTAACAAAATTAGTTCAGCACACGATGCATGAATATCCTGCCATAATCTTACGAGGAACTTGATGCGGGATAAATTCCACTCCCCGCTATTCGACTCGAGCAGGTCGACGATCCGCCCGGGGGTCGCGACGACGACGTGCGGGTGGTTCTTCAGCTCCAGCGCCTGTGCGATCGTGTCCATCCCGCCCACCACGACCGCCGTTCTCAAATTCAGCGAAGCCCCCAATACGGCGAACTGCTCGGAAATCTGGAACGCGAGCTCACTAGCAGGCGGCAAACGTATGTCAGAGGGGCAACGTACGAAGAAGGACGGAAGCGTACCGGGTGGGGGTCAGGACGAGGGCATAGATACCGTACGGGTCCAGTGAGAGCTTTTGCAGGATGGGCAACGCGAATGCTATTGTTTTCCCCGAGCCGGTCTTGGCGTTTCCTATGCAGTCCCTACCTTACAGTCCTAGCGAGTAAGCTTGTGAGCTTTGCGGAGATCGCGCGCACGGTGACTCGCCTTCTAAGAGAGGAGCTATGCAGGCGGCTTGGATCTCCGTCGGCGTGCGGATGGACATCTGCGCGAGTGCATGTTGCAATGCGGAAGAGACTCCGAGGGAGGCGAACGATGTTGGGAGGTGCGCTGCGTTCTGAGAGGGTGCAGACAGTGTTGGTCGCGCCGGCTTGGAGAACCTTGACAAAGAGTTTGAAGAGTCATCTGCGCCAGCCTTTGGCTTCAGATCCACCCTGAGCCACTCATGAATCCGTTCTCTACGCACCTTCATCTATCCCGAAACCATGCACAGAGCGTTCTTCTGCATCGCTGTCCTCACCCTCTTCTTCACCTCCACTCGATACGCCACTGTCCTCGTCCACAGCGGATGTAGACGCCTCCGACTCGTCCGAATCATGTCGCATGCGTTTGAGGCTATGGTGGTCGCCTCCGCCGTCCTCAGACCGTACGGGAGAGGTCTTACGCTTGCGGTAAGTAGTAGGTCCCATTTCGCAAGAGTGCCAGGCCGTTAGAAGAGCAAATGGGTGGTAGTAGTGTATACAGCACCTGCAGCCAGCGAAGAGGCACAAAACTTGCGCTCGCCGGAAATTGTACCGGGCAATACTCGGGTGTTGCCGACAGCACTGAGCAGATCTGGATCGGGCTTTGAAGATCCTGATTGCCAGATCCCGCTGCCATTTGCCACAATTGCTTCAGACGCTCCCGAGTCCCGTCGCAACAAGACACTATGCTCTCTGTGCTGGCCAAAATGATGATATTACCAGGTTTGATTGGACACTCAAATATTACGGTATGAATAACTAAAGGTGGACCCGGAGCCCGCTTTCTTTGGCATCACGATTCTGTCGCTAAACCCTCTGTCTGCACAAGAAATCACGATACTAATTGCTTCAGTCGGCAATCCGCTCTCTAGCCAGAGGACCACCCTCGGCGACGAACATATACACAGACCGTTGGTCAACTACAGGACGTCCTTCATGCTCTTTTTGGCTGATCCTCGCTCCAATGGCTTTGGCTGGGTAGGCGCGGGTTTCCACCCGATCTTTGAAGCCGTTAGTATACATTGGCCGTGAAGCGAGCATAACCGCAATCCTCACCATCCAGATAATCTGAAAAGTAGCCGGCACGCTGCCATCCTCGTTGCCATGCAATGCTACGTAACGCATCAGCGCCGCGAATAACCAAGGGGACATGTCCAGGTGCTTGCCTTTGTATATCGCCGAAGCAGCCGCCAGCGTATCCCGATGGATAAAGTTCCTCCTAGAGGCAGATCAGCAGCGTGCCCTATTGGATACGATGGAGATTCGCTGCGCGCACCGTCCGACGATAGCATTGCTTTCACCCATGTCTTGCAAGTCCTCCATCAGCTCGAACATACTCGGGTACGCAACGCGAACTTCGTCAATGTCTACGGTGAGGAGCGTAAAGCCGGCGCGTCCCAAGAGGTTTGATACGTCGCGGGTGTCTAAGGCAGATCGTAACTCAACTCTCAGCGGGCTGCTGATCGTACCGAAAAGCCTTACCGGTCATGGGGGATACGTGGGGTGAAATGCCTCCCTCGCGTTCCAGTTCCGCAAGCTGCAGAGACGTTCTGCAAATAGACACGATCAGGATGAGTTACGCAGAATAGTACTGCTACTTCGTACCGAGGAGGGTATTAATCCAGTACTCACCGGAGCTCGAAGAGTGTGTCGCCGCCAAACATTGCGCCAATGAAGACGCCGTCCGGCTTCAGCGCCTCCTTGATCTGCACGAGTACGCCTGCCGTTTCAGCGCAGTGAGTCATGGCGAAAAGCATAAGGGGAAGCAAATTGCGAATACCAGGAAGGTCGTTAATCCAGTGGAGACTCAGACATGAGACGATCGCTTCCTGCGAGTTGGGCTCCACGACATCAAGTAGACGTTCCTCGTCTGCGTGTATTCGTTCCACTTCCACTGTCATATCACCCAATCGGCATTTATAGATTCTTAGATACCTATAGTGGTGCTTACCTTCGAATTCTGAATCTGGATCGCGGTGCAGGAGCTTCTCTACGAGACGCAGGGTAAGTCCCTGGCATATGCCCGCGTCAACGAAGACAAACCGCTCGATTCCAGCAGTACAGCTTTGTTCGTGACCTCTGCATCGAGTAGCTTAGAAAAATGACCGGGCCCAGAGCCCAGATCCAATATTGTATTGAATTTCCGCTTGATATCCTGGTAATTCCAAATCTTGAGTCTACGTCTACGGCTGAGATTCCCGGACTCACCAGCAGTCTCTCAATCATCCTGTCAGCAACTTCATCCCTGACATAGTCCGTCGTCCGACTCCTTGCGCCCCCATCTCGCGTCGCCGACCGGTCTCGCTGGAGAACCTTGGCGTGCCGGTCGAAGACCTGGTAGGGTCCGACGGTGTTGGGACCCGACGGGGGGGACGGTGAATGCGAAGCGAAAGTCCGGACCCGCGATAAAGACAGGGGGATTCGACGATGCATGCGTAAAGGAGCGGATGAGGGAAGTGAGGTAATTACGGACGCGTCGCGTCAACGTCGCGCTCCGGCGGCGTTCGCTCTTTCCTAAGTACTCCCCCCTCGACTTCAACCTATTCTACTGTCTCTATATACTTCTACTTTCCCTTCCCTCTTTTTTCTGGAAGACCGACAGCTGCGATACCAAGCACGGCGTCTGCGTAGTCCTTTCGCTCCTTCCCATCCACCCCAGGATGGACCTCGCGATATCGCCCGCGAAGAAAGGCCGTCAAGCTCCCCACTGCAAGAAATGTAGCGTTCCGACGAAAGGCCACCGGTGCCCGTATCGAGCTAGGCGTGTTACTACTGCCACGACTAGTACTACCACTCGCCCGAAGCGCCCTTCAAGACGGTACTCTGCTCGCTTCTGCCCGGAGACGGTAGCAATGGATTCGCAAGACCCAACGCTCCAGGATGAGCTGGAGATGATTGGGATAGCAGATGCGGTTGAGAAATCGCACGTACGCTTGTCTCGAGGACGAAGGCGCTCCGAGGATCCAGGTGGTCGTGGACGTGTCATATTCTGCTCTAATCTCCCGTCCGGATCTCGTGTCGAGGCTCCATCTGGTGAGGTTTGTGGGTCTGCTCCCAGTCCCGCCTCAAGTCCATCCCTTTCCTCGGCTAGTGATACGCATGTACAACTCCCGCCTTACGCCGTGAGTACTCATCCACTGGCGTCCACGGGATCCGAAATGCGCGACGCGAGCCTCGTAGATCCCGCGGACAGGCTCACGCCCACCCTCGAAACCTCTGTGGCTGAAGTTGAATGCCTTGTCTCTGGTGCTTCTCCTGCTCCCATCACTGTTCAACACGCTCTAGGGGCTTCTGAGCCTGTCTCGTCGGGGTCGCTTGTCTCAGTCGACGAAGTCTATGAGATGGTCGCCGAATGCTTGGTTGATCCCCGTGCATCCTCGGAAGGTGCACCGCTGGCACGGCGTCCCCCTGCGAATGTATATTCCGAGTCTATCTCCTCAGCGTCTCTCGGCTCCGAGGAAGTGCTCGGGCTGCTCAAGACTCGGATGGCGGATACTTCGTTGGAAGATACGCCTCGGGTGAGGCGTCGCCCCGCGAACCATGATGTCTCCCCGTTGTCCGGGGAAGATTCGACGAGTGAGTTTTGTGTCGCTCAACCTGTAACTTACCGTTATAATCCAGGTGTATTAGATGCTGGCCCCGCCTTTAATGCTCATTACGTTAAACATGAGGACCCCTTTATAGCTTCTGGGGCCTTGAACAGGGACTTGGTCGATGGCAAGAATGTAGAGAGTTGGCAGGCCCGTGACTACGGCATTCAATGGGGTGCTCCAGGTGCTCCGTCCGTCCCACAAGTTAACCTGCTCAAACTCCGCGCGAACGTGGCATGCAAGCCGGCCAAATCCCCAGCCAAGAAGAAGCTTCCTCACAGTGACTGGATACAGGACCTGTTCCGTGCTGGTGGTGGACCTGTCACTTGTGTACATCTGGCCTCTCTACAGGATGCTCGACACTTCGAGACGGTTGCCCGAGATCGCGGGGTGTCTACTGGCTACCTCCCTGTCCACGATGGGTCGATCTTGTTCCTCTTTACCAGCGGTTCGCCTGAGCCTATTGCGCGCGTGATCCAGAATTACTCTCGTCATGGGAAGAAGGAGCGATCTAGGATGCTTTTGTTAGCTTGTTTTGGTACCCTGGCGTTTGCTCTCGTACTTGGCTTTGCGTTCGCTCGAGCTCGCTTTCTTTCGAATAACTCCACGGCATTTGCTGGACTTTGCAGCTGTGCTTCTTCTCTATGATGGGAGTATTTCATACCTTATGGGCATCGTCTGGCGACCTTTTCTTCCTGCAACGTGTTCTCGTCTTTTTCACGGATACCTCCTTCCGCGACCTTGTACCGCTTGCCTCATGCACCTGCGACTACCTTCTCCGTATGCTAGTGTGGCTTTTGTTCCCGTATAAGACAATATTCTCGGTAAGCCGTCCAGTCCGTGAGGTACATTCAGTTGGTCTCCGCATCAACTAGATACTGAGGGGTAGACAATCATAAGCCTTTTTGGCATACCTTCATCGTGTCAACTTTCTTCTACTTGAATGTTGCGGCCTAGGTATCACGCCGGAGAAATTCAGGTATCGTAGCAGACACCCCCCTTGTTCTCGGCAAGATCTGTATCAGTATACCTCCTGTAAGATACTTCTCACATCTTGACACAGCTGTGTTGGTTGAGACATCCTGGTTAAGAATAGTCTGGATGGCCTGCTCCAGGCACATTTATAGATCCCTGATCGACGAACGATGGCTTCATTGAATGGATTCCAGATGTGATCATCCGACATGCTGCGACTGCACTTTATTCGCTGCCACCTCCACCTGCAAGCTGGCCGCCAAACACAAGGCAAACATCCGGACGGGTACGCCTCGGCCACCGCCACAAAGTAAGCGCAGCGCGGAGGAACTTGGCCTAGAGGCGGTGCATCTTCTCGCGATACACCGTCCTCCGAAATAACCGTTCACCTTGACCCTACACTTATATACCCCCGCGTGCGAAGAACAGCGGTAGGGATACAGCATGTCCAACCAAGACCGTGGACAGTACCAGCCAGGCCCCGAGCAGGATCAGGAAGGGACGACCAGCAACGGAGACGAGCTCCCGACTTACGACGATCTCGCCGCGGCCAGCGGGCCTAATTCAAGGTGCGTGGCTGGACGGTGGGCCCAGTTACGATGCTGAATACTGGGTTAAAGGTTCGGTCGGTGGCGGGGATGGGTGGAGAAGAGGTGAGTCGACGCCACTCACGCTGTCTGTCTGCCTTCACCAACCCTTGTCTCTGCGAATAAGAGCTGCGGAACGATATGCAGACCTCACACCGGCGGTACGGGAGCAGCGACGAGCAAGAGGGTGGGATGTATGTCCAGTTTCGTTCCCATAAAGGTGCCCACAACAACTTAACGCATCGTGCCCTTGAAGATAGAACCTCCTCAGCCGCCCCCGCCACCGCCGGACACTCAGAAACCCCTCCCCCCTTTAGTTGTAAATCAGCCACCCACCCCCGGCATGCTCCATGTGCAGACGACGAACATGACCATGCCCCCCATATCCCCCTTCTTCACCCCCGACCGCACACCGCCCGTCATCCCCCAATCCATCCCACCCTCACACCTCAGACTGAGCAACTTCGGCTCCCGCTTTCTGCCACACACCACGTCCCCCATCCGTTCCCTCTTGCCCCTACCCGGAGATCGCATGCTGCTGATCGGCCACGATGACGGGTTATCGGTGCTGGACATGTTTCCTCAGGAATGGACGGACGGAGGGCTAACCACTAAAGGCCCCAGCGACGCACAGGCCAAGCTGATCTGGCAAGGTGAAGGGTATGCGAAGATCACCCGGCTGTACGCTCCCTACTGATGTGCTCATGGTAGGGTCTATCAGATGTCGTATCTCGAGGTCGAGAGTAACGGGAGCAGCACGCCCCAGGGTGTGGTCTTAGCACTTGTTGGGCATCCGGAGAGCGACACACCGAAGGATCAGGAGTCCTTCCGAAGCCTAAGGCTATATAGTCTCGCAAGCCTCGCGAGTTTAGCCCGGTGGGCAACGACACAAAAGGTGAAGGCTGCATCGACCCCACTACGTAGACATGCTATCACTCATACGCTTTGCAGAACGCCCGCCCCTTAGACCTACGCAGGCCAGGGAACTGGCAGCCCCAGCAAACGGCGATCAAGAAGAAACACCACTCCTCCACGCACAGCCTCACCAAGGGTCTCAAGTCGCTCATCCTCGACACCCCCAGTGGCTCGCAGCACCGCGAGCACACGGACCGCCGCGCCTCCTTCTCTCCCGGCTCGACCAAGTCTACGGCCACGCTGAGCCCGAGCTCCTCCATCACGCGCCTGGACACGCCGTTTAACGCGAGCAGCGAGAGCCTCGCGCCCGTGCGCAGCAACTCTGGCGACTCGGGGTGGGACGTGGTGGACGAGCTGCCGCTGCGGTGGGCGACGGACTTCGTGCCGCTTGCGGGGGCGCGCTTGGCGCATACGTCCGTGCTGTCGTATGATCTGTATAAAGACCAGAATAAGAAGGGGGGAGGGACGCTGCTTGCGGTCGCTACGAAGAATAACATTCTGTTGTACGAGACACCCAGGGGTGAACGCGCCTTTACTTTCGTCAAGGTCAGTACTGCATCGTGTAAAGATGGCGGCACCAGTTATTATCCTAACTCGCAATTGGGTTTGTAGGAATTCTACACACCTTTCCATGCACGGTCCGTATCGTTCGTTCACCAAACCTACCCAGACACGATTGCGCGCAGCGTCTCCGACGTCGCGCACGTCCGCGAATCCTCCTCAGGGCGAAAATCTCACCAGCGGCACTCGTCAATGATTGGCCGCTTCCTGAACTACGGCAACCAGCTCTGCCTCTTCGTCATCTTCGAAAAGAAGGCGGGCATCATCCGCATCGCGGACGCGTCTGTCGGCGAGGTCGAGATGTACGAGGGCGCGAGTGCCAACAGCCTATCGCCGACGTCCTCGAGTGCGCGGCGCTCGCGCTTGTCGATGGATGGAGGGCATATTGGATTTGCGAAGGAAACCAAGGGCGCGTGGCTCCCGCCGCAAAGAGTCGAGATCCCGATGACTATGAACTCGTCCTCGCGGCACCACGGCCTCACGCAGGGCATGTACTGTCTGTCCAGGGGGCGGGTGACGCATCTGTTTGCCTCACCGCTGCCTGCAAATGTGCCAGCAACGCCGCCTGTCCTCGCTCTGCATTGGAACTATACGCCGAAGCATGTCATCCCGCGCGTATGTCTACCGGACGAAGATGATGATATCACACAGCCTTTCTTGCAGCTCGTTGGCTTGGGCGACGACGGCATCGAAGTGCAGGAGCTGCCTCTTTCTGCACTTGCGTCGAGTAAGGGCAAGGGTCGGGCGTTCGAGCCCGTCCGGGCTTACGTGGATCTTGGCGGGGACACTGACTTCTTGTGCACCGGTGGACAATGGCATCGGCCGCTGTTTGCGCATCTCAACCGTAGCTACTCCACTGCAAGCACGCTCTCCAATTCTTCGTTCGATAGCTTGTCGACAGACGAGATCAGGTCGAAGTTGGCGAGAGAGGAGGGCATCTACTGTTGGATCAAGAAGGGGTATGAGGACTTTAGGATATTCTGGGTCGGCGGTACCGGAAGTGTAATCGACGACGAAGAATCTAGTGAATATTGAGGTTTGGATACAGCACGTCGGTATGTATAGTATATGTAAGAGCACACAATCCATGATGGTCGAACTATTCCGGTATAATTAAAATAGTATGCTGTACAACATGAGCAGGGTATGCTCTCGGAGAGTCCGTAACTCAAGCATAATCATGACTGTCCAGACCCACTCGGCTCTCCCGAACTATTGTTATTACCTCGTAAGACAACAAACGACTTCGGCCGTTCTGCGTCGTCCGACGACGGTATTCCACTCTCTGACCTCCTTGATCTCGGCTCTTCACTTGCTCTCCCGGCGGGTTTGCGGTCCCTGATAACCACAAACGACTTGCCTGACGCCTGTGGCTGCTCATCCGGAGCGCTCTCATCTAGCTGCAGCGGGTTACCCTCGCTGTACCGCCTAGGTTTACGGAGGTTGAACCAGTGTTTCTTCTTGGGCTGGATCATCTCGGAAGTCCAATCGTCGTCCACCGTCTGCTCTTGTTCGTGCGTAGCACGCTGCGGCTCCGGCTGTAATCTACTGTTCTCCACTGCCGCGCTCAGACTGCCCAGCATCGGCGCAGAAGACGCCGATGGGTTGAAGTACGAAGAAGCGTCTTCGATGATAGCAGTCTGGGACTTCGTCCGGACGTGCGCTGGGGGCATCGCGCCAGGCGGCAGATTTGACACGGGTGGGAGTGCGACGGCTTGTCGCGGTTGGCTCGCGATACTTGGTGTGGGCGGTGGTGAGTCGTCATCCTCGGGTCTCAGCCTAGGTGTCCCGAGGGTATGCGACGAGCCAGCTCTCCTATCCACGGACGGGAACGAAACAGTAGAGCCAGAAGCGATGTCGTAAGGATTATCGTAGTGTGCGCGTCCCCCGCCGACCCTCGTAAACCCAGACTTGTTCGTCGACGTCTCGGGAAGGGACGGAGCTTGGTTATCCACCGGACTATACCCCGGCCTGGGGAAGGGCTGCCACGATCCCATGATGAACCCACTTTCATCGTCGCTGTCCTCCCGGTACGGTCGGAGGGCTTGCTCGGGCCGGAGGACCGACGGTGGGGCGGAGTGACTTTGGCTCGGTGTAGCCAACTTCTGCGGCCGCGACAGCGCAAATTCCGGTTGCTGCTGGGGTATTTCCGCTGCGCGGTAGTGTGTCCGCCTGCGCGAGCGATGGCCGCCCCGCCTGGAGCCACAGCAGCCCAGCAGCCCGCAAGCCCCGAAGAGCCCGCTGTCGACGACGTGCCTGCTCCTGTCAAAGCCCACGCCGCCGAATATACGGACGGCAGCCTCGATAAGTTTGACGATCAGCATCAGAAGGTATGCCAAGTATATCAGGCCCAGGATGAACAGGATCGCATATGATACCCATGCTCCTGCTGGTTCACCTATGGATACCTAAGAAAGTGATCAGTTGCTGCTCAGACAAATGGATAGCCCGTACTCACCGTGGGCGTTAATATGACGAGTAAAACAGCAATGACAATCCTGGCGACGCAGAACAAGAAGCTGATCAAACCCATACTAGCTCCTTGGCCCCAGGGCAGCCACAAGCTTGTAGCGAGTGCCGTCCCAAGCTCTACAACCAGGATGATAATCGCCTGCGCCGTCCCGCTCTTCTGGCCACACCCAATAGTGACTCCAAACACTAAGTTCGTCGCGAACAGCAAGCACGCAAACAACTGGCTCCCGTGCCGATAATGGTTATACAGCGGTCCAAAACTGAGCAGCGTGCGCGTCTCGTCGTACAGCTTATTCGTGCTCGTGAGCGTCAACCGTATGACGAGGAAGAAGGGAATGATGACCGAGAACACCGCGAACGACAGCGCCGCGAGCACGATCGACGCCAGGCTCGCGTGCCCGCGCCCGAGCGTCATCTGGTAGCACGAGAAGATCGTGATGGGCAGGTGGAACAGGATGAGGATGCGCACGAGGTTCCCGTGCAGCACGCTCCAGTGGAACGAGTTCGGGCCGGGGCGCAGCTTCCACCAGCTCTTGCCTGCCATCGGGATCTTCGTGGCCGCGCGCAGGATGAAGTGCCCGTTGAGGGACTTGTCCTCCTCGGCGGGGCTCCCCGTCGTGCCCACGCCGTCGAGCAGGTCCTTGCTCCCCGCCGAGTAGCGCGGGCTGCGTGTGCCCGTGGCGAGGCCGAGGCGAGAGGGCGGCCGGCCGAGCGTGATTGTGCCGGAGAGGAGGGACGCGAGCCAGTCGATGAACCAGACGAGCAGGGAGAGCACGATTGTCGCGGCGATGATGGCGAGGAAGAGGGCGAGGCAGATGCCGAAGAGGTCGCGGGGGCGCAGGCCGACTGTGTAGGCGAAGGACTCGATGCCGTTCGATGCGCCCGGTGGGAGGCTGAAGATGGTGTTGGAGACGGAAGTGTCGATGTACAGGACACTGTTGGGATCGGACAGCTGGTCGGCAAAATTGGAGGGTGGATTGAAGGGCGGGACGGAGAGCGGATTCCACAGGAGTGAATCGTCGTTTGCGCCACCCTGAGTTAGTGTCATGTCTGGACGGTGTCAGAGAGCAGGGAGAACCAAGGAGACAACTGCTCACTATATGAGAGCATAGACCAAGCAGTTTGAGAGAGCAAGGGATCTACAGCACGGGGTTACAACACGATTAATATATATTGCGGGAGGTACGTACAGACGAAGGAAGGCCATTGGACAGCGACCATGGCTAGCGCTGCGGACCACTGCGTATGGAATATGATGTCCCTCATTGACGGAGTACCTGTACAACATCAATAGGAGTCCCGACAAGGAAGTCTGCCCTAATCACCGAATCTCATGAGTGCTGGAGACTTCGCCAAACGTTCACCACTGATCGCACTAGCTAGGATGAACCCCAGACTTTCCGCCCGAGACCAGAGGCCCGGACCCATGCGAGAGGCACCTCTTCCCCATGCAGATACTATCCTGGCGAGGCCGACGACGACCCAATATGCAATCGTAAGCGCGACGGTGAACCAGAACACGACGATCGCATGGCCATAGACGTAGCCCATTACACCTGGGCTGAGGGGCGTAACGTAGACGTCGACGCAGAGGATCTCATTGCTGAAAGGATCGACGGCCTTGATTCGGGTGTCAAGCGTAACGAGCTCGTAGGACTGGCGGTTTAATGTGACCGTGGTGGCTAGTGCGAATGGACCTGCGGGGAGGGGGCAGTATCTATCGTACGGGTTGACCTGGTCGTACACAGGAGACGGCGGCTGGATGGTGCTACATAGATACGAGCTATTGTCGAACACCGCGAATGTAAGCATTTCGGTGTCGGTGAATAGCGTAGCTACATGGCTGTTGGACTAGATAACTCCATAGAAGACTCGTATACGCACCAAGATTATTGCTCCCATCAGCCCGACCAGAGATATTCTGCGGGCTCTCCCCCAGCACGGTCACATTCAGATACTTCCCCAGGGAGTCATTCTGCAACAACTGCGCATATACCGTCGAGACATTGAGCTTGACGTCGTGGTTGCCGGAGAAGCAGTCATGAAAGGGCACGGTGGCGGGCTGCGCGTAGGAACCGTAGAAGAGAGTCGTCAGGAAGAACAGAAACCAGGAAAGGCGGTTAAGCGGAGCGAAGAGACGGTCCATAGGAAAAGCTGGCTGCTAAAGTCGCAGGAGGGGACAAGCCATGCAGACTCCACAACGCAGAGGCAACGAAATAATCAGGATCACCGTGGCCTGCAGCTCGGTTCACCGGCACTAGAAGGACGTGGGAATCTCTGAGCGGCTATGTACTCCCGACCGAAGCGTAACAAAGCGGGCTGTTCTGCCAGCTGTGGGTGTGGACTGTGGCCACGGGAGGGGCGATTGAGAAAACGTGGCTTTGTGTTACGGCTAGTGTTACCTCAACTGAAGACACCGTCAGAGGCTTATTACAGGCGTCAGGCGGAATTGTAGAAAACCATCAGGGTACGAAATGACCGCGAAGTCGACTCTGACTACGCTTCACCCAGTCCGTCGACTCCACCTCCGACGCTCGCGCACGACGCCGTTTGTCTCCCCTTGCCAATGCCTACTATCATTTTGGGGGTTCTGTCAAAGTCAGATTTTTGACAGAACTCCGAAATCTCAACAAATATGTAACGGGTGACTTAGCGGATTGGTACATAGGTGAATTGTAACCCGTAGAGAACGCCTGTGAAGTCAGAACTGTCATATCTTCTACCATTGTTGAATGGGAGGACGAACACTGTCCAAACAGCCCAGTGTAATCATGAGAAACAGGCCTGATGTATTAGATCTCTGGGCCTACAGTCTTCCGGCAAATATCGGCTCACTGGGGAACACTGTATTATGTATAGCTAAACATGGTTCACCCACCCGATTGGTGTTAAAGCAATTCCAACTGCTCCTATCGTATGTTTGACAGAAGTGCAAGGGTCCTGGGTGTGACAAATGCGTGACGAAATTGGCGCGGATTCCTTACTGTGACTCGCGTGTGACGCTTTGACAGAACTACCTGCGACTGTGGGTCCGTCACCGGCATCTCTCTCTATTATTTTTTGCCCAGTCAATTGAGGTGGTTATTTGCGCAGATGGTACTTAGGAGGGTTTATTATGATGCCTGACTGAAAGTAAAATGATTGTCCAAGGAGCGGGCCTGTGGCAGGCTGTTTTCCGAGATCTTGACAGAACCCCCAAAATGATAGTACTTGCAACAGCAGCCAGCTCTGCTGTCCTGTGGTACTGTACCGATACGACCTTAGGCAACGTCCCGTGTCCCGAGAGGTCCGTCGCCGTTGCCTATTTTGAGATTTGTCCCGTGTCCCGGACACCTCGTTGCTTGGGGCCCCGGAGCCTAAATCCGCGCTAAATGGGGAAAAATGAACAAATTTATTCGCAGGTGCTTTGGAAACCCTCTTGAAGCTTCTTCTGAGTCTTCTCTCAGCGATTTGAGCCTCAGATCTATCTGAGGAGTGTATCAACATTGCATTACCCTCACCTTAGTACGCGCAACTGCAGGTTGCGTTGCATGTGTCCCTTGTCCCGACGGAGACGTTGCTTGACCTGCCACATTCCCACGGTGAATTACATAAGCCGTTGCGTTGCCTAAGGTCGTATCGGTACAGTAGTCGCTTGCCGCGACTTGGTTTGCAATGTTCGTGATGTTGAGAAATACATTGCGATGCGGTCCTGGACTTCACGCTAGTTGTACCACCTTTACGGCCACCCTGTCTACACGCGTAGGGTCCGTGGAGGTAGTATCGCAAAGGTATGTTCCCTCCCACCCCCCTGCGCGCGCCCCTCTCTCGGTCGAGTTGCTCAGGTTCCTGCGCCCGGTGGTATAGCTTGGTACCTTGAGTTCAGTACCAGACCATCTGGCTTGGCGGAAACCTGCTTCGCCGAGACTGTGTACGCACTTTATCTCGACCGGCGACAACAACCCTCCGTAGGCTCGGTATCTTCGCGCCGCTCCACGAAGTCCCTGTGCTATTTCTGCTCTGCAGCGAGCCGGTTCGCTTCCAGGGTCTTCCAGCCTGCTCATCCCTGTCGCACAACCCTGCTCAAGCATTCCCCGCAAGGAAGGTATCCTTACTTGTAGTCGACCAAGCATTTTATCTCAGCTGGAATCTCCCGGAAGGGGGGATTGCTTAAGTATTCTTCGAACAACGACTCGGGTTCGATGTCTCGACGAACACAACTATATCGTAACATAACATCCCTCCAAGGCACTTTACGGTCCACTCATTCATGCGTCCATGCTAGTTCATGCTGTACCCCTCATTCTCGATATCCATGGGCGCCCACGGAGCACGGACTTCAGTTTCTGCTCTACCCTCGGACGTCCGCGGGAACCTCCCGCCGACGTCTCGGGTCCCCGGCATGCCTACACATACACCCTGCGGCGTCCTATCAGTGCTACATACTCATCAAGGTCTTTACTGAACGCTTTTGCGGCCTCAGAACGAATCTTCCGTCATGCTCTGTAACCGGGTGAAGTCGTATTGATGCTGGCAAGGCCGCATGTCCCTTGGAAGGACAGTCAGCCAGGTGGCGGGACGTCGTATGAAGGGTTTTCCGTTCCAGATCATCTCCTCTTCCTACCGGCACTGTAATTGCTCTAGCCTTCGTGTATCAACATGTCACTTCCATTGTCTTATGTACGTTAGACTGGAATACTACATTATCTCCTCACTGTCTAATGTTGAATCGACTTCCCGGTGATCCTACGTACAAGATTCAAGATCGCAAGACTAGTAGACTGCATGGTCTAACATGCAATCAGTTAGTGCTACATGCCAAGTCTTGGTCCAACCCGAACTCCGAAGACGAATTTCACGACGAGTTCACGACCTTCGCGATCGTCTTGCTTAGTGACGACGAGCAGTGTGACGCTTGTCACTTTTCTGTAGTTTCTTGCCGACGGCACACTAGTGGCGAATGCGGTCCGCAGCGTGGCACTCTTGCCTTCATCCCGCCACAAGGCGGTCATCGTCCCTCGTGCTTGAGAGGGTCTTTGCTTCGCCTCTGTCTGTCTTGTTCGTGTCGTTGAGCACTAATCCATAATTCGCGTCGGATAAATTGCCCAGTTACCCTTCCGAGAGGCCCCGTTCCACCATGATCGTCGATCCCAATAAAACCCCCACCTCTCCACCGCCGCCATACACCCTGGAGGATACCGCTGAGCCCCCTGCGGCCTCTTCGCACTCTCATGCTCACGCTGCATTTGGGCCCACACCGCTTGCGCAGCAGCCGGAGACGCTGCTCCCGTACTATGACCCGCGCAGTCCGTATTCGGTGGAGCAGGCGGGAGTGAGGGCTAGGAAGAGGTTTATTGGCGCGCTGTTCTGGGCTATCGTATTGGTCCTTGTTGCTGGGATGATTACTGGCACGGGGGTCAGCGCGCGTCGTCGCTGAAGTGGTGAGTCTGGAGAGGGATTGTACGGGAGGATGTTCTGATGTTCAATTATTGCAGGACCCTCATTATACGTCTGGAGGGCAAGTCTGTGGCCTTTGGATGCCTCTATGCCACCACGATCTACCTACCTGGACTAATATCGACGACCGGATTGCATGCCCGGGGCTCTCCGTCGGAGGGTGATATGTTGCGTGTTGATCCATGATGTAGATGGAAGTGTAAGCTGCCGTTAATCTGTATATCGATTGATTCCGGTGGCGTAACATCCTGTCAGTAGGCGGTTCTTTGACGTGAGACCTCAGACTCTTGGTCTCTGGACTTGTACAGAAGCGCTACATTATTTGACTTGGAGGGAATACTTGTGACTTTTTTGTGCAAGTAATCCCCTTCTGTTGCGTATGGGTACGTGTTGGAAGGTTCTGTAGAAGAAGTCTATGTTATATTTGTGCTGTAAATGAAGATATATAACGAGCGTCCCGCTGTAAGACCCCTACGGAGTTCGTATGCCTTGGCCGGTGCTACGGTCTGGAATGATCATCGCGTGGAACTGCGAGCCGGGCCCGGGTGGTCGGCAGGACCACTCTAACTGTCACGGTGAAATGTGTCGTTTCCTCGCGTGGGCGTTGATTGTATCCTTGTCTTCCATTTTCTCTCTTGTTCCCCTTCGTCGACCACCCTCGCTGGCTCGCTACCATTCACGGCTGTCTACAATGGCTGTTTATGATGAACTGCTCGTGCACTGGCACAATGCCGGACGTGAATCTCGAAATCATGGATGGACTGAGGGATGAGCACAATGGGCAGGTGAGTGGATGACTTCCCGTAAGCATTTAGAACGCGTTTTGAGCAGTTCTAAATCTCTAAACGCATCAAGCCGAGATGCCGTCTTGTCACGCTCTCGCTTAGACCAAGTTTTGATGAGGCTCGCCGAGCAAAAACCGTCTCTAAACTTTAAATCTAGCAGGGGGGGTCGACCCCCCTTTCCAAATCTCCAGACGACTCTAAACGCTCGCTTAGCCTCGGTTGAGGTCCGCGTATCAAACCTGCCATCAGCACCTGCTAAATTGAGCGATCCGCTCGCCATAAATGGAAAGCGACCTCATGGTCGTGACTTGCAGTCGTCGAGCGTTGGTCTAGCATTACGGATGGGACGAACTGTTCTATTTTGCCATTGCACCCTGGCAGCGAGTGTGACCAGGTACGCTGATGGCATTTAGAACTGCGAAATCTAGAATTTTGGCTTACGGGAAGTCATCCAGTATGTCTGTCCATG